TCTAATTTGGGACAAAAATTAAATTCCTAATAAGCAAGCCAATCTGGTTTAAACATATCTTTTTCGTAAGCGAAAAGTACTGGCAAACAAGCCTAAACGGCTTGTATACTGGAAAAAAATAGTTAGGGATATATGTAAATTTTGAAATTATGAATAATGATCTATTTATTCATTGTCACACTGATAACATATCAATCATAAAAATACCAATAACCCTAACTTATTTTGTCCAGTATATTAATGCCGCTCCATAATACATATATCGGTTTACATATATACATGATGTTGTACAAACTAATTTTAACAAGTTGTGAAAATATGAACAGGTTATCTCTGCTTGATAACAATCCTGGATAATACCAAACTACCTTAGTTTTGTTTCGTGGCCAGTTGATACAAACAGGAAAATGATAGAAACTGCAAGACTTTTATGAATCAAATCGTTTTGATGAAATAATGAATTGATGCACTGACTGTAGAATATCCATATTTCTCTGATATGATACTGAGTTATTACCATTTAGCACATCCCGGACGGAGAAACCTTCTCATATAAATATGATTCATATCGAATGCTATCATATTTAGGACACATGAAGAAGTAGCGGCAAACATCCTCATAATCATGCGAGCAGGAACAAAAAGCATTATCAGAAATGAAACGGTTATATTTATCACTGTTTAAGTCACTGCATCCCAGTCTACGACGATCGATAATGCCCAGAAGGTATTACCATTTCCTGAAACTGTGGTAATCTAGACTTACCTATATTGTGTATTGCGATATGTATGACACACTAATGCCACTATGGCGGGGCAATCATTTACACACCAGTTTTCTCACTTTGTGAATATTTACAAAATTGTAAATGTTTGTAAATCTCATCTTTACAAAGGGGCGGTGGGGTAGCCTTGTGGTTAAAGCGTTGGTTCGTCACGCCAAAGACCCGGGTTCGAATCCTCATATGGGTACAATGTGTGTCCCCTGCCGTGATGTTGCTGGAATATTGCTAAAAGCGGCGTAAAACCAAATTCAGTCAGTCAGTCATTGTTACAAAATGTAGAGGGCTTTTTTTTGCAATGTTCAATGCCATACGCAATATAGGTGAAAGACTGCTCCTGCGGCGTAAAATATCATGCCACTCAGTCTCCCACCAGCCTATTTTCAAATAACAATGTGAAAATAGACACAGGGTCGTTGATAACAGTATCTGTAAAATGCTTTTCTCTTTTGTTTCAGATACAATGAGGCGAAAGATTTACACGGTGCTCTTCTTGCTTGTGAGCAGTATTCTCGTAAGGATCTACATTTCCGGTTTACCGGGAGCCGTGGACACAACACCCCTTTATGACCATGTCAACCACCCACGTGTTAAACCCGATGACAACCACCCACGTGTTGAACTCCATGACAACCATACACGTGTTAGGAGCGATGATAACCAGCCACCTGTTCGACAAAACACATAACACTTGACTTCATGGGGCGACTCGGAAACCTTATGTTTGAGTACGCTTCTCTTTATGGTATTAGCCGAAAAAATAACCTCATACCAGTTGTGCCTCGTACATTGTCATTATTGAATTACTTTAACATCAGCGCAGAAAAGTCTGATCAGAGGTTTTCAAAACATACGTCGAAAAGAAAGGATGTACATTTGAACCGGAAGCGATGCAGCTTGGAAACGGACGTGACGTCAGACTTGTAGGATACTTCCAGAGCTGGAAATATTTCCAATTTGTGGAGAAGGAAATTCGTCAGAACTTTAGATGGAAAGAATCTATCTTTAAGCAAGCGAATGACTTGTTAGGCAATTTAGTTCAATACAGACAAGATGCCATCCGCATAGGGGTTCATGTTCGACGAGGGGATATGGTGCACAGTGCTCATATGGTAAATTATGGATATATAGCGGCCGACAAGGATTATTTAGACAAAGCATTGACTTATTTCAGATCTAAATTAAAAAACGCCAGTTTTATTATCGTTTCTGACGACATAAAATGGTGCGAAGAAAACATCAAGGGTGAAGATGTCCACATATTGAGAAAACCTAATCCTCCTGAAGTGGACATGGCCATTTTGACACTTTGTAACCATACAATTATTACTTCCGGCTCCTTTGGATGGTGGTCAGGGTGGCTGGCCGGAGGGGAGGTTGTTTACTTCAAAGGCTACCCACGTCCAGGATCACAGCTGTTTGAACTGATAACGCTTGCTGACTACCGGCCGCCATCTTGGATTGGGATGTAATGCCCTCTCGGTATTTTGTTGGAACTCAAGATCTGTTTGTGGTTAAATGTTTAGCTGTCAACATTAGTATTTATGTTTGGGTGTCTTCCACTTGACTTTCAGGAAAAGACCCGTGAAGATCCGGGTTCGAATTGATCTTCAGTAACCCATGCTTGTCGTAAGAGGCGACTAACGGGATCGGGTGGTCAGACTCAGACTTGGTTGACACATGTCATCGTATCCCAGTTGCGTAGATCGATGTTCATGCTGTTGATCACTGGATTGTCTGGTCCAGACTCGATTATTTACAGACCACCGCCATATAGCTGGAATATTGCTGAGTGCGGCGTAAAACTAAACTCACTCACTCACTACTTAATGCTGAAGGAGTCGCTGGGGGTACACGACAACCAGTTGTCAGACTTCCAGTTTTTGTGGAAGCCGCGGTGGCTGAACGGGTCAGATCGGTGACTTTGTGTGCTGCCTCAATCAGACAGTGGGGGTCGAATCCCGGATGTTACTCAACCCAGTAAAAGTATTAGAATCTGTACTTTACTAAGAACGTGTAATCCCAATGATAACACGTGTTACATATTAATGGTATAATTTGAATCTATTCATAGTAACCCAACAACGAAAGATGTTCCTTTGGAGCAAGTTGAGCATACACTCGCTACTGTAACCTCTCCTTTTGAAAAAAATAAATTTTGTTCCGCGTTGTAGTTGGTGGTTGTTACACGTGAGAAATGAATACATACTCCAATTAAGAGATGAAGTAGTGTTAGAAAGTCAGTTCTCACATGAAGGTATGTTTCGCGGTCATGTGACCGACTTCTCCATATCGTGTAAACTTAACGTCAAAAAGGATATCTAATGCCACCGGTAGCTTCGATATTAAACGTTGCAGCGAAACCTCCTCTGCTAAGTCTGCCAGTCAACGTAAACGAGTAGATAACGAAAATGGTCCACATTTCTGAGAAATCGAAAGGTCCGGTCAGTTGCTGGTCATTCTAGGCTGCTGTCTTAATACCAAGTGATGGCTGATCGAATGTCTATATGCCTTCATCCAAAGTCAAATTCAGTAGATGTATTATTGAGTGTAATACTTTCTTATCTCTATAGGACAACAGGCCCTCTTTCTTCTAGGTTGAAAATAGATGTCAAAAAGAAAATGAAAACCAAAATAATATAAACATAATGGACAAAAGGATTGTCCACACAAATGTATTGTTATTCATTGTACTTATTTATTGTTCTGTTTCCGAACAAGTTCTAAGGTTTTAGTTGGTGTACATGCGAACCGTTTGCGAAAACACACCTTACTACAACTTACTTCGCGGAAACGTTCTCGAGAAAAATAAAAAACGTGCGTTTTCGCCTTGTACGGGGATTGATGTGATTGTCAGTTCGATTCGATACGTTGATTAGGCAGCACGCCAAGAGATTAATAGGTAGTGGTACCCATTTGTCTGTTAGATTTTGTAAGATAAGCCTAGTAAAATAGAAATTTAGGAATTTAAGACATTGTAAAAGTAATCAAAGATAAATTTAAACAAATATTAGATTATGATTTAGTGGTTTCGTTTTATATCATAACTTGTACAATTCCTGCTGACCACATAACAATAGATGCAATTTATTTATTTCCATCCTAGTTCTCGTGAGACTAGAGGTGATTTTGCCTTTGTGAAAGTCCCAGTTCTCAGTTCTTGATATGTCTGATAACAAAACGTTACCTTGCACAACTCACTGCTCATGTTGGCAGTTACACCAGTCTGCAAAGCAGTTAGTGAAATGTAGTACAATAAAGCTTCTACTTGGTTTGCTCTTTCTCCTCTCTCCCTCTCTCGGATGATTTGTCTGATTTGTATTTTGGACAGCCGAATAAAACAGGTGTTTAACAAATGATCATTATTTTTGTTGTCACTTTTCGCTATTTCTTTAGGGGAGGGGGGAACAACACCCTGGTGTGGGAGTTCCACGTGTGAAGTTGAAATTCCACTGCACACGCTTGTTGATTACCTGGCTGTACTACCAGCAAGTGGTCTCCCTCGTAAGAAATAGCGGGAAGTGACAACAAAGTAATGATCGTTTGTTAAACAACTTTTTTATTAAAGTCTATTTCATCAGAGTTGGTTTGTCGATTTCATGTGACTGTGCAAAATTTGGTTTTGATGAAATTATTAGATTTTGTGGTAGTGATCAATTCATCGGTCTCAAATATAAATCAAACGGACTGTAGGATAGTTGAAGTGGCGTGTAAAGGGGTTTAACATCGCCTTCATGATTACTATACTTATATAGCGAGGTGCGTGCATGCATGTGTAAGCGTGTACTAGTGCAGACTAATGCCCGTTGTGCAGATCCCTAGACAGATCCAACCACAAGCTTTCTGCTCATCGCTCACACGTTTCACCATACATCAGAAAGATCGATGCTCATGTTGTTGATCACTGGATTGTCTGGTCCAGATTAGATTATTTACAGACCGCCGCCATATAGCTGGAATATTGCTGAGTGTGGCGTAACACTAAACTCATTCACTCATACATCAGAAAGACACAAGACATGGCAGACTGGCTGAGTTAGAAACAAGTCACCAAGCGAAACGGGGATGTTTTCCGTTGCTAACCGCTCCCATGTATATGTACTAAGATGACCAGAAGCTTATCGAACCTGACACATGCAAACCACAAAATAAGATGTATGGTCAGGAGATACAGTGTCAGTCTCAGATTCTACAGGACATAATTCGGTCTGTACACGGATGCAAACTGGGAAACTCCTCCTTGGTAAACTCCGCCGAATTCGCCTGAGTTTCCTGAAAGGTAGGTAAATACTGTCTTGGCACAGGTTCTTTATCGGAGCGATTCGGGGTTAGGAACACGAGCGGAACCTGGAAACTAAGTGTGAATGGGTTAAACGGCAGCTGAAGAAAAACAGCAGCCACTCGGATCTTTGATGTTAGAACCTTGATAAAGCCCATGGTCTAGAAGCCAGACCCCCAAAATGGTGAAAATGTGGTGCAGTTCTGGCGACAAAACGAGATGTGATTTTTCACAATCAGGAATGATTTAGCTTTGATTTAAAGCCGGTTGTCATCAGCTACCGTCTCCAACCAACAAGTCAACGCCCTTGCCAAAGGCCTCAAATTCGCTCTCACACCACCACGAATTAACTCGGACTTGTTCATCGCTAACATTGAGAAAGGCCTCCAACAACTAGCACCCGGTGGGAAGGTTGACTACCTCCGGCACCAGATCAGCAATATCCTTTACAAGGCCCAACCACAGAAGCCCAATATCACCCCATCAGAGAAACAAGCCATCAAACAATTGAAACAAGATCCGGACATCGTCATCGCCCCAGCTGACAAGGGTAAGGCCACCGTTGTTCTAGACAAAGACCATTTCAACACCATGGTAGACAACCTGCTAGATGACACCGCCACGTACAAGAAGATCAATAAGGATCCTACTACTAAGTTGAATCGTCAGCACAAGTCCACCCTAAAACTACTGCATGATAAATTTGAACTCTCTACAGATCTCTATCGCAAGCTATCAGTATCCCATCCTCAACCACCCTATGCCCGAGCAACTGTCAAGATCCATAAGAATCCTGTGAAAACCCGTCTACTAGTCTGCTCCCGTGATACAGTGTTTTACAATACTGCCCAGCACCTTACCAAAGTACTCGCTCCTTTAGGTAAATCTGCCAACTCCTTCATCAACGACTCAACAGACTTCTGCAGCAAGATCCGTGACATCTCCAATCCAGGTCCCATCATCAGCTACGATGTTGTGGACCTATTTACTAATGTACCAAGAGAAGAAGCGCTCCAAGCCTTACGCCACAGAATTGATAAACTTCAACAACCCCTCAACACCAGCCTCTCAACCGACTCCATCATCAGTCTCACCTCAACCTGCATCAACTCCACCTACTTCACCTGGGGGGACGAGATCTATGAACAAATCCATGGACTTCCCATGGGCTCCCCTTATCCCCATCCTAACCGAAATTTACATGACGGACCTGGAAGATAAAGCACTGGATACTGCACCCTTCAAACCCACATGTTGGTATCGCAAAGTGGATGACACCTTCGTCATCCTCCAACCTCAGCAAGATCCCACTCAGCTTCTCACCCATCTCAACAACCAACATCCCCGCATCAAGTTCACCATGGAAACCGAGCAGAACCAGCAACTACCTTTCCTTGACGTCCTTGTGTCCCGCACCTCCAGCAACCAACTCCAGACCACTGTATACAGAAAACCCACCCATACGGATCAGTATATCCACTACAACTCCAATCATCCACCTAAAGTTAAGACCGGCATCATCTCCACACTAACCAGAAGGGCCAAGAACATCTGCTCAACTAAACTACAAGATGAAATCGAACACCTCAAGAAAGTCTTCGTAGAACGCAACCACTTTCCATCCCAAATAGTCAACAGAACCATCGCTGCCACCCTGTCACCCCCTACCAAAAGACCCAAACAAGATTTAGCCCCCATCAAGATATCCATCCCCTACATTGGCAAACCGTCACATCAAATCAGCCGCCTCCTGAAAGATCAAGCTGGCATAGATACCACCTTCTCCGCGTCCTCCAACCTTAACAACATTCTCCATGCCAATGGAAGAAAACCCACCACCATAAAGAACAACAACCCAAAATGTGTCATCTACAAAATAAACTGTGATTGTGGGCAGAGCTACATAGGCGAAACTTCCCGACCCATCAACACCCGAGTGAAAGAACATCAGACCTCTGTTACCAATTCCGACAGCAAATCAGCCATTTCCGACCACATCAAAGCAAGCCCCAATCATCAAATAGAGTGGTCTGACATCACCATTCTCTCTAACAAACAAACAGACTTCACTAAACGCAAGCTCACCGAAGCCATCCACATCAAACGCCAAAAGCCCACCATCAACCGAGACCAAGGATACTTCATTCCATCCGCTTATGATGCACTCATCCACCAAGCCCAATCCACTGTATAAACTCACTGCTGTATAAACATGTCATTATCATTTGTACATCATTGGCTTCTACGCCTGTCCTTTGTCTACTCTCTGGCTTCATCAGCCTTCTGCCTAGCCAATTATGTTAATTATGTTGTTTTCTTTGTCACATTGTCACATCCAGTATATATACACTTCCCCCCTCTTCATGTCCCATTATGCTTGACAACGGTACAAGAATCTGTATCGAAACGTCGCACTCACGAATAAAAAGAAGTTGTTATCCATAAAGTTTGTTCTATATTGAACATATCTGTGCATGTAAACGTCAATGTACAGGAAGGTGTAGCTGCAAGAGGTTGAACCTGATGTGTACTTCGGCATGTGGATGTGGACTTGAAACATGTTCCTGTGATCTTGACAATGTTGATATTGACTAACATGTCAACTGGGAATCCACTATGACTATTAAGAACAATAAATACGAATTGATATGAAGGTAATGTTGCTTGCGTTATGATGACATGACTGTGTGTATATTTGGTAGTAAGATACCATAACGCCTTTCTGATCAGTGTGTCAAATCTTTTACAATGTATTAATGATTGCCGGTGTAAAATAAATCAAGAAAACCAAAGTCGTAATATTTCACATTGTAAACAGAACAAATGGCACACCATAATGTCACTTGCAAACCTTCCATTAGGATGTCATATTATTATCCATCAGCTTTAAGGGTTTCACGGCATGTCAGTGCAATACTGACACTTATCAAAACATATCTCCTTCTGACATCAGTTCAATTGTTGTTTCTGCCAGAATGTCAATAAACACAAATTTATATGATAGTTCAACAGTATCTTCGACATATTTAGTATTGTTGATACTTTGTAAAGCATGGAGATGAAATTCTCTTATATTTTGCTGATCTAAACCAACCTTGCTTTGTTTCCTTGTAATGTTTTTTCATGAATACAGTGCCAACCAAAGGTATATATGATCTTCTTTGACCTTACCAAATGTATTGCTATGAGCATATATGTAATATTATTGTCTACAATTTTAAATCATGATCTGAGCATTCCAAAACTACCATTATGATGAAAAATCGGTCAATCCAAACCAGAGTTATTAAATCAAACGATCCATTTATCGGTTAAAATATTGCCATAACTGACATGACATGTTGCACCTTAAAAGGGCCCCTACACGGTAGTCACGCACGGTAGCTGATGACAACCGGCTTTAAGTCAAAGCTAAATCATTCCTAATTCCTGTTGTTTCTGCCAGAATGTCAATAAACGCAAATTTATATGATAGTTCAACAGTATCTTCGACATATTTAGTATTGTTGATACTTTGTAAAGCATGGAGATGAAATTCTCTTATATTTTGCTGATCTAAACCAACCTTGCTTTGTTTCCTTGTAATGTTTTTTCATGACTACAGTGCCAACCAAAGGTATATATGATCTTCTTTGACCTTACCAAATGTATTGCTATGAGCATATATGTAATATTATTGTCTACAATTTTAAATCATGATCTGAGCATTCCAAAACTACCATTATGATGAAAAATCGGTCAATCCAAACCAGAGTTATTAAATCAAACGATCCATTTATCGGTTAAAATATTGCCATAACTGACATGACATGTTGCACCTTAAAGGGGCCCTACACGGTAGTCACGCACGGTAGCTGATGACAACCGGCTTTAAGTCAAAGCTAAATCATTCCTAATTCCTGTTGTTTCTGCCAGAATGTCAATAAACGCAAATTTATATGATAGTTCAACAGTATCTTCGACATATTTAGTATTGTTGATACTTTGTAAAGCATGGAGATGAAATTCTCTTATATTTTGCTGATCTAAACCAACCTTGCTTTGTTTCCTTGTAATGTTTTTTCATGACTACAGTGCCAACCAAAGGTATATATGATCTTCTTTGACCTTACCAAATGTATTGCTATGAGCATATATGTAATATTATTGTCCACAATTTTAAATCATGATCAGAGCATTCCAAAACTACCATTATGATGAAAAATCGGCCAATCCAAACCGGAGTTATTAAATCAAACAATCCATTTATCGGTTAAAATATTGCCATAACTGACATGTTGCACCTTAAAAGGGCCCCTACACGGTAGTCACGCACAGTTGATGATGACAACCGGCTTTAAGTCAAAGCTAAATCATTCCTGATTGTGAAATAACACATCCCGTTTGGTCGCCAGAACTGCACCACATTTTCACCATTTTGGGGGTCTGGCTTCTAGACCACCAGGAACACTGGGGTCGATGTCCCACATGGGTACCATGTGTGAAACCAGGGAGACTATATAAGAGACTATGTTGTAGAGTATCCCTGGTGAAACACATTCCTGTTGCCCTCCTCCGTCGTATTGATAGAATAATGCTAAAACCGGCGTAAAACTACAATTAATCACTTCCACAATCAGGAACACTGGCTAGGGTAGTCAGGCTCGGTGACTTGCATCAGGGAGACTATATATGTTGTAGAGTATCCCTGCTTGCATGCAGTGATCTTCGTAACATCAGTCTCTCGGCTGTCTTACCCACATTCGATTATTTAGTAGTCACCATCATTGAACCTGGAATGCTGCATTGTGCGGCGTTAAGCAACAAATGAACAAAACAAATCGTATTTTTGAATGGTAGGAGATGGTCGATAATTATTTATATTACCGACACGGGCACAAACATAGTAACCACAACGAGGAAATCAAAGTGCGTTATACCAGGGATACTCTACAACTACTACAAGAATATGATTTGTTTTGTTCATTTGTTGCTTAACGCCGCACAATGCAGCATTCCAGGTTCATGATGGCAACTAGTAAATAATCGAATGTGGGTAAGACAGTCGAGATATTCGGGGACATGCTAAAAGTATATACATAGATTATGGAATATTTACCTCAAATTTTATCTTCAGCAAAGTATATCAACTATGGCACGAAATGGTTGCACGTGATATGAATTTAGATACAGTCGATTGTGGTAGTTGCAAGGCACTACTTCTTTTCATAATCATTAGTTATACCTTTGAATCGGGAAAAAAATGCAGATCCTTCGTGGACTCTTTCCGGATTGTGTTCTGATTAGTGGTGGTCCGATTAATTGAAATAATCGAAGATTGGTAGCAATGACAAAACGACCAATCAATCGATCATGTTTTCTCATAATCGAACACAAACAATTTTGGAACACTTGTTTGCAATAACGATATTTTTCACAAGGTTGGTTTTGTCTGTTACATTTCATTAGCACTACAAGCTCTTCCAATTCCTGATTGAATTTATTTTAAAGACTCCATGAAGTTCATGTTCCTAACATACTAGTCATCCTTTAAAGATGTGAAATTTGCAAATGCTTTCCGTTGCCCCCACAAAAGAACAGCAGTGAAAACAAATCAAACGCTTTTAGTACATATACTGTCAAAATTAATCCTAAGGAGCTGTAGTCGCCTATACTCATAACAAAAGTTTAGACTCACTTACAGCACTCACTATATGGTGTGTGTGTGTGTGGTTACATTGAAGATGAATTTCTCCACTAACTTGGGGGAACCGACTGCAAACCTTATGCAGATGAATTGCACGAGGATCATGCATCAAATTGCTGAAAAGCGTCTGCAAGTATCGTGCATGTGAACAGCTGCGTTTTGGTGTGAAGTTTTGTTAAGAAATCGCCAATTTTCACTGAGTTTCATCATCTTTTTTAACTCATGACAATTATCTTTTCAACGTTACGAATTTGTTTTACAATACATACTTTATGTGTAAACAGTACCTTTAAACAGTATGGAATATTTTGCAAAATGTTGTTTAGAACAGGATGACTGAAGTAAGTGGCTTCATTAATTTTACACTAGTGAGTCTAAACTTTTGAAGGGAAGTATAGTATGGTAATGATTGTACTTTTAGTCGACGCACTGTGGCATTCCTGACCCACTCGTGTTGTCTCTTCTTGAAGGTTACACCCGCCGCCATATAGCTGGAATATTACTGAGTGCGGCGTAAAACTAAACTCACTCACGCTCTTGAAGGTTACGGAAAGGGGCGAGTGGTGACAAATGGCACTGCGGTGGAGCTTTGATCGTGTTTCCGAGTTATCTCCCTTTCCCGAGCAGACGACGATTTATGTTGCAGCTTGTGCAATCAATAGGTTGGTTTGTGACTGAGAGAAAAGTCCTTACATTCATCACTTCCTTCGCATAGGAAGTGTTTGGACGTTTTCTATGTCTTTCCCCTTTGTAAGATGTTAAATTTTGCGTATGGCAATTTGGGTCATGCGACAGGGATGTAACAGTACGCTCAACTCGAGTGAACGCAGATCTTCAGTTCAGATCGGTACATTTTCTAAGATATTGACTAGTGATTGTCATCCAGAATGGGACCCTGTCGGATCCAGAAAAAGGGGGTTGGGGGTAGGGGGCTGCGCATCCTGGATCCCCTGATTGGTAATGGATGGGTAGTATGTCTAATCACAATGTAATGTAATAATGAAAATGTCCAAGTGTCATTTTGTCCCTAGCAATTGTGCTTCTGTGTGGGGCTTAGGGGGTTTCCCCGCTTTCCCACAACAATGTTGGATACCAAGGGGATTTGCGAAGTAAAGGGCTGGGTAAACGTGTCTCCCATCTCTTCTGCTAAGACCGCTAGGGTGACTTCAAACAGGTATGGGTTAGACATTGTGTTTGTTGTGGACAGCCTGCTGTTAGCTGAAGTCACATTTGAATTTGGATTTCAGAAAAGACAAGTGATTCCTCGAAAGACCCTAAAGGTGAGCTTGAGGTGAAGGAAAATGGGCAGAGGTAATGTTTACGTGCAGTCTTTAAACATTGCAGACTCATTGTAGCTAAATCAGACATTGTTCTGTTGACAGGTGGTTGAATTCATTGAAAACATTGGCTATCTGAAAGGTAATTGGAGCTTAAATATAGAGGCAACAATGGGACAATGAAACAGTAAATTGTTATGTGAATAATTTTGAGTTTGAGTTTTTCTTTACCCTGTTGGAAATATTTACAGAACACTATTAGTGTTAGAAAATATTTGTTTGCATAATCATTGTTTGATTAGAACTGTATCCTTAAAAGAATTTTGATAATCATGTGTTTTCAAACTTACAGAGCCATACCACAGAAAATGCACAGCAAATCAATTACTGAGCCAGTGGTTCTTTTTGCAAACCCCCCTCCTCTTGAAGAGTTGTGTGCAATCACAGTGACTCTAACCAGTGGGATATCCTTCTCTCAGGTGGCCTCTACCTGGCAACCACAGATACTAAAATGCAGGTGGGAGGAAAACTAGATTGTCCTCAGAAAAAAAAATATAATGAGTTATCAGTAGTAACACAATACAGTCATTTTTAACATTCATGTTAAACATGGAAAATATGAATAAATTTACTTGTGTTAGGAATGTTTTAGAATGTTTCAGAAAGGTTCTTTTCTAAGAAAATATATCATTCATTATATTTAATTGTAATTGTAGTCTTTTGAAGGCTGTAAGCATCACAAATAGCTCCAAAGTATTGATTAATAATGGCAGACATTCCCAACACAGGGATTTAGACAGACAGACAGTAATTATTCAGTAAAGAGGCCCTCGCCCATAATACAATCAGACTGACATGGTGTTTAGTGAGTGCGCAAAACAACTTTGCAGCTCTATGTCCTGGAGTTTATCAATTTCATTACATTTTGTACATGGTATAATTACATTGTATGAAACAGCATCATTTTGGCTTTGCAAAAGATTTACGAAAGAGTAATGAATAAGTGGTTCTTTAGTGAACTTTGTTATATATTTCGTTCTAAGTATATCATAGGCATTACAAATAATTAGTACATGATATTCATATTCTATATAATGCTGGCGTCTGGTTTTACAAAAAGGGCATAGTCTTTCATTATATTCAATTCCATTATACCTGCCACATTCAACCGCTGTATTAAAATTACTGCAACTAAACCTTGATATAGCAATTCTTAAATGCATAGGGATATCACAATACAAATATCTTTCAACATTTAACAAAGTTTTGAACTTATAACTTATAAAATATTCATTTAGAAGATTCACTAATTGATGAGAACCAAGACTGTTTTAAGTTATCACCTAGCCTTAGCTTGAATAGATACACAAAATATTTCACATTTCCAATTTCTTGGCTTAGCCAAGCATAACCAAATCCATATTGAAACAGTATGTGTCTAACTTTTGTTACCCAGGTATTGTAGCCTAAGCTATCTAATGATCTTAACATTAAATAACATTGATGTTGGAGTCTATTTTGTGGTATATGTATAAGTCTACACCAATTTGATCACTCTTGACAAGTACAAATGCTGTAAAGGGAGTCCGCCACACTCCACAAGAACCATACCATTTAATGTAGTTTTTTTCACCCTTAAGTATTGTTTACAAGATTTAATTTGCACAGCCTCTATTATTTTGGAATGACATGTTCCCCGAATTTCAGAGCCATAACAAAGAATAGGCACAACCATTGAATAAGAAATATTAAGTAGATCAGTGCAAGCCATGTTACCAATTTTGTTCTGGAAACCATTTAAAGACATTATAGTGTTAGAGGCCTGAGATGCAAGACATGTCTGGGCTTTACTCCAGACAAGCTTGGGTGTGAAAATCCAAGGTACCTATAATAGAAAGAAACCGTTTCAACATTATAGAACCATTTCTCATAATGACGAAGAGGCCCCCATTTCTGAAGACAATAATTATTTACATGGAGTGTTCATGGAGTCCTGTATTTGAGAGTCCCTGGGACTCCTACTCTTAATTTTCAGGGGTCCTGGACAACAAAATGGGGGTCGCAGACACTTAAATATTATTATTAATACTGTTATTGTATTGTGTATCATGATCATCACATTGTTACAGTAATTAAATTGCAAATAATACCATAACCCAGCTAGTAGCAAACTCAGGGATAACTTATTGTCACTTGATTGGAATTTTTACAAAAAGTATTTGGACTTTTTCTGAGTCCCTGTGGATGCGCGAATAAATTTGGTTGCGTCTGTTGTCAATTTTTATGAGTATAGGATGCAGGAATTTACGTCCTGTAAACCCCTGCCAACAGAGCAAGAACCTGGCCTGGTTAATAAAATAGGTAAAAGGCAAGCTTACATCACATATGATAGTCAATGTTTTAGCCTGAAAACTGTCATTTTACGGCAGTATGCTAGTTCAACCTAGTAGAACACTGCATCTGCAGATCTTCAAGGCATTGTTTAAAATTAAGGTAGGTAAAGGGGGGGTCTTGTGATTACCAAAACATTAAAAGTTGAACGAATTGGGGGGATCCTAGGTACCAAATCCCATAATCAAAGACATTACACAGCCCAGGATCTCATTAATATCTAACATAATGACTATTGGTTTTACTGTTGGTTTAATTAGATCATGTAGTTTATGAACAAAATTGTTGCCAGGGGTTTTAATGTATAAATGCTTTAAACTTGGTGTTAGAAATTTAAAGGTCACATGCAACGAAAAACACAACTTTGCAGATTCTGATACCTTCGGTATGGACTTACCAAAACAAAGCGTCAAAATGCAAATTCAACTTATAAAGTTGAAAAATAACGCTGATGAAAAAACGCGCTAAATCGGAGTTCAAACGCTTTCACTAATTTTCCCCAGACTTTCTGGGGAATACGGTTTCAACAGCTGGGCTGCGCTTCATAGCATGTGCGCAGTGAAATAGGTTCGCGAACTTGGAAGCCGGCTGTCTGGTGAATACTCGGTGAAGGCTTTGGTCTTATTTTCATAATGTTTTGTTGATATCTCACAGGCTGAGCTTTTATATGTTATGACAGTAAATAAACTGTTTATATAATTTCATTTGTCTATTTCACCACACACGCTCTTCTTACCGAATCACTTTCTCAGTTCGATACTTAAAAGCAATGTCATTATTTAGCGCTGACAGAATTTCTAACTGTGATATAGATATGTCGCTGTCACAGACAAAACTCAATGTCTTGTTTTATTGACACCTGTGTGTCTGCCTGCCTGTCTGCTAATGACAATATTCAATACACAACTGCGATCACTGACCACATGCAATTTGAACTTAACACCAATCAGGCTATACACCATAAACAAAACGCATTGATTTATGGCCCGAAGTTCGGTCTCTGTCACATTATGTAATTACACAGACAGGCAGGTGTGATACTTGAACACATGACATGTTATGATGTCTGTTGATTGCAAAATGTTATACACAAAAATGAGCATGTATTTACAAAACCCAACATCTCTATATATACACACACAATGATCCGTGAAGGCGGCATCTGCTAATGAACCAGCTGTTACACTTGAGTGCACACCCACCCGCTCTGACTGGGTTCGGTATCCTGGCTGCTTCTGCTTCGAGGGAGGTAAACCCAAGTACAAAATATTGCACTTTTGATTTGCGCATTATACGCTTATAATTTTGTTTATTTGTTTTTTCATAATCAGCAATGCATATTATATGTCATGAAGAAGTGATAATTGTGTTTTTAATTATGTTTGATTTTTTGGTTGCATGTTAGAAATTTAAGTGATCTTAGTTTTAGATGTCTGAATCTAAGCAGGAGTAAACACCATTTCTCATAGCCAACTTGCCCAATATTTTAGGACAAGTCCCTCTAGAATTTTGCTTGTCTTAGACAAGCAGACAAGTGGCCATGTCTAATCTTGCTAGAGATTTCATAATATTCTTTCTATATTATTTCTAGATCATTTCTATATTCTGTAAAAGGTTACTTAGGGAAGGTTATGAAAGGACCCCATGACATGTTTTTGTTTTTTGTTTTAAATTTGGAACACTGATACTGACATGTAACTTAATTATTGTTGCCTGTTTCAGAGAAATTATTTTCACAGAGCCAGATATTCTAGCTACCCCTGCATTTGACGTAGAAAATTGTTTCTATGTTGTACTGCAGGTATGTAGGTTTATTCAAACTTGGAGTAACTTTAGTTTTTCTAAGATTATAGAATATTTTTATTTGTATTCTTTTTTTCAGTTGCTTGACATAAACAAACTTTGTTGCCTAAACAGTTCTTGTTAAGCCAGAAAGGCTATATAATCTCACGCTCACATGCATGATAAGCAACGAGTCATCATGCAATGTGCAGCTTGTATGTGTTTTTTCGGAAAGCAGATAAGAGTTAACGGCTCTTTGTTACAAAATAAAAAAATGATGTCTGATGCAGGTAGCTGGAAATGACAAGGGCAGGGCCTAGAAACAAAATACTTTCTTTTCTTGGTCTTTGAAGGTATTTTAAAGAATACATCTCATGCTCAAAACTGCTTCCCTGATACTCTACTTTGACGTCAAATACAAAAACTGATGTTTAACTATTTTCATGATAGATATAAATGTTTTCAGCTCCTCCTGTTTCCATATAACTTCTATTTTTCAGCAATCCTTGTTTAAAACAGGAAGATTACAAAGCAGATTTCAGAAGATAGGATTAGAGGTGATTTCTTTTTTAACAATAACTATAAACAAAGGCATATTGTTATAAATGGAACAAATATATTTGGGATTCAACTTTCATAGTAAAGTACAAAATCTAATACTTTTGGGGGCTGAGTCACAAATCAGCATTCTAACCCACTCTGTGAGCCACCGAGGCTGAAACTTTACTAAGAAACTGTAATCGCAAATAGGCATTAGTTACATTTGACCACTTTCATTGCTTAATAATGTAATAAATGGGTTATTGGATGACATACTGTGATAATTGCAATGCAGCTTTTAAGGATTCCATGGTTTTGTTTTCAAGTTGTTATGACCAAATCAATACAAAATTATGTACTTCTGTACAAAATGCATTCTAAAATCATCTAGGGTTGAATAACTTATCAAAGACTTCAAAACTTCAGTGAGAAAAAAATATATATTACCCATTAATGCATCTGCCCAAAAGTTGTTTCTGATGATAATAAGCCTAGAATTCATTCTGAAACTTTTAACTGTTAGAGAGGACTGGCTTGACAACCAGCTGAATAAGTCAGCCTTGTGGTTAGAGGTCTTGTTGGCATGTCTGATCGAAATATAGCTTCATGTCAACAATATTAGCCAATAATTGGTCATAGTTAATGAGTCAGAGGTCATATGCTGTCTGATGCTATTGCTGGCCTTTGATTTATTTGTTGATGATAACTTCAATAAACACTGATGTATTCAGAACAGATTCAGTTCAAGCAGGTACTTAGTCTTCTTTTTGTGCACAGAGAACCTGTGTCACAGAGGTGAACATTGGAATATGTTCACCTCAGCTTCAAGTATAAATTGTATGGTCTTTATCTGAAAGCATACCTGTCATGTCTGCTTTCAACATGATATTGACCTAATTTTGAAGTTCATCAAGAGATTTTTCATGAGAAAAGTATGATGCTTGATCCCTTTGATGCATACCTTCATGTTGTTTCCCTTAATCCCTGCTTGATGTGTATAAGTGTGTTTGTGTATAAGAACCTATACGGAAACATTAAATCATACTATAATAAAGAAGTTGTCATCCATAAAGCATCATACTTTTCTTATTATTCATTAACTTCTTAAATGTCAATCAAACAGATCAGGAAATTCATGGGTTAATTATGTAAAAGACACACAATTCACATTATACTGGTAATTAGCTATATTAAAGTGCAGATGTATTTGAACAATGGCCTCACACACCATGATGTATTATTGTTGTAATTGAAAAAAATCTACGTTCCTTCATTATAGACAAGCAAGCCCTACCATGTGACCCCTGCCCTTTACCAGTCCTGCCTCAGGTATACCATCATGGCCAAGATTGCCCCCAGTTGGAACAAAGCTGGAGAGTGGATGGTGCAGGGTAAGGAAATTGTATCTCACTTTTCCATATCAAAGTTAAAAAAGAAACCTCTAAATTCAAAGGGTCTTGTCAAATACCTTGGTGTTTATAGTGAAAGATTTAGGGTTACTCCCGATTCAGACTTAAAGAAGAACTTTCAGATCTCTCTCAATTTAGAACACTGCATATAATGATCCTAAGATTAGTAATCCAATGAACCATGACTTATGAGATTATAAGCTGTCTGAGAAGTCGGGTGCCTGACAAAAGGGGATACCCCAGCTATGAATCACAATGCCTTTCAGAAAGTGGTCAAATGTAACATGGAATTTTTGAGGTTACACTTTCTTGGTACAGTACAGATTGTTGTACTTAAGTTGAGACCCGCCAGGATTTGTACCCACACTTTCAGAGTGAAGTACCTAATGGAGAGCACTGCGGCTTCCACAATGGAAATCTGACAACTGGTAACCAGATCATGTACTTTGTGTACCTCACACCAGACACCAGCAAATGTTACAAGACCAGGGCCCCATTTCACCAAGCTCTTGTAAACCTAAGATCTTGCTGCATTCATACCTCCTATACTGTAACATTGGAGTTATGAATGCTACGAGAAAAGTTACGAGATCTTAGGCTTACGAGAGCTTTGTGAAACAGGGCCCAGAAGAAGATTTGCTAAATTCAGTCTTTGAACATGTGGCAAAAACTGAACCATGGATAACAATCTTGTGTTGGCACCAGAGAAACAATGACTTTAAATATTGTGTTGACACCAGAGAAACAATGACTTTAAATATTGTGTTGGCACCTTTACTGTTATGACAACATTCTGGCACACTCTTTGTTAAAAGCACACTGATATTGCTGATTACAGACGAGAATTGTGGATTTCTCTCTCCTTAATGGGGATTTGAATCTCAGAGAAAATAAAGATAAATATCATATGTTTAGTGTTATGGCTCCCACATGGGTACAATGTGTGAAGCCCATTTCTGGTGTCCCCTGCTAATATTGCTAAAAGCGGCATAAAACTATACTCACTCACTCACTGTTATTGCTCAATTATCTTACAGGTCGTGACTTTCTCACCCATACTGGATACACAAATGCAGTGAGTAAGTATACTTATGTTTACCTTCATGTTCAAGTGTTGTAAGGCACAAGCAGCCATAAATATGAAATAATAAATGACTTTGAAGTTTCTTTTAAGGACTTGGCAGACTCAGCTTCATGCATTGTATTCACTTTTCTGCAGTTGTAGAAAGACGTTTTACTGTATTCATTTTGAAGTGTTAAAACTGTTAACATCCAAAATGATTTCTCCAGCTGACCAATTTTTACAGGTGATGTTAACAGTCCTAAGAGCTTGTTTATCTTATATTCAATATTGATTTTTCCAGAAATGAATTTGACAGTAAACAGGGATGAATTATTTGTATCTCTTTTGGCCACTTCAATCAAGTTTCCACCTTTACAGGTAAATGAACAATGTGTGATTGTGTTAGGCCCATTGCTCTTGCATCTGTTCCTTTTTATCCTGATTAAATAGTCCTATATTTAACTTGGAGTCTGCCACATACTTGAGCCCAAGAAAAGCACACCCATGATTAAGTCAAACAGTGCAAGCAAACTGTTAAATGGAAGTTTCACTGTCCATTTAAATGCACAGCCAGACACAGTGTAAATCTTGTGGGACATGCAACTAGAGTAGCACTATTGTATTATGTGTATTGGTGAGATTATTGAGTGAGTGAGTTCAGTTTTACACTGCTGTTAACAATATTCGAGCAATATCACGGCAGGGGACACCAGAAATGGGCTTCACACATTGTACCAAATCAAACTCAGGTCTTCAGCATGACATAAGAACAATTTAACCACAAGGCTTTCCCACGCTCGCGATTATTGAGTTATAATTGTATTACATGTGACGTGAATGATGAACACTCATTTGATCTAAGCTTTAAGTTGTGCTATAATAACATGCTCATTTAAGGATAGCTAATTGGTCTTTGTTTCAATAGGTGATTGATCTTGATGTTGACCAGAACTTCCTGAATGCATTGCGGATGAATCAACATGACTCAGTAAAAGATATGTTTCTTTACAACTGCTGGTGTCATGTGTTGCCAAGGTAGGTCATTCATATTCACTGTTAATTACCTCATTAAATGGTTATTATTTGATTGTCTGTAACCTGTTTAATATGAAAATGAGAACGCTGTAACCCATGCTTGTCATCCATGGACTTTAAGTAACTGGATGTGTCATTTTTTTAATGGCTTGATGTATTTGCAATGTCATCCAAAGCTCAGTCAAGTCCCGACTTGATTACTTTCATGCCATCAGAACTGTCACAAGGCTAGGTTCTATAGATGATACATTTTTTTCCAAGTGATTATAAAAGTGAAGTGAAACTGTTAGTACCATATAGGGAATGGCAGTGATAAACATCAGGGATGAACGTCAAATGGTACTTGAACAAGCCTTAATCAGTGTATAAAACTGCTTGCAAGACCAATGGTCTTTATCATAACCATAGTGATAAAAATAAAACCCCAAGATTCAAATACTGCAAAAGTAAACCCCAAGTTTCCTCAAGATTTAGGAGATCCCTAATTTAAAATATCACAACAGCAAACAGGGACATATCAGGATCTACCAAGAGACTCATATTTTTGCCCCCAGGTCGGATTCAGATTCCAGTACTCTTTCTAAGTTGGAATCTACACACACATACACACACATAGTTTGAGACCGTGGCAAACATAAAGACATGATTCTCTGAGCAAGTCTCGCAGATCCTAGGAACCTCCTTATGTTTTTTCCACAACTTTCGATGACTACATTGTCTCTGAAACATTCCTAATAATACAATATATATATTTACATTGCAGCTTGAAGAGAGGGCGTATCTGTGGTGTGAGTCGAAATGTGCCAGATGACGGGCCTTTTAAGTCTTATAGAGATCTGAAGAGACATTGGAAGAATACTGTAAGTACAAAGTTTAGTGGTTGACTGAAAGCTGCTGCATGTATTCAAAATTCAGATTATTCATTACACATATTTTTATTTTCATAGGCACTTTGCCAGTTACCATCGTTTGAAGTACAATATGTAATTGATTGAGTTAGATTTAACACCACTTTGAACAGTATTTATATATCACAGAATGTCAAGAAAACCTGAAATGATTTCAGGTCATAGACGAGGAAGGGAGGTCCTATAGTCAAGCCCCAAGACCAGACCAAATTTCATTACCTGTTTGACAGATTTTTTATCCTGCAACCCTGATATGAGGAAAAAAGATATGAAAATGAAAATATATTTTTAACAAGCTAAAACAGAAACTAAATTGAGAACTACATAGTAGTATTGGCAGTTGGTTGAAATCTCACAATTGATGATTGGTTCGTTAACAACGAGCAATCATAAAAAAAATTGGTTTTCAGATTTTCCTGTTCAGGTTGTTATTGCAGATAAGTATAACATGGTATGTTGTTTTTTGGTTTATTTTGAAACTGCAAACATTTCATATACAATGTAAAATGATGCAGCTTGTTACTCTATAGTGATGACTAATATATCATGAACATAAACTTCCCAGAATCTTCAAGAAATATTCAAACATACTTTTGAGTAAGTGAAGTGAGTTTTCTAAGAATTAAGATGTTTTCAGGCCCTTTCAACTTTTGAGATATGTTCCATTGTCAAGTGTTTCAAACACTAAAACGGTAGTTACAAAATGGTTTGAGTTTGATCATGAGAAAATGTGATTGATTGCTTTGTTGTTTGGTCACTGCGACCAATCTTCGATTATTTCAACTAATTAGAACACTACTACTGCATTGTGACTATTACCATATTTTATTTGTGTATCATACACAAACACCATTTGGAGCATTCAGCTGTTTTTGGTTTCTGTGACTAAATCCTGAATTATTTATAAATGTATTTGCAAATGTCAGGATACTACTAACTCTCCCTCTGTTTTTAGTATGGATACCGACTACCAGACACAGAAGATGACATGATGTTCTATCAGATCTCATTTAGACAGAATGGAGGAAAACTTTTCACATATCCTTCTATGTATTAGTTAGATATGGTTTATGTGGTCATTCACTCACTCACTCTTCCTGAAACTTACTTCTAAAGAATAATGATGTTAAATTTCTTGGTTTAAAACAATTTCCAACCTGAGTCGAACATGCTGACCCTTAACAATTGTCACTTACCCCAGTGTATGTCTGAGAGCGGCAGATATGCAGCAAATCCCTCGCATTGACCCCAAGCCAATTCTCATCGCCTTCATTCAAGACCTGCACAGCAAACTACCATCAATCTGTGGCCATCCTCTGAAGTTCCTCCCTAAAGTCAGATACACCATTCCAGAACTCTATGACAGTAGTCAGGTATTATTCAACAATACTGAAACTGTTTTCATCCTTCATTTACTCCTTTTGTGATTCAGGGGGTTCACTTGTCCTCCCAATATTTGTCCCAATAATTGACAAACATGGAGCTGAGTTATCCTGTTGGTTCTGGGGCTTAGCTGATTGTGTGTAATCCTGCCCTGATGGATAGTTGCTCATGTTTCTGTCACTGTTTTGTCTGGTCAAGATTAATTACAGACTGCCATTTTATAGCTGGAATATTGTTGACTGGAGCTGTAAACAACAAACTGATAATTCAGTATTGATCAGTCCTGTCTGACCATAGAAAAGTTTTTCTTTCATGTACCAATCTGTAGAGAAATTATCTGAAAATTATCAAAGGAAGCTGGTATGCTTTTAAAATCTTTACACTTTGTGTGAAAACAACATATTTAAAATGAAGCGATGCATTTGAATATCATAGACAAATCATCTAATCATTAAGCATACTTTGTATATCAAACACAAAAAGACCAGCAGACAAATTCCTGTCATTGTTCTAGATGAACCACTATAGGTGATATATATCTGGCTGTTCAGGATGTAATTATTCAATAACTAAAACCAACTATCACAAAACGTACTTGGACTAGTGACATATTGAACATAACCATTTGGGGAGAAGACATTTAATCCAACTTCTCATAGAGCGACAATTAATGTTTAATCCTTCCACAATTTCACTGATCATATGCCCAGCAGACTAATAACCTTGCTGAACACTCCAAGTGACCTTGTTAATTTTTATGTTTCGTCTTGTACACATTTGGTCTATCACTAGGGCTCTGCTCAGTCCTATGACTAACATAACTCCAATATACAAACATGTACAAATAGTACAGTGGTACTATGATAGCTTGTGGAAAAAGACACTGAAATACTATCTACGGGTCACTGGCAAAATACATGATTTCTCCATGTGACATCTTGTTGCAGGTCCAAAATGGTGCTCATCCAAACCTGTCCAAGAGGAACCCTCACCTCTCATCTGTCCCTCTCCGCAGCAGTAAGGACCTATCACACATGTATGTTCACAAACCTTATGCCCCGATCACTGCACAAGCAAACATTCAGCGTTCTCCAGCCGAGGGAGCTCCATGCCCCAATACGTTCCCACAGGTCACACCAAGTGATGACACACATTCTTCATCTGTTTCAAGCGAAAGAACAACCTATGATACCAGCAAGGCTGGTAGCTCAATGGCTTCAATACTAGCAAGCCATGTTGCCACCACTCACTGCATACATGACTCCATCAGAAATCGACAACAGCCAACAGTATTTCCTGATCGGTGCCCACTAAGAGTGAACACATCAAATGCAGATTCATACATTGCAACACAGAGTTCCTCCAGCAGTTCCAATAAAATTGTTCCAGTTTTCAGACCAAAGGCTTTTAGAAGTTCATCAGTGTACAAGGAAGCTGCTACACTTAGACAAGTGCCCAGGTTCAAACCAAAACCAAAGCCAGGTTCCTCAGACTGCCAAACATCCCACAGTGATACAATACAGGTAGCTGTTGAAAAACCTGGGTCTCATAATGTCTTTTCTAAACACATCACCTCGATGACTGCTGGAGGCACTACTCCATCATTTGCAAGGAAAACATTGTCAACAGCTTATCAGACAACTGAATCCTCTCCCATCAAACCAAATGCAACCCTGCAAAGACCAAAGAAAAGTCTAAGCCAGATACAACCCCAGAAAAATCCAAGATCTGAACGTACAAACCCCAATGCTCCAGGTTGCCAGACTAAGTGTAACATCAGTGAATCAAACTAATATGAAGTCCACAAGTGTGACCAACTCTACAGACTTGGTGCAGGTCGTCACTAGTCATGGCAGTATTCAGAATGCTGAATGTCTCAAGAGGAAGGCCAGTATTGTAAGTTTCAGGGACCATTTTTGCTGTGCCCATATAAAACTAATTATGTACAGGCAGGTACAGTAATTTTTTTACATTTTTTTTTTAGGCTTAAAGGGGCACTGATCCAGAGCAGTCCCTCAGGACCGTTTCTTGTTTTTCTTATTGTTTTTCCCCTGGGTACCTGGATGATATCCCAGAATTCTTGACTGGTTTGTGACTCTCCTGCACAACTCAGCTGATAGTGGGCCAAAAAAGAGTGTCCTCTCAGTGGTCAACAAAGATGAAATACACTTTTGTCTTGGAATTAATTGGGGAATGAAGTCATATTTGTAACCCCTGATTATTTAATAAAATAAAATATGCCCATCTAGTTTATACTTACGACAATTCCAAACATGTTTGATTTCAGTTAAGTTTCATTTCATCTCCCACTGACTAAAAGTGTTAGGGTTAAAGGAAGACAAGTCTATTCAAGCAGACAGTATTCTGTTCAGAGCTACAACAAATGAATGAGAACAAAATCATAAATTTACAACCGACAAAAGTTGCGTAAAAAATATCAGGCAGTAACCTTGTTCAAGGAATGCATCTATCAATCTTCACATAAAGAAACAATATCCCATCCAGCTAACAAAGAAATGTCACTTGTCTTGTAAGAATTTCATATTGTAAAATGTATATAAAGTTTTGGATATTATAACTCATCATAGTTTCTCAACTGTTCATGTAACTTGTTTTAGGTTTTTCACAATTTTCATAAAGTCGCATTTGTCAGCTGAGATCACACACATGAATGCTTGCACGGCTGGGATACATTATTAAAATCAGAACCACCTGGGATATTTCCAAATAACGACATCTGGTGGGCATCCCCCATTCTTTTGTGTGTTTAGTTTGAAAATTTATTAACACGAGCTCTTTGGTATGCGTAAACATAAAACTTGCCTCAAAGTTTATGTTTGCTGTCCTTACAGACAGTAGCCAATTCGCTGGCAAATTTTCTGAAGTCTGTATGTAGACCTAGGTGGAAGTGTTGAAGCCATAGATCATTGCCCCTTTAAAGTAACCAAAAAACATTTCTGCTGCAGTTACTTCACAACATACACAGTATGAATAAAGTGTGCCAAACACTTTTGAGTTGATTTGTCTGAACTTGTCATTAACACCATTTTCAGTAGATTTTCAGTTATCATATGGACTGTTTTCAGCTGAGCTTACTAGACTAGGGTCGGACAAGTTCCAAATTCACATTCTTGGATATTATTGATCTGATGTGATGTGATCAGGATTCATTAAAGATGCAACTCAAGTTTGACTAGGATTTTCTTGATGTCGTCACAATGCTATGACATCGCTGCACTGCAAGTCTAATGGCAGTACTGTGTTCAGAGATGTACATTTTTCATTGACAAAACTAATGAAGAGTGATTTTTGATGATAAATAGAATCTCACCCTCGTGTCTACTGATATCAATTATATCAACACTTGTTGATAAAAGTAAAAAATGTCCTCGGCAAGCCTTAGATATTTGTAACTTTATCAACTCGTGTTGATATATAATTGATATCATTAGACATTTGGGAGAGATTCTCTATTTCAAAATTTTAATCATGGCGTTGGGTCTTTAATAGGATGAGGTTGAGAGTTCCATGAAGAAGCCACGAACCAAAGCCCAGGTACAGGATGTTGATGTCGAGATGCTGGCCAGAGCTAACCAGGTACTGTTGGTCAAGGCACGGGTCTTAGGAACACTCTATCACTACCTACATATGCCTCTTCCAACAAGAATGTTAAGACACCTTTGTATAATACCAAAATTTGAAATGCATAGTTTTAAGCAAGTCAGAAAACCCAGAACCTGTCATAACTTAGTTATTTACAGCAAACCTAAGAAGTGAGTGATTTTCTTTCGTTAAATTTCTTTATAAACCTATCAATGTAATTTCATCCTGCCAGTTTTCACCAATAAGCTTTTCTAAATAACTATTTGATGAGGTAGTGTAATAATTTACGTATTATACTCGGAATACTGTAGTCACATCAAATGGGGCTAAAATGTTACAACTAACAAATTCAACTAGGTCTGTCTTAAAAAACTTATCACAAATCTATGAGGTATGTAGAAGTAGCCTAGTTGTTAAAGCTTTTGCTCTTCATGTTCAAGACCTGATTTCTGTTTTCTAAAGGAGTTAAAAAGTATGAAACCCATTTTTGATGTCTCCCACATTGATATTACACACATATCGCTCAACTAGTCATAAATCATACTCACGGAAAGAGTTCCTTCCGTTCCACCATTTCTTTCTTCCGCAGATTAACAGAGGTAACGCAACGTGGTTCGGCCCTATATATTGTAATTATTTTTTGGGCTTTTAGTTATTTTTGTGAGTTCTCTAGTAATTGCTGTGTTAGGTTTTGTTAATAATCTTAGTATATATTAATTACTAAATATTATTTGGAATGGGGGAACGGCAGGACCTCCTACCTCACTCACTTCCAAATTTGGTAAAAACAATACATAAATTGATTAAACATTCAGTAGCAGAGAACTATGATGCTTTCAAAACATTTCCATTTTGACTGATAGAGACTTCTATCATGTAGTTGTATGTATTAATTACCTGTAATGGTGATATGTTTTAGCTGAACAAAGTAAATAGCGTCACTCTATTGGCCTGGCTTAAAATGCAAGGAGTCCCATGCAAGACAAAAGACAAGAAATCTGACCTCATCAACCATGTGAATCATATCATTCAACTTGAGAAGACAGAAGAAGAATAATGAGAAGAGGAGGTATACTGAGATACACTGCTTGTACATAGCAGCAAGATTAAGAAAGGAAAGGTATCTCTTATCAAATTATGCATTCAGTATGGAATTAATAGATAATAGCTTAGGACATCAAAAATCATTACAGCAGCACATAATCTTATTGTTATAGTATCTACAGGCAAAAGAAATCAGCTTATGTTTTTTTCTTTATGTGATGACGTAGTCTTGTAGAGATTTTACAAAACTAGAAATGCAAAAGTGGTTTCCAGATTTTGATTATATATAATAATACTCAACAGATCATAATAAATTGTTCATATTTGACACATCATTGTCACTGAAGTTAATCATGGCACACATGAAAATGAATATCAAGGTGAAGGTCATCTGTTCTAAATAGCTTGTAAGGCATCCATGAGAGTCTAGAACTGCCTGGGATCATCGTCTCATGAAATCACTCAGATCATGAATTGTGACCAGGGGAATGTTCACCCACTCTTCCTTCAGTGTTTCTCTGGTTTAGATCTGGACACCTTGAGGGCAGTGGCAGTACTTGGATGTTGTGGTTCTCAAAAAGGCATTGTCAGTTAAGGACACTGTCAGTCTTGCTGTGAGGTTGGGCATTGTTGGGATGAGGAATGACCATGGGTTTTTGTAGAATGGGGAGGGACATGTGGCTGAAGATTTTTTTCTGTCACATTGTGCCGTTAAATTGCCCTGGACATGTACCAAGTTTGTAATACAGGAATGGCAGATGGCTGCCCACATCATTACACTCTTGCTTACAAAGCTGTCCACCCTATATACAGTTTCAAGTACCGGTATAATGTTCACCACTTTGTAAACACATCTTCCATCGGTACAGAGAAGCAAAATCTTTAATTGTCACTAAACCAAACTCCTTTCTACTGCTGTTGTGGCCATACTCTGTTTCCTTGACACCACTGATGTTGCAGTCAACGATGCTGATCGACGGTGCATAATAACACCTTGAACTGGTCATATTGGGTGAATACCTGCAGTCGGGCAGTGGCGTTGTTACGTTGGGCTTCTGTCAGTCGTGGCATATGTTCACTTAGCTGTATAGTTGTCATGACAGACAAATGAATATTGTTTTCATAGCCCAACAAATTATATTGCAAATTCATTTTATGTCGGTGTGTTTGGCAGCCACATTTCCATGTGTTGCATTTTTGCATTTCCCCTACTTTTCTGGTATTTTTTAGTCACACTATTCTACTCACACAAATCACTCCTGGTGATTGCAGACATGAGAAATTCATTTTGTACAAACATGTATTAGCAAAACTCTAATATTTCCAATTTTTCTACTTTCACCATTCTTTTTTGGCAGAGTATACATTTCTTTTTTTAGTAGACATTCATGCTCTAAATAAAGACTCAACAGTTAATGTCTGTAAATGCCTTAGTAGTTTTGTAAAAATAATTTATAAAAAAATTAAGGCCTCCTGTCTCCGCTTTTGAAAGAATATCTAATATGCAGTTTTATTGTGGCCTTCACCGTGAAATTATATGTAAATAAGTTATTTATCAGATTGCCACAGTCTAAATGCAGTCTCAATTCTTGAACTGACTGACTGACTGAGTTTGGTTTTACGCCGCTTTTAGCAATATTCCAGCAACATCCCGGCGGCTCAATTCTTGAAGGTGTACTAAGCATTGAATGCTAACTTCTAATTGAGATATTCATACACTTGGAAATCTTTATGTTTTTGTTTATTGTTTGACGTCGCACTCATCAATAATCCATCTGTATGACGTTAGTCTGTAAATAACAACTTCTGGATCAGACAGTCCAGTCATTGACAGCACAAGCATCGATCTACACAATTGTCATACAATGACATGCATCAACCAAGTCAGCGAGCATGACCATCCAGTCCCGCCAGTCACCTCTTACGATAAGCATGGGTTGCTGAAGACCAATTTTAACCAAGACCTTTAAATCTTTACATGGAAGTACTGAGAACAAAACAGATTCATATTAAGAAGAATAATTTTATTGCATTAACAAACAATCATAGCACTATCTGTACCATACACTAACATGAATGCCAGGTCTTGTCCAAAATCTCAGTAAAGTAAATTTCCAATTTAGATTGTAAACTGTAATGTGGTGAAAGAACATTTGAACCTACTTTGGATTTGATGGAAAACTAGCTCATAGACATTCCAGTAATCAATTGAAAACATTTACATTCACAGACAGCAATTCACCATCTTGTTTAATAAATTTCATACATCACACATCGATACATTACCATCTGTGGGGTAACAGACACAACCAATACGACTGGCCTCATTTCAGAATGAGCAGATAATTGCATAAGACACATGTACTTTTCAACATTATCTACAGTGTTTCAGATATACTGATAAATGCCAAATTACATTAAACCATGTATGTGTAATACTAGTATACATATTTTGAGAATAAATACAATGTGTCATATCCATATTTAAATCTGTAACTAATTTTCTGTACCTATTTCAATCAGGGTTGTAATTACAAGCTACAAGCTGTTACAAGGCCCCTTTGACTTTCAGTCCTAATTTTAACGACTACGGTCATACATCAGTGTATTGATATCACTGTATTAATATACAAAAGTGCATGTATCTTCTGTGGTATATCATGTTTACTTCATGAGACAATACAGTGCAATAATAAATATAGTTTGTCTGTACAGAACAAACATAAAAATGTCTATTTACACAACAACATATGTCAACAATGTACATTTTCTGTATCAGGTCTCATTGTGTACACTATGGAGGAGTATTCGTCTTGTTTTGTTCAGCATGATTGTACACATAAAGGTTCTTAGCACTAGCTAAAGGTCTCTACATTAGCACCTTTTTTAATGAATTGGGGTTTGACGGGATCTGAGCAAAAGTCTTCATTTGCACCATGGAAGCCCCATAATAACAGTTTTACGATGGTTGAAAAAGTATGCAGTAAAATATTCATGTCAAGCACTATTAAAGTTCATTCTAATGTCTTTCATAACTTCTTTTTGTTATATTAAAGACTACCACTCACATACTGGATACCTCATCTCAAAGTATGATCATGACCAAAATTCAAATCTCGCTCAACCATTGGGTACACACAATCATGGTACAATGAAAATTACTCTCCCTCTTAATTCATTTCCAAAATCTAAGTGTTTTAAATTTGTACCGGAAATGAGTCAATCATGCAAAATCATTTGTGACAAAAACACAACCTAAATGATTCTATCTTGTACAAGAAACTTGTAAATTAACAAAATCATCTGTGCAATCTTTAATAATAATAATAATACATATGTCAAATGATATTGCAAGCAGTCACTGGTGTATAAATGGGTATATCCCCCATTCCTGTGACACTGTGATAATGAATGATGCCAACCAGCAGGAATTTCTACACACGAAGCACTCCTGGACTATGTCTTTCATTTGTTAGTGAGACAAATGTACAGTTGCAACTGTATTAAAAGCAGTGACTTTCTTACACATTTCCTCAAACGTTTAAATTTACTCACTTCATAAACATTTCCAGTTGTAATAAATTACACACAACTGTTATCCACGCAACCACAATGACTAGGGTTCTTTTCAGTATGTTTATGATATGAAAACAGATGGATTCTTTAGAGAAGCATACATGGTTGAACCTTAATACTATCACATCGCTTACTTTGAGTTCATACTTCTTAGCTCTGAGAGTGAGGGATTCGAATCCTAGTTGGGATTCAACCCAACAAAAGTACTAGAAACTGTAGTTAACTGAGAAAGTGTAATCCCAATTATAACGTGTTACTTACTTTCCTCAGATCTGATAAAACCTTCATTGGTCACTTTCTCTGCTAATACCCAGACAGTTCATAAAAATACGTATGTGAAGGAGTAATAGATCTAATTCAAATAAGAGTGACACATGACTTCATGTAATGTTACGGGGACAAAGTTATCTTATTCATTTTACTACCTATCTACTTTAGACTAAATTAACTATGTAATGTAGGATTCCTCAAGTTTAAGAAGGTGCTCACAAATAGCTGAAGTTCACAAATGGGAATGTGGAAAATGAAAGACATAAGTGGATACTAGGGAGAACTTAGTCAATAAGTCCATCGGCTTTCAGATTGTTTGACATACAGACACCTGGTCTTGGTAGTGGTACAACAGCTCAATGACGCTGGGTTTTGTACATGCTTATAAGAACTGTGGGGACCTCAGTCAGTGCAGCAAGATATCGGGACATCAATAATCATACAACAAGCTCATGGCTTCTGCTGCCTTGCATCTCACTTGTGGGGATATATCCTTCAGCAGCAAAACAAGAGCTGAAATCACAACAAATGTAAAGACATTTATACTTCTTTCTGGACAGATGACCTATCTCTTACACACTCTTTATTATAGCTGGAGCTCATTAACACATGTAAAAATCAAAGCGAGATTCAGCCTGAAATGATACAGGGAATTGGGTTAATCAGTACTTTGAATAGTATTTCAATACTATATGACCACTTAGTGTGGTAGGAAATCCCAGTTATACAAGTATGCAGGTGAAGATATGAATACAGGTATGATGCTGACAAAGGATTCTAATTGAAGCAAATAATGGATTCAGACCCATAACAAGTGAATTCTGGTATGTGTTAGGCATCCAAAGACACTGTTCTTATGATCACTGTATGCTCTAACATACGACAATCATACTGCTTTGATCACTTTGTAGAACAGGGCTCTGATGTGATACAACAAAGTCTAATACTTTACTGAAATCTTCACAATAAATTCAAGACAGTGCAAGAAATGTGACAGTTTTTCCCCATTTAATTACACCAACTGTTTAAACATATTACCACTCCTGCTGCAGGCTCTGAACTAACATCATTGTCAGTTATCAACAGTGACTGTATCAGAAGAACAGTACCTGAACACACATGTTCCTTTGTGATGTTTCCTTGCTTCTCTTTTGGTAGATTACCCAGCATGAACCCTGGTGAGGAAGGGACAACCGTAACAATACCATACAGTCTGTCAATGCATGACAATGTGACTGAACATGTGAATACTGCTCACAGACAAGAGTTCATAGTTTGGGTGCATGTTGGATTTTAAATCATGACCACTGCATCCTGGTAGCAAAGAAAATAACACTGTGGAGATTTATGCCACATCAATGCATTAAAGTGTCTTATTTACTGAGTGACAGTAATGCCAGTAAAGCCTGTTCACTGAAATGACAGATGAGAATTACTAGTAGAACAAAATAAAGACATGAATAAGTGAGGGAATGATTTTACAATGCAGACATCACTGCAGCTTGTAAATAATCATCTGTGCTGTGGAAACTAATGCTTTTGCCACAACCAAAACTCAAAACTTTTGAGTAACAATGGCACAAAATTGGCCAGATCAGAGTTTTACCTCCTCATCACCCTCATTCAGCTTTTGTAAGAAGCAGTGGGCACTGTGACCCTTGTCTGCCTTGAATCTAAACCTACATAGCAGAAACTTCTCATATGGACAAATGTCAGTATATGTATACCTGCAAACATTGCAGCATTGCTTTTGATTTCATCCCAGTGGCTTTTGAAGAATGCAACGCAGCCCATCACATAGAAGTTGGTCTTTTCCGAAAAATCTTGAATCTATGTTAAAGAATCATCAAATCATAGTTAAAAACTTTGTCTTCATCAACAACCTAAACCCGCCTATGGAAAACTATTTATACATGGAAATGTATGTATATCCAGCATGGAAAGTCACATAACTTGGGCATGTACACAATTATCATCGTGGACAGGATTTTTGATTATCACATGGGGTCACATTTATTAAAAACAACTTTATCTTGGACACAAGCCATCATCCCAGTGCGTGTGACACAACCTGCCCTGTCATAGCCAGAGTAAGCGCTGCTGTCCAAAAACGATACAAAAGAACAGAATATTTAAGACTTGTATGTCATGACTGTTAAAAGACAATAATAACAGAAAAACCAAGAATATTAAAGGAGAGCAATAACTGTTTCATTTTTAAATGTATAATAGTGTTACCTGTAAATCTGGAAGGTGATATTAGTGAAAAAGTTGTGACTACCACTGGTACTACTTACAATAAGTTTGGACAAGTCATTCATGAATTCCCCATAGAAAAGATTTGCCTCCTCCAGAAGATGTTTCTGAAATTTGTCATTGACAGCCTCTGATCCTATCAGTGGCCCCAGCATCCGTAGGGCATACTTGCAAGCCTGGGAACACAGGGAAGTTCAAACAGTTTACAGGGTGTATCATATCATAATGATATGTTTTCTTACACAACACTACATATGAATACAGTGTGTACCAAGAATTTAGAATACAAATAAGGTACACAAAGGGAATTTGACAGAGTCACTACAAAACGTAGATACACAATGTATGCAATTTAATACAAAGTAAGAGTGATTGAGTTTAGTTTTACGCTGCTTTTAGCAATATTCCAGCAATATCACAGCTGAGGATACCAGAAATGGGCTTCACACATTGTACCCATGTGGGGAATAGAACCTTGGGCCTGCGGTGGGATGAGCGAACGCTTTAAACACTAGGCTACCCCACTGCTCAACAAAGACAGAATTTAGATCTTGTGATTAAGATTATCTCAAGCCCACAAACAAGATATGTCATGTAAAAGCCATTATCAAAATCTTGATTTATCATAGGTGCCTGTACCATTTGTTCCACAACCCTCCAAAATGTCGAAGGTAGAAAATTGTCTTTAAGTTCTTGAAAGGCATTTAGAAGTTGGACGAACATGAAAACATAACACGTTTTATGTATTACAACTTTTAATTCTTTATACAATGTTTCAGAGCTAATTCTTCCTCCTTCATCAGTTGAATGATGAAACTCCAGAATTAGCTCTGAAACATTGTATAAAGAATAAAAATAAGTTGTTATCCATAAAACATGTCACGTACTGAAACTTTCAGTTGTCTATGGCAAGACATAGCAGTCTGAACCATCTTAGATCTAAAAAGATGGTTCAGACTGCAATGTCTATGTGTGATCTCCCACTTTCAAATTTGAATTACACATGCTCACTGAACTTTTTTGTCACTTTCAATTCAACTGATAAAGACGACTTATACCAGAGCATCTTAACGTTGTGTTATTACTTGTGCTGCAATGAATACACTATGAGACAAATACAATGAGTTTTACGAATATATAGCAATAACAATGAATATTTAATAATATAATAATAATAATAATTTATGAATACTTTATGTTAAATAACAAGAAATTAAAATAACAAACTGGTCATTAATTACTTAAGTCAAAGGCGTAAAAACAATATATATGCATGTATATATATATACGTCTTTGATTAAGTTGAAACACTAAGATTTTCTATAAATCGAAAAAAGTAAAACATTGCAAGCATAGCTGTGTTTAGCCTAATGACAGTGACGTAAAGGGCCTTAGCAAAATAACACAAGTTCCGCTACTGTGTGGATTGGGTATATTCCACTTTGCATATATCACTAAGATGAACAACAAACTTGTTCCAAGTAAAAACACTGTCTTAAATATATTCTAAAATTCGATTCTAGTGACCAATAATGAATTGAATTCATGAAGGGATACGGTTTGATTCACGAATATTAGAGTGAATCATAACAACACTAGATGTTAAGTTATAAGTTTGGAGAGGTTGGTTTGGCCATTTTTTTATTCATTAATCTTAATTTGAGTGGGATGAAGGTAAAAGGGGTGATCATGATGTAGATTTGACATGGCTTCATATTGTAATGTGTACATCATTCTTGCTGCGCCACTACTTTAATGTTACTTGACAATTGCTATAAAAATCTCTCAACAATACTGACTCACTTGAGTATTTTTTAACACTGACAGCTGTACATGGGAATTAATTAAGCGATGATTTTTCTGTTTTATACAACACCTAATCAATCAAATTACAGACCACCTGTTACCAATTGATGTTGACTTTACAACTGCATGGAATACTCGGTATCCTCTCACAATTAGTAAGTGAGTGAGCGAGTTTAGTTTTACACCGGTTTTTGCAATATCTCAGCAAGATCATGGCTGGGGACACCAGAAATTCCCTTCACACATTGTACCCATGTTGATAATCAAACCCAGGTCTTCAGCATGACGAGCGAACCATTAGGCTACCCTTCTCACAATTAACCTCATAGGGGAATATACTCAACCTTTGTACTGAATGCAGATGCTCGAGTCTCACCTTCTTCACATCCGGTTCTGGATCATTCAGATGTAAGAGAAGACTGATGAAGTTACTGTGTATTTGTTCAAGGAAGGGTGCTCGAGACGGACCGTCTCCGAACCGGGACAGATTGCCAAACAGTATGAACGCCTGAGCACGTACTGCTGGTTTCTCCTGCAATAACAAACAAAAGACACAAAACTCATTTGAAATACCTACACAAGTCTTACAATAATGATGCCATGAAGTTGAAATTTCTTTCAATGTCTATAGTGAAAGACTGAAAACAGTATGTTCTCATTTTCAGAGAATATTAGTCTACTGTCAACATACACTTGTGATAATTTATATTTCTAACAACATAATGCAGCCAAATGAAGAAATACTAATAGTCAAAATTTCTGTCCAAACATGAAGGTCTCTTGGTATCACCAACATCTTTATCAGAATAATTGCAATACTGCCTAATCTGAAATAAAGCTCCCGAACATATTTAATGCAAAACAGTATATACAGTAGAACATGGTTATAGCGAACACGGATATAGCGTACAAACGGATATAGCGAACAAATTTAAAAGTCCCGTCAACAGTCCTTTATAATATCATTAAAATGATACGTGAATAACGAACTTGTGAGTAGCGAATTAACGGCTATAGCGAACTGATTTACTACCCCCAAGACCCAATTAACGACGTGATTAGCGAACTCACGCAGTGTCAGCTCAGCCACTTAGCGGTACAGTATACATCAATCTTGTTGGCGGTGAATCAACATTGTTTGATGGTCATTAATTAATTAACAAAACAAACATCGTGTTTAACCCATTCAACAACCGTTTTCGTTGACGAGGACGGTATCCATTGCCGTAGTATGATTGGCTGCCTTAGGTCACGTGTCTGATTTTGACCAATCACGATCCTTATAGCAGACTGTGGCGAAAAAGCGTCATTAGAAACCAATCTTCATCAATAAAATAGCTTTTTTTACAACTGTGAAAATACTCTCAGCGAGGGTACAGTGATATTGTTGATGTTCCAGAGCTGTCGAGCGATACCAGACACCACCGCGATTAAGCCTGCATGTTATTCATACGAAGCTTGAAAGCGGAGGTATTTCCGTTGTTGTGTCATGTTAGCGAGCGGAAAGCCTGATTACATAAAAATGAAAATATGAAAGAAAAAAAACGGGCATGTTATGACATGTCACAAATGGAAAAAAAATCGCTACAGTTTTAGCTTCTTTCGTGGTTTATCTGGACATTAAAAATGTAAGCTTGCATTTTCATTAAAAAATAAATTTATTTAAGTTGTAGTTGTATTATTTCAATTTTATTATAAAAATAACCTTCATATTTATCAACATGATATAGGTAATGTCTGTGAATGTCTACATCTCTACAATCCAAGATGGCGGTCAAATGTGAATAACGAACAACGGATATAGCGAACTAAATTTCTTGGTCCCTTGGAGTTCGTTATATCCGTGTTCTACTATAATATATTCTCCTAACATACCTTTTCAAAGCAAGGCCTAATTTTGAGTGCAACATTGATGAGAATGGCTCGGATATGGCTCTCGTCAATTTCGGACATGATGCGTGACAGACCGCTCATTGCTTCAATTGTGATGTCATCATTGGGATCTTCCTTATCATCCATCCCAGCCATCATGGCCGACAGGATCGTTGTTGAGTACTTTTGAACCTGGTGAAAGTAGAACCAAGCGACAAGAGGATTGAGCTTCATGATTCTGAGATGTGTTTTACATTTAATTAGGACTATCATCACGAAAAATTGACTGAAGACATGTAAAAGGGTGAGTGAGTATGGTTTTATGCCACTTTCAGCAATATTCCAGCAATATCATGGCAAGGGACACCAGAAATGGGATTCACACATTGTACCCTTGTCTGGAATCGACCCGTGTTTTCAGCATGACGAGCAGACGACTTTAACTACTTGGCTACACCATCACCCCACGTGTAATAAGAGGCAAAACAAGTGAGGGTGAATGTAGACATCCATAAATCTTGGTTTTCTCAAATTATGTGGCTTTTGATAATGTTAGTTCACTGTCACACCGAATTCACTGTGGAGCCATGTAGAAAGGCTCTTTTTATTATATAATTGTTCTTTGATAATCAAAACCGTCCAAGGTGTATTTTCTTCCCATTCTCTGGTGAGTTCCAAATGCATGAACATCTCTGGTCATGTTTTATATCATGCTAAAACAACATTTCAGCTGTGCATAAGTGAGTGTGTGCGTGGTAGAACTTTTCATGACACAATATTTACATGTTGCCATAAATGCCTAAAATGCTCCAGTTTAGGTACCTTGTTGATGATAAAGTATGTGAGAAAGTAACTGAGGTAAGTGTTAATACCCAGCAATATTCCAGTTATATTTTAGCGTGTCACCTTAATGAGGGAGGAAATCCCGAAGTGAGACATATTAAAAGACATATTGTATTCATAGCCTTGGCGATGAGAGCTGTGCTGATATACAATCTTCAGAGTGGTACACAAAAAACGTGATCTGAACTACCAGTTGTCAGACTTCCATTTTGTGGAAGTCACAGTGGCTGTGTGGGTTAAATTGATAATTTTGTGTGCTAGCATTAGGTGCCTGACTCTGAGAGCATGGGTTCTAATCCCAGATGGTACTCAACCAAAAATAAAGCAGTAGAATCTCTACTTTACTGAGAAAGTGTAATCCCAAATATATCAAATGTTAAATGATTATTATGCCACAGCTGTTTAGCTTCAGCAATCTTCATGAGATTACTGACTGAATATTTGTGGAGGTAACGAAGGTGATGAGACATTGTCTAACCTGGTCCTTGCCCACACTAGCCACATTACTGAGTCCACGTATACACAACATTCTGACGACGTGTGACGAGTCCACGAGGCGTCCCAGCAAGCTGTTCATGATCAGTTCCACCAGCGTGTCATCACCAGCACACTTCTGGTTGATCAGCTGAAACACGGAGACAGGGATAACTAAAACTACATAAAACAACATGCAGTCTGGACCTGACAATCCAGGGATTAACATAATGAGCATCAATTCACACAATTGGGATATGAAGACATGTCAACCAAGCCTGACCACCCGAGTAAGTCTGACCACCTGATCCTGTTAGTCGCCTCTTAAGACAAGCATGGGTTGCTGAAGACCAATTCTAGCCCTGACCTTCACGTGTCAGTTGTACTTGTAACTGCACTGTAACTTACACGTCTGTTATTGATACCACAGTCAATGTGTGAATCGACAAATAAAAGCCCAAGAATGACAAGCCACTTTAACAGGTCTCAAATCACTGAATACCTGATAAATACTCCACAAAGTTATAATGTTATTTTCTTATAAGCTAACTTGGAAGACGATTCTTTTTCCAAATTCAAACCAGCTGAAAAACTTGTAAAAAAAAGAAAAGAGGTCGAATCTAATTTATATGCCTTATCCGCAAACTGAAAATATGTCCATACAGATATGCTTGTTTGAATAATTCTCAGAATATAACCTATCTCTGCCCTGGTAAAGATTATTTGCATGTGTTTCAAAGGGCATGAAAAAGAGACAAATACATAGTCATTACATCCTCAAGGAGGTCATCTTACTTCAGCAAAGAAAGCAGCCACGACAACCCTCTGTGGATCGAAAAGACTGGACAAAACTGACGTGAGATTGGCCACAATCTTGGATGTGTAGGCTGCTTCTGCCGTACTTGCTACCAGAACTCTGTCAACACAATTACATGCTTTAAAACACAGATTGCAAGTGATTCTGGGGCACTACAATGAATAACTGAGTATTTATTTTTTAGAGTAAAACTATTTTTTAAACTATTTACTTACCCTGATTCTGTATTTGCTTATCATGATTTGCTTCTCACTCAGTCAACCCAAGATATCGTGGAAAATGTTCTGTATTTTGTTCCCCAAGAACAGTCACAACATCTCACCCAAACACACCCCTTTACGCCCCTATTTCCCCCTGATCTCCCCTAAAGGACATTGATCTCAGTACCTGGCTAGAGTGGTGATGACTTCTAGATGGCCCCTATTTTCCACTGATCTCCTCTAAAGGACAATGTTCTCAGTACCTGGCTAGAGTAGTGATGACTTCTAGATGGCCCCTATTTTCCACTGATCTCCTCTAAATGACATTGATCTCAGTACCTGGCTAGAGTGGTGATGGACTCTGGGTACAGCATCTCATCCTCCATGTTGATAAACACCATCTCCTTCTCCAGACTCTCACACATGTCAAAGCTCTTGGCTCTCTGGAGGAACTTCTGGAAGGCCTCAGTCACTGCACTGGTCAGAGAATGAACAAGTTTAATCTAATAACCTGGGGACGTATTTGCTGATCCAAAATTTGACAGATTACACAGGTATACACAGGTATACACAGGTACACACAGGTACACACAATCCATACACATTTCAATACTGACATATTCACATGAGAAATCAATATAAGACTGAACTGTTCAAATATTGTTACAGTTTCAGGAAATAATCAGAACTTAGTTCTCACCACCTTGAAAGAAAGATCTGAGTAGATCTTGTGATGGGTCATGTCAGAACAACCTTTCATAGGACCAATCACAGCATCATTAAAGTCAGAAGACCATTTCTAATCATGCTTGAAAACATTAACGTGGTGTCCTCCAAACAACACATACAGTCTCTGCAACTGATTCCATCAAAGTCATCATCTGTCTTCAATGGGATAAACATGTGAAACTATAAAAGACCTCTCACATCCCATGAAACATACTGCCTTCTATAAGACATTCAACAATTTTCTCTTGTTCAATATTCAAATTTTGAATCAATATTTTCCCAGCCTAGTCTTGAATGGAAGTTGCTAGTTACTATTTATTAAATTAGTTTCTCAAAGTTCAAAAAAGATTGCTCTGATGCGACCTGTAATGGGATGTCCTCAGATCTTAGTGTAGCTGTAGTAAATGTTGTTCGTTTTGTAACATAAACTATGACCATTGGTATCAGGCATGTCCCAGGGACGCAGGTCTCCCAATCAAACTGCGGGCCTTAGACACTGAGTTGCCTGTGTCCCAGTACAGTCTATCACAATGTATGTCCCAGGGACGCAGGTCTCCCAATCAAACTGCGGGCCTTAGACACTGAGTTGCCTGTGTCCCAGTACAGTCTATCACAATGTATGTCCCAGGGACGCAGGTCTCCCAATCAAACTCCAATCAAACTCTTGGGCCTTAGACACTGAGTTGCCTGTGTCCCAGTACAGTCTATCACAATGTATGTCCCAGGGGCCTTGGGGTCTCCCAATCAAACTGCGGGCCTTAGACATTGAGTTGCCTGTGTCCCAGTACAGTCTATCACAATGTATGTCACAGAAGGCAAACTGAACTGCTTCCTTACTGACTTGGGTTGATGAGTTTATGTTCCACCTTTGCAGCTTTCTTCTTGTCCTTTGGTTTGGGCTCCTCTTTTTCAACCTGTGACAGGAAGACAAGTGAGTGAGTGAGTTTAGTTTTACGCCGCACTCAGCAATATTCCACCTATATGGTGGTGGTCTGTAAATAATCAAATCAGACAATACAGTGATCAACAGCATGAGCATTGTTCTGCGCAATTAGGATACAATGAAATGTGTCAATCAAGTCAGGGAGCCTGACCCCCTGATCCAGTTATTCGTCTCCTTCGACAAGCATGGGGTTACTGAAGACCAATTCTAACCCGATCTTCACGGGTGACAGGCAGGCAAGAAAATAAAAAACAAAGAAAAGCAACACTGCATTTCAGTCATGAAGATGAGGTGAAATGAGGTTTGACATTACATTCACAATCAACACTGAAACAGCGGTATGCAGGTGCTTGTACTTGTCAGGTCTGGTGTGTAGTGCTAGCCTACTGAGATACCATGTCGCAGTTAAACATTGACACCCCACACAGACACAGCACGATAACACAGATTCGGTCCAACCTTCAATCAGCTGATCTATCCAATACCTAACACAAGTGGTCTTCACAACAAAACCCCTCAAAACATTACATAAACATGACTAAATCTTCATACAGTGTTTAAAACTCCCAAAATTCCAAGCCAGACAGGCAGACTGGTAAGTATAAAAATTACCAGTGCGGATACAAACTTGCCTGTCCGGTTTTCAACAATAAAAAAACAAAATACAATCAAGTTTCCAAATACTTTACTGCATGTAGTGTAACGTTAAGGCGAAGGTGCATGGACTGGTTTACAAACTAAAAATCTGTTGCATTTTCTGCCTCACATATCAAGATCAGAGAAATATCTACCAGACCACCGGACAGGCTACTTTTGAAATTTGACCGTCCAAGATGAAAACAGACCATTCTGGACGGTCGGGCAGGTGGGAATTTTAAACGCTGCTTCATATGTAAAATATGAAAGAGAGTGAGCATAGTTATACATCCAAGCTAGCAATACGACAGTTATATCACGGCAGCCTGTCCTGTGTGTGGCCCTGGAAACACCAACAGCAAGGATCCTCTGATGTGGGATAACAATGATCACAGGAAAGAAACAAGAAGACACGGTCATCAATATCCCCCGCCACAGTGTTCTGTTCCTATTTGGTTCCTGTTTTTGAACTCCACCATGATATTCATGTCCTGAAAACACATACCACATTTGGTTTCCCTATCTATAACGGTTTCTGAGAAAATCTGTTACCCATTTGGGATGCCCTGCACTAAGGAAAGAAATGCATGACAAGGGCCATAACTCTGCAACAAACTCATTTTCTGTTTTCGAACTCCATCAAGGCATTCATGTCCTGAAAACACATATCAAATTTGGTTTCCCTATCTCTAACAGTTTCTTCAAAAATCTGTCCCCATCATCTCGGACAGACGAAAAAGACAAATGGAAGGACGGAGGGAGCTCAAACCAATATCCCCCTCCCACTTCATGGCGGGGGATAATAACCTGTACTCGACCACCCAACACAATTTACTGGCAGTTACTTGTGGCCAAAAAGTACCTGATAAAGTTCTGTAATCAAATTTGAACCTACTTCCCTAATGTAGAAGAAGGCCTGGACAGCTGAACATGCTCATTATAACACCAGACGTCACAGTGCCGAATTGTCTTATTACAGCAACGGACAGGGAAGTGATTTGAGTACCCAGAATCCCACATTTACCATTATGGTGATTCTAGGTCTGACAGCACCTGCCCACATTCATGGGTTTCACAAAACTGATACACATCTAAAATCTGCACCACTCTTGCCTTTATTCTCTCAAAGGTCGCGGGTGCGATCCCTGACCACATCATAACAGACGATAAAATATGGTACTTGTTGGTTCCTGTCATACCAGACGTTAAAATATGGTATTTGTAGGTCCCTGCTTGGCTCTCGCAGGGATAGAAATCCATTTTTTTTCTAAGTGTGCCTAAGGGCACCAGACAAATATTTTAGGTGTGCCTTTCAGAAATCGAGTATGCCCACATGTTTTTAGAATAAATGACAATGATGATGATCATTTGAAATTTATTGTTAAATAAAGAAATGGGTTTATGAGCATTCAAATATGTATGGTATTATTCAGTTTGGAAAAAAATAATTGTTTTAGGGATTAAATCATAAATGACTGAATGTGAGTTATGTGTCTAGAAAATTAGGCGTGTCAAAAGGGCACAGAGAACATTTTTCAGCCGTGTCATTTCAATATTTACTGTGCCATGGCACACTAATATATGGGGTATTTCGAACACTGCGCTCGGCATTAATGGGTACAACAACGACTGGTCGGCTCGGAGTCAGTATAATGTGTCTGAGTGGGGTATTCATGCTTCACTGTGGCAGGGTATCTCAGTGGGCTAGCACTATAAAACCAGCTTACGTCTGGGCTAGTACATGCAGCCGCACATACACATACACACGCATGCAAATCGTCATATGAGCGAAATATCCTCAACCATGACGTTAAACCCAATTTCACATCACATCACATCATAAAGCCAACATGTCCTAAAATTCATGTTCAAAGCAATGCAAAACCCAGCCCGATCCCTCCTCTCTCCCTCCTTCCCTCCCTCACTCACACACTGCAAACTATCAACTTCAACAGACCTGAGTTTTGGGAGGCCCAACTCCAACAGCCGAGCCCACCCGCACCATCAATGCTGCAAACAGTCTGTGAAAGCTCTTCAACACTTGTTCTTCAGATTCCTCCACCTCAAATATTTCCTTCAGTGCATAAGTAACCTGGAGCAAAAACATCGTGGATTTATATTTCACTTTGGCACTGACCAGTATATTCTCTTTTTTCTCACCTCCAATTGTTCCAAAACATGTATTTGACTGAATGATGGGGTTTATATTTTGTAGTTATATATTTCTGTAACATGAAAATTATCATTATTGGATATTTATATAGCGCACATATCCACACACTAGTGCATGCTCAAGGCGCTGGTATTTTTCCCTCGATCATTGGATGTCTATCTCAACAAATCATATTATAAATCTCATCTCCCTGGGGAACATACAACTCTTGCTGCCACAAGATGCACCGAGTTATTGCAGCTTCCCCATCCTTACGAGGTACCCATTCACAGCTGGGCGGACTGGGACACATAGCCACAGTACTTTGTCCAAGTTTACTGCACGTTGCTGTACCCACAACTAGGTGTTTGCACGTATTCATGTGGCCACCATCTGGTCATATACCAACGGATTCGTGTGTTCTTTTAAGTGCCCAGGGCTGTGGACTGTACACTTGGGGTTGTGACAACACTGAAAGAGTCTGTACACAAAGTTGACTCCAAGGCGTTTTTCAAGACCCGATCACAGGTGGACTCAATCCCGACACCTCAACCTCGCTGGATCACTAGCCTTGCGCCTTAGCCAGCTCGCCCACCACACCCCAAATATAATGGGATCATTAATAAATTCAGAATCATATTTAAAGAGAGTGAGTGAGTTTAATTTTACGCCACTCAGCAATATTCCAGCTATATGGTGGCCGTCTGTAAATAATCAAGTCTGGACCAGACAATCCAGTGATCAACAGCATGAGCAGCGATCTATGCAATTGGGATACAATGACATGTGTCAAACAAAGTCAGTGAGCCTGAGCACCCGATCCCGTTAGTCGCCTCTTACGACAAACATGGGTTGCTGCAGATCAATTCTAACCCGGATCTTCGTCCATATTCAAAGTATTGAAATATCTGTGAAGTGAAAAAACAGTAACAGTTAGTAATTACTTAAATTTAAAACAGGAACAATTACATGTATTGTTAGTAATTGTTAGTAAACTTACCTCTGGATTATGGTAGCCTTATTCCTGTGGATACACAGAATACATACAGAAAATCAAAAGAAATTTTAATACTAAGTCATAGCTATTCCTAGTGGTATACCTAGTCTACCCCTGAGTTATCTCCCTTGATCCTGACGTCACTGTATTGTTCTCCTAGAACCCATCATAATTTTTCTAAAAACAACACATCTATGACATCTTCTAAGGATAAATTCGCGGGGAGGACACAGGGTGGGAACTACTCCCCATAATCCAGAGGTAAGTTTACTAACAATTACTAACAATACATGTAATTGTTCCTAATTATAACGTAAACATTCCCCCTGGATTATGGTAGCCTGAATCCCAAGTAAGGAAGGAGGGTTACCCTTGGAAGATACTACCCTCTATACCACTAACTGAGAGTTGATTACTCAACCTCCTAAGAATAACTATGACTTAGTCAGAGATAAATAATTTATCTCCAGTTTGGTCAGTAGCAGTGGGGGAATACATTCCCAGAGATGGAGAGTCTTCTAACTTCCTATAGTTATGGTTGATATGATAGATATCATGATAATCCTAATCCGTAATAGTAGGGATTATATAATCCCTGACGCCATAAATCCAGATTACACTAGATTCCTATGAATATATCATGATTCTATTCGAGTCCCGAATTGTGTCATTAAACCTAATAATCCTTAAACTTATGACGTCACTTCCGGTAATTATGACGTCACTTCCTGTTTGATGACATCACTTCCAGTCTAATGACCGCACTTCCGGACCCTAGAGACAATCTCTATGATGCAATACTAACTAACCTAGATGACATCACCTCCGGTTAACTGTTAGACTATAAATGTGCTCAACTCAAACCTTAAGGTAACCACCTTGAGCTCGTAAATCATATTCTAACCTGAAGCCATCAACCATAGCTCAGAAGTTAGAAACTCTGTCCATATTGTGCTCGGTTAGGTGTTACATCTAAACGTAAATTCTCTTAGCATGTCAACTTGTCTTGCTACATGCTGGCCCCTGACCAGTATCCATCCATTATCCTCCGAGTGGTCCCTCAGACAGTCCCAGGCACTATCTCTCACTGCGTCATCCTTCCTGAAGATGTAGATGCCAGGTCAACACCACCCCAACCCCCACCCCCCCCAGGGGCAGTCAGGCGGAGGTAAGGTGCTGAGCCGCTACTAAAGGTCCTAATGAATGTAAACCTTCAATAGAGGGAGCAACATCCCTGAGGTAAAAATGGATAAAGGTATTAGGAGATTTCCATTGACAATTAGACACAACTTGTTCTAACGCAACTGACGACCAAGCTGCTAAGGATTAAGCTAGGGCTCTAATTTCATGGGGGGAGAATTTAAGATCAATTAAGTCTTGATTCTGATCCCTATAAGCAAAAGATATAGTCTTTCTGAGCCATGAAGATATGGTATTCTTGGATATCTCAGAGTCTACATTTGTCTAAAATGAAATAAACAGTCTGCGACGATTACGTCTAAGCGTTGAAGTACGCTGAATGTACCAGTGCAAGGCATGTATGGGACACAAAAGTCTAGTCCTATCCGATCTAGAGGTAGAGGTAGGAAGCTGAGGTATACGATATATCCTATGTCCCAACGGACCACAAGCGGAAGTTTGATTCTTGGCAATGAATTCCGGCTCAGTTCTAAAAGTTATCTGTTTATATCTTTCCGAAAAAGTGATGGATTTAAAGTCAATATGTAATTCCGAAACTCTGGAAGCCGTTGCAAATGCCAAGAGAAATGCCGTACTTTAGAGAAGCGTCCTGCATAGGCTCATAAGGAGATTTTTGAACAGATTGAAGTACAAACGTTAAATCCCACTTAGGAAATATCGTTGGAGACGATATATCCTTAATCTGAAAGGATCTGATCATTTTGTGAAGCGATGTATCAGAGCCCACAGATAAACCTTGAACATCCATGACTGAAGCAATAGCTGATCCATATCCCTCAATAGTATTATGCTTCTGTTTCTGTTCCCTTAGGAACAAGATAAAATCCACTATCATTGGAATGGTGACAGGCACATCCAAGTTTCCACACTCTCGTCTCCACTGGATGAATCGTCGCCACTTAGCGTCATACAAGGCAGCTGTGGAAGCTGCCAACTGTAAATCCCTGTTTCCTGAGTGAGCTTGAAATAGCTTCTATACGTGTAGTGCAAGTTGACTGACATTCTTGTGAAATCTGTTGGACTTGGGTTGACTGATTAGACTGTGCCACAACGGGAGACGTAGAGGTTTGTCCACCAACAGTTGTAGTAGAGTGGGAAACCAAGGTCTGGCAGGCCACGCTGGTGCCACTAGTAAACAAGACAGTCGTGTTGTTGAACTTTTAACAGAACCTCTTGAATTAGTTTGAACGGAGGAAACGCATAGGCTATCATCCCCTCCCACGATATGGATAGGGTGTTGACTGCCCATGCCAATGGATCCGGTACTGGGCTCACAAACGTTGGTATCCGAAAATTGCTGGAAGTCGCAAACAGATCTATGTTTGGAATTTCCCACGTCTGTCCTATCAAATCGAATGCCTCTTCCTTGAGAGTTCAGTCGGTTGAGATCACTCTGTCCTGTCGAGATAATGAGTCCGCTAAGATATTCTTCCGACCTGGAATGTGGCGCACCCTGATTAAACAATTTATATCGTCCAGTGTGATACAGATCCTGAGTGATCCCGAGGAGCTGTTGAGATTTGGTACCTCCCTGTTTGTTGATGTAAGCCACTACCGTAGAATTGTCCGACACTAACATGAGACTCTTCCCGTACAAGCGATTCCCCCAGCAACGGATCGCTTTTAACAGTGCTAACATCTCCCGACAGTTTATATGCAGATTCACCTCTGACGGATTCCACACACCTTGAATCTGCCAGATGTCCATGTGTGCACCCCAACCCATGTTCGAGGCATCCGCATAAAGCGTCAGATCCGGTCAACGAGGACGTAATGAAACTCCTGGCAACACATTCACGTCCACCGTCCACCATAATATCTCCCTTCGGACACTATGAGAAGTTCCAAGTCCTCCATTCGAGACTGGATTGATATCTTGGTTGATATTTCCAACCACCGATCCTGAGGAGTATAAATGTGCCTGCTCTTGAGTCCAAGATTGCTCCCAGAAACTTGATTCTCGTGAAAGGGATCAGTTCTGACTTGGTAGGATGAACTATTAGACCCAGATGCGTAAACACATGGATTATAAAGTTGGTTTGCTTCATGAGAACTGCTGTCACCACATTCCTTGCCAAGAAATCGTCCAGATAACCGTGTATCGCAATCCTTCGTTGATGAAGAAAAGCCAGAATTGGAGAGATTATTTTCGTGAACAACCACGGTGCTAGTGATATTCCGAAACGGCAGCACCCTGAACTGAAACCTGCGGCTGTTCACCGCAAATCTGAGGTATTTGCGAGATCTTGGATGAATAGGGATATGAAGATACGCATCCTTTAGATCTATGCTTATAAACTTGGAAGCCTGACGAATCAAGGTGCAATTGATTCCATCCTGAATATGGCGGTTTCCTCAAAAATAGCTTGTTCAACACTTTCAAGTCTATTATCATGCGCATTTCGTCCGAATCCTTCTTTGGGACTAAGAATCCCGGTGAATAAAACCCGCATGTCTGATCCCCTGGAGGAAGTTCTATGATTGCCCGTTTCTCCAGTAACTGATTTATTGCTAAGTTTGCTCCCGCTAAACGTTGGCCTTGAAGAACAAACCGACGACCCTCTGGAAAGCAAGTCACTGGAGGTTGCTTGTGCCAAGGAAGAATAAACCTCATGCTCACGACAGACAGGACCCACTCGTCTGATGTTATTAGTTTCCAACTGTCTAAGTATTGGGCCAACCTGCCCCCTACTGGAGATTGTGTCACCGGACATACAAAGTCCAATTCCAATATTATGTCGAGGAACATTTCCGATTTGTAAGGAAGAGAACGCTGAACAGTGAGACTTGAGTCAATATTTCTTAGAAGTTGATCTTGATCCACGAAAAGATCTACCTCCCCTACCTCAACCCCTAGATGAGGATGAGCCTCTAGTAAAAGCCACATTTGTTGAAGGTGCTCTTGAATCCGAGGCACGTTCAAATGCAGATCTCTGAAAGTTCTGACTACGACTTGTTGAAGATGGAGCAGAACGAGACGTAACACTGGAACCTCTTCTAGATCTAGTGTCAGCCCTTCCTCTATTTTGGAATAAAAGAGCCGACGCCAAACGTTGATTCAAGTTCCTCGACGTCACAGCATCTCTAGCCTCAATAGCCTGTTGACATTGTCCATTAAAGGTGATATCCGATTCCAAGGGCTGGTGAAACAGAAAATCCCTTGAAACATCCGGTAAATTCCTCACTGAATCTAGCTGCTGTATCCACTCAATAGCTGTAAGTCGGCCCAATATATCACTTGAGTCGACATCACATCGGCTAAGGACTGATACACTACATCCAGAAACGAATGCTCTAACGCCACCTCTTGAGCAGTCATGGAAATCAAAGTGTCTTTCTTAACTCCCGTATAATCTTGAAACACCGGTGGGAGCAAGGCACGAACTCCCACCGAAAATCAGTTTGAATAAGATAGGGCATCAATCGCCGAACGGGCTGCCGTATCCAATTCCCTACAATCCTTGAAAGTACACAACGGTGCATAGTCACGAGAGCCTCTAGCATCCTGTAACTGTTTAAAGTCCTTGTCTAAACTTGGTTGATTGGCTGGGATAACACGATCATGAATGGAATATATGAGAAACCCTAGGCAAAGAACTCAAGTTCGTAGCCTTAGAAAGGCCTAAGTTGTAATTCTCCAACACTTTCTTAAGTGATGATGAATGTGGTAATGACAGCCTGGGCATCCGTTCCGGGGGAAGGCAACCTGATAATCCGAGTTCCACGGGAATATCTATCTCCTGCTCGTCCGACGGCGGTGGTAGAGTATTAGGATAAAGTCCGTGCAAAAGTTCCAGCTTTTCCTTAAATGACCAGCCCGGCGTAAAATCCATGGAAAACTCTGGTTGTGAAAAAGGATAAACCGATAAATCCTCCTGATCCGTCACATCAGACACTAACAGGATTAAGGGCGGATTGTCTGTGTCAAAATAACCTTGCGGGTCCGTAGCCGAGTCCTCTGAACTGCTAGGCCCGTGCAAATCAGACTGCTGGGTTGATATCCATAGCAGCCGACCCAGTGGCCTGGCTAAAGCTGGGGCGGGAATCATGTGCCGTCTGGACTGAGTCGGACCCGTGAAACGCTTGCAGCCCGTTCACCCCGTGGGAGAAGGTAGCAGGCTGTATGCGACAGGGAGCAGCCACAGATGACTGGCTCCCGGGGACAAAGGACGCGGGGGGTGTAGCCTGAGCCACGGTCACCCCGGATCCATCCCTGTCGCTTGAAACCCTAGGCTTCTCCTCCCCCGAGGGGACCAGCCTCCTACGTACACCAGGGCATGGTAACCGGCTTTCCCGGTCATTGCACCCCTGGTTTCCGTAGGAAGTGACTTTGGCCCCTGGCTCTTGCCATCGACCACCAAGCCACTGTGGCTATCTGCCGTCTTGCCGGATAAAACAGGATCCTCCAAATGTTTTGACAGGCAATTAACTTTTTCGTCATTCCTCATCTCCATATCACGTACAGATTTATCCATGGCCGCCTGGATATCGGACTTTAATAGATAAAGGCGGAGATCCCTGAACTTTCTTCTAATTAGAACATTCTGATGACGATGAATGATTATCCACAGGAATAAGGCTACCATAATCCAGAGGGAATGTTTACGTTATAATTACTCCCTTTACACAATTTCATTCTAAATCTCCACTTGATAATACTTACAGCAAGGGGGGATAATTGTTGCTGTCTTGATCAGCTGGGTCTTGTCTCGTGGGTCTGGTTTCTCCTCGTAAGGCAGACTCTTCTGTAGCAGGTCCAGGAAGTGGTCGATCATGCTGGCTGTCAACTGGGACTCCTGGGCAATGATGTGCCACACCTCAACTATGTGTCTGGAAGATGAGACAGTAGGGTCGTACATTGAACATGTGGATGACACGGAGATCAAGCTGAGAGAACTGCATAAACATACTTACAGTATACAATCAGCAGTGAGTAGTCCGTGCTTAACCCATCGTAGTGGCAGTGAGTATGTCACTATACAGATTACATCTTACTCATCATAAAGCAGTGTTAACTCACTAAACTGACATACCTTACCGGTAGTTATTGTGAGTATCCTACAATACAGATATAATTTACTTATCATAAGGCAGTATCACACAATGTAAATCTCAACTTACTCATCATAAATCAGTATCTCACTATAACTTACTGATAGTGAGGCATCTTAGTATAACTCCCATACATCTACATACAGATATAACTTCTACTTATCATAGTATCTTAACTTACTCATCATAAATCAGTATATCACTATACTTAGATATAAGGCAGTATCTCACTATACAGATATAACTTACTTATCATAAGGCAGTATCTCACTATACAGATATAACTTACTTATCATAAGGCAGTATCTCACTATACAGATATAACTTACTTATCATAAGGCAGTATCTCACTATACAGATATAACTTACTTATCATAAGGCAGTATCTCACTATACAGATATAACTTACTTATCATAAGGCAGTATCTCACTATACAGATATAACTTACTTATCATAAGGCAGTGATATCATCACTATACAGATATAACTTACTTATCATAAGGCAGTATCTCACTATACAGATATACTTACTATCAGAAGGCAGTATCTCACTATACAGATATAACTTACTTATCATAAGGCATAGTCAGTGATACAGATATAATTACTTATCTCATACAAGGCGCGTATCTCACTATACAGATATAACTTACTCATCATAAGGCAGTGGGTATCTCACTATACAGATATAACTTACTCATCATAAGGCAGTGATTATCTCACTATACAGATATAACTTACTCATCGTAAGGCAGTAAGTATCTCACTATACAGATATAACTTATAACTTACTCATCGTGAGGCAGTATATCTCACTATACAGATGCAACTTACTCATCAGATGCCAGCTTACTCACTATACAGATAACTTACTTATCATAAGGCAGTGGGTATCTCACTATACAGATATAACTTACTCATCGTAAGGCAGTGGGTATCTCACTATACAGATATAACTTACTCATCATAAGGCAGTGGGTATCTTACTATACAGATATAACTTACTTATCGTAAGGCAGTGGGTATCTCCCATACAGATATAACTTACTCATCGTAAGGCAGTGGGTATCCCAGCAGGGTCGTGACGACTGGGATGAGGTGGTGAGATGCCATTGTTCGTATTGTACGCAGTGTTCCTGTTCTAGTCTGCGGACACTGGATGAATCGAAGCTTTTCGTACAGGTTGTCGAGGATCTTGCTCACCTGGGAAAACCACTCTTGTGATATTAGATCATCCAGGCATTGGGCACATGAATCTCACATATTATTGACCGAGGAAACTTACTGAATCAACACTTCACCTTATAAGGCTTACTACAAATATTGTCTCATATATCTGACTCACTGAGTTACACCAGAAATGGGCTTCACATTGTACCCATGTGGGGATTCAAACCGGGTCTTCGGTGAGCGAGCAACGCTTTAACCACTAGGCTACCCACAGATCCCTCATATATCTGAGTGTCGTAGTCATGAAACGCCCAACTAGTAATTGTTGGCATGGCAGGAGGATCAAGATTTAAAAACTTGTGTAAACTGATTACATAGACACAGTTAATATCACTTCTTCACATCATTTTGCTAAACCATAATATTTCTTAACTATCATATCCTCTAAAATTCCTCATGAAGGTGATAAAACATAGTATCGGTTGATATCAGATTTATGTACTTTCCCTCGCTATGTCTTCATCAGATGACAGAGGACAAGTCATGCCCCAGATTTGGTTGAGAGACAGCGCGGTAGTACAATACCCCACCTCAACACCATCACCTCTTTGGGTGGTTCCCTTCCCTGCAACTTCATCAGACCATTGAGAGCACTTTGCAACTACAGAAGAGCTGTCAGACTACAGTACCCCTCCTCTACACCCTCACATGTCCCAGAAGACCTGTCAGACTACAGTACCCCTCCTCTACACCCTCACACGTCCCAGAAGAGCTGTCAGACTACAGTACCCCTCCTCAACACCCTCACACGTCCCAGAAGAACTGTCAGACCACAGTACCCCTCCTCAACACCCTCACATGTCCCAGAAGAGCTGTCAGACTACAGTACCCCTCCTCAACACCCTCACACGTCCCAGAAGAGCTGTCAGACTACAGTACCCCTCCTCTACACCCTCACATGTCCTAGAAGAACTGTCAGACTACAGTACCCCTCCTCAACACCCTCACACGTCCCAGAAGAACTGTCAGACCACAGTACCCCTCCTCTACACCCTCACCTCTTTATGCAGCTCGCTTCCACGGGTCTTCATGAGACCATTGAGAACCACACATGCCCCGGAAGAGCTGTGAGACTGGGCATCCAGCAGACCCTCTTGAAGCACCTCCATGAACGGCTGCAGGTGATCAGCTGGGAGCTTCTTGGACACAACCTGAGAGACAGATTGAAGTGTGGTTGTTTTTGATTTAAACTGCCTCACTAACACCAACAGATAACTTTGTCCAAATGATTTGTGAATGTCAACAGTAATTCAGGAATTTCAACAGCTTGGATCTGACAGACCACTTGTCAAGAAATACCCAGTATTCTTTTTAGAAACTTTTTAAACAAAAATGATATTTTTTTATGACAGCATTTGTTTCGAGTCATTTGGAAGGAAGCACACCCAAACTCCTGTCTGGTAGATGAGGTGGCTAAAAAAATGGGCAGCTTCAAAATGGGAAACAATGACAAAGGAAACAGCTTCTGCATGTTCCTTACTAATATGGCATCAGGTTTTTGTTATTCTGTACTCAAGACCATTTCCAATTGGGTAAAACACACATGCCCAGATGTGGTGCTTATGTACCAATGTTCATAATCACGGGCAATGTTGGGATAGAATCAACAGCCAGTGGCACCTTAGACCACTAGACAAACAAATACCATTCTGGAATCTCTGATTATAATGTATGTTATATTTGGCATGACCCTTCTCAGTAAAGTACAGTAGCCTTAGAACAGCACATTTTGGGGTTGACTCAAGGGTTTTACGTGACACACAAACGTACATGTGCACAAATGTAGAGAATGGACACAGAAAAACCTAAATTCTGCGTCTGGACAGATGCACAAAACATAGTTATTTGTCTGTTATTTCACCCATCGGTCATGACCATTGTCTAAATGATCACTCTGGCTCCAGGCTCTGAAGTAATTATTTGAACCCACGCTACAGTACACTGTTCCAATACTTTACAGCACCCTCACATTACCAGCAAGGACCCATAAAATATATTGACAAGGATCCCCTGGACCCTACTTTTGCGAGTCAAGGCAAAATCCTGTGGCTCCCATTTGAAACCCAACTCGCCAGCACAAAGTCTAACCCACACAACCACTCAGCTTCTACAAAAATGGAAGCCTGACAACTGATAGTTTAGATTACATGTTTTATATTGGAGAAAGTGTAAACCCAAATATAACATATGTTACATTTGACCAGTTTCTAATTAACATTGTGTATTCATAGTGGTGGGAACCATGACAATTCACTCTTATCAGGGGGATACACAAAGTCTGTGGTCTAGACTACCAGTTGTCTGATTTCCATTTTTTGTGGAAGTGCCTAACTCTGAGGGTGTGGGTTCGAATCCCGGATGGGACTCAACCCAACAAATGTATTAGAATCTGTACTTTACTGAGAAAGTATAATCCCTTGATATAACATATATTACATTTGACCACTTTCTAAATGGCACTGTGTATTCATATATTACATATTCTCTGTACCCGGCAGGCGAGTATTTTGGCATTGCTCCCACATGGGGGTTTGATTCTTTGATGACCTCAACCCAAAAAGAGAGTCAAATCTGTCCAGAGATAGAGATATGATACTTTCTCAATTGAGTTGTGTTGTCATAATATCTGACTGTGTCTCTCCCTGCTTACCTTTGACAGGTCGTTGATGACACTGAACAGGATGTTGGGGTCTCCTTTCTTCAACCTCTCCTTCAGGGTGGCAAGAGCTTCTACCATCTGGTCCTTGTGATCTGCATCGTTACCTTTGCAACAATAGGATAGTCTGATTACATTGAATTATCATTGGTACAAAGACAAAAAGCTGTAATGTGACAAAAGTCACTGTCCTGTCACAAATACACAAGTTAACAGGCTGATCGTTCGTTCGTGCAGTGAGTGAGTGAAGTTTTAGCAATATTCCAGCAATATCAACGCCCAGGGACACCGAACATTGTCTTCAAACCCTTGTCTTCGGCATAATGAGTGACCACGTTACCCACTGAGCTACCCCAGTCCCCACACTGCACAATGAAGAAACCTGTGAATGTGAACTTCACATTGTGATCCAAAACTGCACAGTCACAATTAAAGTGTTGAGAATTGGTTAAAATCTCATAATTAATGATTGGTTCATTACTACCAATCAATCATCGAAAATAATTGGTTAGCATCATTTATGAAATTTGTTAATGCACATAAAATAAGGTAAAAAACAAGTAGTTCTTTGGGGGTTTTTGGCAAAATTTCACATCTTTAAAGGATGACTAGTATGTTAGGAACATAAATTTCTTGGAATCTTTAAGATAAATTCAATCATGACTTGAAACGAGCTTGTAGTGCTTACGAAATGTAACAGACAAAACCAACCTTGTGAAAAATATTGTAAATGAAAACAAGTGTTCCAGAATTGTTTGTGTTCGATTATGAGAAATTGTGATCGATTGCTTGGTCGTTTAGTCACTACGACCAATCTTTGATTATTTCAATTAATCGGACACCACTACAACTTAATGCATAGAAAAATCCATCAACACATAAACACATGGACTGTTATATCTGAAGCCACCTCAGCTGGTGGTATAGCGTACCCTCATATCGGAGTCCAATCTTGAGAGTGAGCTGTACGCAGTCAATGGCGTGGAGACGGATGTTGATGCTGGGGTCGGTACATCGAGGAATCATCCTGGCCAGAAATATTCCCTCATTGCTGAACCTTTCTGCAGACTGAAAAAGCATGAAGCAAGATGTAAATTTCAACCATCTGAAAGATTTGTTTCTACAATTCATTTTGATTGTACCTAAATTGAATATCACAACATCCAGAATAAATCCTCCAGACACACATGACAACTTCTCCCATAACCCACAACAATCTCCTCCAACTCTCATGATAACCCCTCATCACATGAAAAACAAACCCTCCCCTCCCCACCCCCAACACTTCGCCACATACTCACCAATGCCCTCCCCTGCCCACAACCCCTCCTCACACCCTCTACAAAACCTCCCCTCCCAACATCCTCAACAAACCCTCCTATCCCCACACCCACAACCATCCCTCCCCTGCCCACAATAACTCCTCCTGCCCACAACAATCTCTCACTACACCCTCAACAAAACCTCCCCTCTCTACACCCTCAACAAAACCTCTTGACACCCACAACAGCTCCTACCAATACCTTTAACAACCCTCTCCTCCTGACACCCACAACAACACCTCCCTCCTGACACCCACCCTCCCTCCCCATAACCCTCAACAACCCCCCACCTCACACACACCCCTCCTCCCGACACTCACACACACAACCTCCCCTCCTGACACCCACAGCCTCCCTTCCCTCCTGACACCCACAAACTCCCCCTCCTGACACCCACAGCCTCCTCCTCCTGACACCCACAAACTCCCTCCTGACACCCTCAACACCCCTCCCATCCCTCACACCCCTCCCAACACCCACAGCCCTCCCCGACACCCACAACCCTCCCCACCAACCACCCACAACCTCCCATAACCTCAACAACCCTCCCTGCCGCACACCCACAACACCTCCCTCCTGACACCCACACAACCCTCCCTCCCAACACACACAACCTCCCCATACCCTCAACAACCCTCCCCACCCACACCAACTCCTCTCCTCCTGACACCCACAACAACCTCTCCCCTCCTGACACCCACATCCCTCCCCCACCCCTACACCCACAACAACCCCTCCCCAGCCCTACACCCACAACTCCTCCCCACCCCATACCCACAACAACTCCTCCCTCCTGACTCCCACAAACTCCCCCTCCTGACACCCACAACCCCTCCCTCCACACCCCACCCTCCCCTCCCTGACACCCACAATCCCTCCCCACCAACCACCCACAACCTCCCATCTCTCCAACACCCCCTCCCTGCACACACCCACAACCCTCCCCTCCTGACACCCACAGCCCTCCCCACCTCCCCATACCCTCAACAACCCTCCCACCCCACACCACTCCTCTCCTCCTGACACCCACACAACCCTCCCCTCCTGACACCCACAACCCTCTCCTCCTCCTGACACCCACATCCCCTCCCCACACCCACAACCTCTCCCACCCAACACCCACACACCCCTCCCACACCCACACACCCACACCTCCCACCACCCACACCCACAACCCCCCAACACCCACACCCACAACAATCCCTCCCATACCCACACCCATCCCTCCCATACCCACACCCACCCCTCCCAACACCCACAACAATCCCTCCCAACACCCACACCCACCCCTCCCAACACAACCCTCCCACACCAATCCCATCCCACACCCACCCTCCCACCCTCCTGACACCCACACCCACCCCTCCCAACACCCACAACCCCTCCCATCCCCACACCCACCCCTCCTGACACCCACAACAACCCCTCCCCTCCCCACAACAATACCCTCAGTAACAACCCTCCCTCCTGACACCCACAACAACCCCTCCCATCCCCACACCCTCAGTAACCCCTCCCCTCCCCTGGTGTCCTACTAACTGTGATGTCTGCCTGCTCCAGGTAGAAGGTAAGGACATTCTGCCATGTCTTCAGAGCCCTCTCCCGTTTGTGTTCCTCGGGATCCAGGATCCATGGCACCAGGTGCTGTTGGAAAATAAAACATACAGCAGGGATTCTGTTAAAGGAGCACTAGATTTCTGGTCAACTCATTAAAACATTCCATTTATTCCTCTGCAGTTCTACAGTGTATTGTATTTTAACGACATTCTTTCAGGATGTCCCACATCCACAATTGTGTGCATAATCTTACTGCAAAACAATTGGTTCCTCTGTAAAACCTTTTGAACTCTGGGCACATGGTGGCATCAGCTCATTTACATGGGCCACACAGTAAAACCTCTTTTACATAAGGCATACAGTAAACATTTGTACGGGACACACAGTAAAACCAGTTGATATAGGGCACTCAGTAAAACCAGTTGATATAGGGCACTCAGTAAAACCAGTTAATATAGGGGCACTCAGTAAAACCAGTTGATATAGGGCACACAGTAAAACCAGTTGATATAGGGCACTCAGTAAAACCAGTTGATATAGGGCACTCAGTAAAACCAGTTGATATAGGGGACTCAGTAAAACCAGTTGATATAGGGCACACAGTAATACCAGTTGATATAGGGCACTCAGTAAAACCAGTTGATATAGGGCACTCAGTAAAACCAGTTGATATAGGGCACTCAGTAAAACCAGTTGATATAGGGCACACAGTAAAAACTCCTACATGACAGAACAAAAACAGTGAAAAGCATGGTACCTTGAATATTGTCTCGAGGCCCTCTGGCGTGAGGTTCTTGGTGAGCATGCAGGTGAGCATATCATACAGCGCCTGGAACGTGGCGTCCATCAACACCTCCATCTCCAGCATCTCGTCATATGTCTCCTCCTTCCCCTTCTTCAAGGGGAACCCAGTCAGGGACAGCCCTAGTGTGCAGTCCAACCCTGTCTTGATCAGGTCAAATATCTCTGCCTCCGACAGGCGTGGGTCAAGCTTACTGCAGGGTGCTAAGGAAACATTCTTCGAAATATGGAAGAGGCTATTTTGTGTGTGTGTGTGCCTGTGTGTGTGCCTGTGTGTGTCTTTGTCTGTTGCTAAATGCTGCTCTTGTATACAATCAAGTCTGCATCATCTGTGTACAGTGACATTAACCAAGTCTCCAAGCCTGAGCACCAGATCCACTAAGTTGGCTGTTGCACACGTGTCTGACTGTCTGACCATCTGTGTCTGTGTATGTGCGCTTGTACATGCTTAATAGAGAAAATCTTACAGTTAAACAATAGGTTTAGTCATATACGGAGACAAAATCTCGGTAAAAATATGTTCTTTGTATTTCAAAACGGATACATGAGTGTCGCACAGGCATTCATGGCCAGTGCTCTCGTCTCATTGGACAGGTGGCCGACTGGCTCCGCCTTCATATAATTCTGCAAACAATAGAGGAAAGTGAGTGAGTGAGTTGAGTTTAACGCTGCTTTCAGAAGTAATATCATGAAATGTCAGCTTGTATGGGGGTAAACCTAAAGTGATGCAGGTGTTTCCTGGGTTACCACTAATCAGTGGGAATCTTGTATATAAACCCACAATCATAGGTTTGTGTACACCTAAGGGATGGATATCTGCACTTCCAATTTCAGCACTTAAAACAACAATGACCCGACAAAATATTTTGCTGAAGGCCTGTACGTGTCTCGAGGTTGGTGAACACTGACAGAGGATGAGATTACTTGGCTACAGTTTTGAGCACTTTAAGGAGAGCTGACACATGTCCTGAGCTACAATCCTGTCCTGACTAGTGAGTGAGTGAGTTTAGTTTTATACTGCTTTAAGCAACATTCATGCAATATCACGTGGGGGACACCAGAAATGGGCTTCACACATTGTTCCCATGTGGGGAATCGACCCTGGACCTTCGGCATGATGAGCAAACGCTTTAACCACTAGGCTACCCCACCCACCCTTATGTCAGACTAGTAATGGCAGGATCACCATGACAAAATATTTCCTACTTTACACCTCAGTCTGCACTATTTCAATTATCAAGGCAGCAGTGAATAACAAAGTCAAGGGAGGAAAACAAGTGGTCGAAAACAAGAATCCACATGGTTGTCAAGGACACTGATGGTATGACCAATCAATCCACATCATTGTCAAGGACACTGACAAATTGTCCGATTTTAGTGTCCACCATTATGTCATCTTAGACACAGTGGATATCCTGAAATCTGTGACATCACATGCTGATGTCCTGATGTCCCACTGGGGACACACAGCATCGTCAATGTACAGACTGCTACTACACATGCAGTGACATCAACGACAACAACTCTGGGTGACGTTGTACAGTGTCTTCTTAGCACTAAGGTGATCGTAACTCCCACAACGTAACACAGACGTACGACTGTCTTAGCGCTAAGGTTGGTTTTGTACAACAGCCCCCCTGGTCTACTGCTACACACCTCTACCACTATTATGCTTTTCAACAAACTTCATGCAATTTGTGTTTGAAAAGAAACTGTGAGTGCAAAACGTACACATCCCAAGGGCACATCTATAGTGAAACATCTATACGCAAGTTTGAAACACACACACCTATATATATATATATATATTTGTGCATTTACCAAGATCACTAATCAGTCCTGAGAAGAGAGTAAAACAACACAGATTTATCTAGACCTAGTCAGAGGCTGTTGTCTGCCACCCATTTGCTGGAAATGACTGTCAAAAGTCCTAAGAGAATTCCCAAATTCCCAATTTAGAAGATATTATGTAAAAATGGACAAAATCAACTTAACATGACACTTACCCTTCAAATCAACCAAAACAGGAGCTTTAATCATCAAATATCAACTAAATAAATCAACACTGTCAGTATTATTGTTAAAACAAGAAGAATTTCAAGACATTCTGTGAAAGTAAACAACCTCCTTGGCTGTGAGTTTGGTGTTGCTTTACAACTTTTGCTGGTTGATAAAATTTCACCAATGGTTCTGTGATTTCTGAAAATATCTCGGCAAATAGTAAGAATTTTATTCTGAAGTGTGTGCTGGAGTATGTGTCAAAAATCTTATTACTTACTATCTACATTTTGAATACTTTCAATTGCTTCCCTGTCTGTTAGCAATTTGAACCACTGATTTATTCAACTAAAAAATGAGTAGCATTTTCTACATTATAACATGAATATTTACTACAGTGCAAAGACTACCTAGACACAGGCAGTACCTGTAAGTGAGCTATGAAATTCCCGTGTGCTGAAGTTATACGTCTGCTCAAGATGGTCGGGATGCAAGGCCTTGCCGATCAAATCCACCGTGCGAATCAGATTTTGTTTGACACTTGTGTCCTGAATAAATGACAAGATACATGCATGATATACACCTCTCCCCACACACTACCTGTAGGCTGGAGAGCATGTCTCCCCGTAAGGCGCACATGCCTACAGATTGCATGCAGTCCTGAGTGTAACACTGCCCGAGTAGGCTGATGCAGTGGATCAGGTTACGACGCAGGTCCACGCTGATGATGATGCTTGACTGCAACAGTAACCTAGCAACTAGAATATTTCAATGCAATTAAATAGTTATGAAATCTTCATTTTTTAAGTATCACGTTTCCCCAAAATGACCTGGCATGTTTCATGCTTCTGTAATAAATGATTATAATGATCTTCCATCTGCACCAAGAGAGGATGGTGGTATCCCTATGTTAAAGGACAGGCCAAACTGGTATCAGGATCGGGCATCGTCTCAGACTTCGAACCAATGACCAGCAAAAATTGGCAGCTCAGAGACGTAGGTCTGTACGGTCACTGGCAGAACATAGGATTACGGTGTCATCAATGTCTCCCAGTCCATGTTGTTTTATGGCAGTCAGCTGCATAACTGCAACATCACGACTGCCTTTCACATGGTCCACGCTTTGTGTTGTTCATATTAATGAGCTGTCTAGCAATACGCAGGTATATGACAGCATGTTCAGCAACAGAGATTGAACTGACAATTGAGAGATGGATATTATAAGCAAAGATTCAGGCAATTTGGGTACGATGACACACAGTCTACTGGCCAGTCAAGTCCAACAGCCTGACCACTTGATCCACTGTGGCATCTCCACGACAAGCATGGGTTGCTCAAGACCAATTCTAACCCAGATCTTCACGGGTCTGGAATCATTGACTGCTTGATAACACCACACTCAGCAATGAGTGAGTGAGTGAGTGAGTGAGTATAGTCTTACGCCGCTTGTAGCAATATTTCAGCACTATCACGGTGTGGTACACCAGAAATGGGCTTCACATATTGTTCCCATGTGGGGAATCGAACCCGAGTCTTCGGTGCTTTAACCACTTGGCTACCCCACTGCCCCACTTATCAATGAAACCATGAACAAAAATCTATGCAATTGGACCATGATGACATTCATCAACCCAGTTGAACATGTACACAGCAATTCTGTTAGTCGCCTGTTCAACATGCATATTCACCTCTTACGACAAGCATGGGTTGCTGAAGACCAATTCTAACCCGGATGTACCCAACATTGGGGAACCAGCATGGAGAACTGGGGACCAAATCTTACCTGTGTGGACCTACCGTGGACACTGCTTGTGACTCACCTTGACGTTCTGGAAGTATGGAGCGATGGTACGGAGGATGGTAGCCTCCATCCTTGACACAATGAGTGTGGGTGGAGAGTAGAGAGCCACAAAGCCATAACACAGCATGATTGTCGACTTGACCTTCTCCGGCACTCCCTCCGACTTGTCCTGGAGTGGGTGAGTGAGTTTTAACAGTTTAATGCTGCCTTTGACAGTACCTTACCATCTCTCAGTGTGTCAACTAAAGTATTTAATATTGGGTTGGTTGACGTGATATTTTCAGCGTTACATGCTCACAGTAATGACTCTGGATTGGAAAAAAATATAAAAATATTATGATTTGTTTTTATGAATTCTTTTGTTGCTTGTCTTTGTTGGTACGTGTGATGTTTTAGGAAATATAATATCTGTGTAGACAGCGGAGCACATAATACACAACATTGTATAATTGTTAATTATTACATTAGCTGGTAAGTGATTCTACAACTATTAGCGGTACTCACAGAGCCCTTGAACACACTGAGAATCCCAGTCGACTTCTTGGCGGTGTCGTTTTTGGCCACAGTCTCCAGTTTGGTGAGAACAGCATCTAAGTGCGAGGCAGCAGAGAAGCCAACAGCTATAGCACAGCCCTGAGGAAACAAGGGCAAGGATTACTTCTTTGAGTGGCATTTAGAACAGGGGTGGAAATAACCCATTGCCCGACGCCCGAGTCCAGTGGTTTTTTCTGTCGGGCAAGCAAATTTGTATATCACACTGTACCGGTGTCCAGTTGACTTTCCAATATTAATTATGTTGTTTATCTAAAAAATCAACAAGAAAACGGCCGGTATAGTGGAAAAATTATCAGGGCAAGTGATTTTACATGTGCCACTGTACCGGAGTACACTAGCAATTTTTAAAGTTATTTCCACCCCTGTAGAAGCTGGTATGATCAACAGGAACTATATTATGGATACACAACTTCTTTATTGCAATAGATGCAACGTTTCAGTGTAGATGCTAACACCGTTATGACTTGGTTGATAACAGTGTCAGCATCAACACTGAAACATCGCATCCATTGCAAAAAAGAAGTTGTCTATGCATACAAAATTGTTCCAGTTCAAGGGTATGGATGTTCGGCTGTCAGTACATTTTTCTCAGTTCCTCATCTCCCACCTGCCCTGAATTTACTTCATGACGAGGAAAACAAAAAGTATATAATCTGAATTTCCCCGATCAGTATGGAAAATCATGCCTTATGTCATATAACAATACTTATTCATCTGCATACTCTTTATAAGCTCAGGTTAGCTTAATCCTTCATAAACCATGAAAAAAAAAATTCATTTCCAAAGCAAAGTGACTCTGTCTATGTCATAAATTTAAATGTTTTTGATCTTAAAATGTCAACAACAAAATGTAAACAATTAGTAAGAACTAGTTTTTAAATTTTTCTATTATTTTTATCCTGTTTTGCATTTGCTCCCTTGCTGGTTAACCAGGAGCCGAGAAACACAGAAAAATATAGAGATGGCCCTTAGCCATTATCAGGGATATTCCTTCTGTATCACGGCTTTGTGTAAATGATCGATCAGACAATCCAATGGATCAAGCATACTGTGTATAACACTTGGTCTGTGCACAACCTACCTCTTTCTCCGTCTGGTCAGTGTGTTTGACCGTGCTGAAGAGCAGGTCCAGATGTTTGGTGACGAAGTCCTTCTTTGTGGATTTCCTCATGATGATGCCCAGACATTTGTACAGGAAGTTCTAGAAGACAAACAACAAGTCACACATCAGTGACAGACCTCATCATCCGTCATACACTAGAGTCCCGATCAACAAGGCTTTCATAATGTTATGACCTGTCAAAACTCGATACAAAATCACTGGTTTACGAATTACGTAATGCTGCAAACGCTTTGTGGATAGGGTCCCTAAACATCTAGCTACCTTAATAAGAAAGTAATAAGCACATCCTGTTTTGATGAGACTCTGAACTGCAGTTTGAGCTGATCAGATGGACAATATTTCTTACTGTTAACTTAAAACATTTATGATGGTGGTGTAATAATGAAATGTTACAGCATTGTATTCCCATAGTAGACACATGATACAATACATTTACATACAACCCATGTATCACATGAGAAAATATATTTAACACATTTTCATTGAGGTGTACCAGTCTGTTGATTTTCCAAGCACCCACGGCACAACTACAACAATTATTAAATATAAAGGTCTGTGATTGTATTACTATTATTAATATTTCCACATTATTAATATTTTTCAATGTAATCTCGCAAATCTATATCCAAATTCTATGTATGTTGTATGGATGGGCCTGAGGCCTTAAAAATTGAATAAATTCTGTCTGTCTGTCTGTCTGTCTGTCTGATTGTATTACAGCAGACATGAGCCCTCGCTCCACCCACCTTCTCCTCAGATGCGTTGTGGTACATGATCACGTGTTGACCCATCAGTTCCCCAAAATCCGCGATCCATTCCTCGCTGTCAATCACGTCGAGGCTCTTGGCCAGCATCTGTTTATAAAGTTAGACAATAGTTTCAACAGCAGTTTAATTTGTCTTCACATTTCTCACCATCAGATCCTACTCTTGACATGAAGAACTCAATGCCTGCTTGCGAAACATTCTAAAGATTATTTTATTTGTAAGCTACTACAATAGCATCGCAGCTCACAGAGCTAAAAACGGATCGCGATTAGGCAGTCTGCCAGGTAAAAATTGAAAGCAATGTATCCATACACGAAATAGAGAGAGTGAGTTAATTTTTACGCCGCTCTTAATAATATTCCAGCAATATCAAGGTGGGGGACACCAGAAATGGGCTCCATAGAACCCATGTGGGGAATCGAACCAGGGTCTTTGGCATGATGAGCAAACACTACACAAATATAAGTATTGCCATGTACAAGAATATTACTTGGCCTTCATTCCATGTATAACGGGTGTTGTATAACTCAGGTGGTCATGAATGCACCCCAAGACCCGGGTTATACCAAGGGATGACTGCATAAACTTAATCTTATTTGTGTGGATTGTGTGGACCTTGTTTGTCTGGAAGTCCTATACTCACAGAAATATCATACACATACAAAGGATATTACTCATGGTGCTCGGGGCTCATCAATCCATATTTCTTTTATGTAGACAAAAGCTTTCAGAAACATTTAGATGTATATAATGGACATAACTCTATACTAATGGTGCTGTGCACTGGTCAGTCCAATGTCTTGTTTGGAGATGACTACTCTTAAAAATATTCCATATTCTCAACAATAACACAGGACATCTTGATAAACTGTGTTTGCAAGAGTTGTATTTGTTTGTTTATTGTTTAACACCGCACTCAACAATATTCCAGCTCTATGGCGGCGGTCTGTAAATAATCGAGTCTGGACCAGACAATCCAGTGATCAACAGCATGAGCATCGATCTATGTATTTGGGATACGATGACATGTGTCAACAAAGTCAGCAAGCATGACCACACGATCAAATTAGTCGCCTCTTGGGACAAGCATGGGTTGCTGAAGACCAATTCTACCCTGAATCTTCACGGGTCAGTTGTACTTGTAACTGCACCATATATCATTCTCAGCTCCTTGAGGAGTATACAACCTATCAATCCGACACTGTGACATACAAATCTGCTATGTAATTGCTAGAAGAGTCACCTTCAGGAGCAAGTCTTCCCAGTTCTTCTGCGACCATTTCCCCTCGTCCTCCAGATGATCTGACAAACAAACAACCAATTACTTAACATACTACAGAAAATGTATTTCACATGTAACAATTAACTGAAATATGTTCTGCTTCTACATTTTGATTTGGCAGATCTTGAACCATTTGGCCAGAATAAATTTATACCCACCATCCCCACCACTAACTACTCCACCTCACATCAAGTACACACTCAGTAAGATCACTGCTACAGTGTATGTAGTCTAACCAAACACTCCTGAAAAGTTATGAATGCAGAATGCCATTTAGAAAGTGGTCAAATGTAACATATGTTATATTTAGGATTACACTTTCTCAGTAAAGCACAGATTCTAGTACTTTTGTTGGGTTGAGTCCCATCCGGGATTCGAACCCACACCCTCAGAGGGAGGCACCTAATGTGTGCTGGCGATTAGGTCCCTGACTCTTAGGGTGTGGGTTCAAATCCCGGATGATACTCAACCCAACAAAAGTACTAGAATCTGTACTTTACTGAGAAAGTGTAATCCCAAATATAACATATGTTCCTGATAAATTCTTTAAAAAACTGAAATCTGAAGAATAACATGCCTCCCACATATCAACATGAAAACTATTCCTGAAGATCTTGTAACTAATTTTAGTCTATTAAATGCTTCAATGTTCTCATGAAAACACTGACAAAGAAAACTGTGACTACAAATACACAATCACACCACCGATAGACAAGCTTAAGTACTGTCGGAAATACAAAACTGTTTTTAGGCTGTTACTCTGTATACCTAAAATTTACACAATTGCAAATAGCATATGTCGAAATAACCCACATTGGCCTAACCGGGCGTTCAGTGTGATACATAATAGGATATCCAGAAAAGCATGTTTACTCGTAAAATCGGGCAAAAAATTTGAATTTTTTTTTTATAGCTGCTGAAAACAATAGATCAGGCTATAGATGGCAATTAGGTTATTCAGCCAGGTATGACGATAGACCGTCAACCTATCGACGACCTAACAAGGGGTTATCTCAAAGATATATCTGTGCGTTTTCTTGTGTGCTGAATATGTCTCATCTATTGATTAACATTCTAACGTGTCTTCCTTCCATAAAACTTATGTTGAGATATGTAAAAGAGTACCCATAGAAAAGCTTAATTCAGCCATCGTATCAAATGTCTTTAAATATATACATGAAGGTGGTATGACCACCCGAACATCAACAGGACAGGACATTTTTATTTGTAAATTGTTATGACATGCCGTTTGCTTCCCCAGTTTAATTCCCCTAAAGGATTATCTTATCTCAGCTGATATCTCTATCCCCAGCGCGACCCCAACCAAAGTCTGCACACCCCTCTTGGTTTTGCTTTTGAGACGACCCCTCCTACCTGTTTCTTTTGATAGTGATAGTGAGACCTCATGGTAGCTACATCCTTAATAGTTTCAGTATTAAAGTTATTATTTTTTACATCAGCTATCATTTGTAATGAAGCTAAGTTTCATTTCAAAATGAGTGTTTAAAAGTGTCCTTTGTAATACAATATCATAGCTCACTAATTTGCATAAAGCCATGGTCTGTTTCAAATAAATCTTTTTGGACATAGAAAACCAACGCATTGTTCATTTCTGCACTAATCTCTCCTCAGTAAAGTCCTTTTTCTACATTTCCTATTCCCTACCACTGAGACTGTAGTTAGGCCAAACTTAGTGTAACAGATATTTCACACTATCACATATTAACTACATAAATTGTAGATATAAATGCAAAAAACACAGGGTTTTTTCTATTTCTGACAGTACTTTAGCAGTGTAGGAAAGATGTAGAAAATCTAGCCTGTCCACAGGACTGGCAGGTCAAATGTTTTACCAGTCCTGCCAAAATCTAGCCTGTCCTCCAAATATATATAAAACACCTTCGACAGTAAATATTCAAAAAGGTTATAATCATTATATATATGTCATTGGTTTGCTAAAATTGACCCGACATGAGGACGGACTAGATATTTTTTAACCCGTCCTCCACAAAATTCACCCGTCTCGGACGTTGGGACGGGCTATCTTTCCTACACTGACTTTGGTACATGTGGAAGATCCATTCTGTCTCAGATTCCACCTATTCTGACTGAAATCTCCATAAAGGACACTTGGGAGGAGTGACGTTATTGACAAGACATACACCACAGTTGTCACACTTATACACCATATACCAAGATTAGTTGGAGATACAGTGTTAAGCAGTAATTTTTCACTTCCATGCAAGCTCAATCACAATACTTCATCAGGTGCAATCAGTCAAATCCAGCACAAGATCCTTCACAGAGATAACTATCATGCCATCAGACTTACCATAAGATACCCTTGGAGAAACTATCAAAGAAAATCATGATGAATTTCTTTTTTCTTTTTTCAAAAACAAAAAGAGAGAGTGGGTAAACCAATAAAGGAGAAATTGAGTACGATATCACACAATCAGCCATACTACAAGGCCTGTGATGTCAGTTCCCAGTTGAGTAAGCTCTTACAGACATGCTCTACAGGAGACCCCTACTCAAGCTGAAGGGGTCGTTGTCGGCACAGGTACTACAGATATGTACCCCAGGTACGTTTCTGTATACAGACATGTACCCTAAACAAAGACAAACTACAGAAACGTATCCGGTACCCTAAACGACGGACGAGTCCATATTCCGCAACCCAAAACCGAAACCGTATGTAGTTGTTCCCATTCAGCTGATTGCGAGTGGTGGACGTTGTGCACCGTGACATATTCGTTACTGTGTATGCTCTTATATAACGATATCAAATGCATCTAATACAACAGTATGACCGTTCCGATGAAGAAAACTCCACAATGCAGAATGGATCGTCTAAGGGTACGTTTCTGTATTCTGATTTTGGCTAGGGTACATTTCTGTATACAGAAACGTACCTGGGGTACACATCTGTATTACTCGTGCCGACAACGACCCCTTCAGCGTAACATATTTGTTACTGTGCAGCCCTACTCAACTGGAAAGTGCACTGTAGTGCCATTAGTGAGTTAGCACCATTTTAAGCAACTTCTAGCAATAGTACAACAGTGAACATCAGAAACTACCTTTACACATTGGCTAAAACACAGCACCAAGGTGGAGAGTGATTGACTGATGAGTTCGGCTCAATGCTGCTTTGACTAGAGAGTGAGAGTGGCTTTAAGACACTATTGTCAATATTCCATGAATATCATGGTAGGGGAAACTAGAAATGGGCTTCACACTTTGTGCCAATGTGGGATATCAAACCAATGTCTTCAGCATGACAAGCAAATGCATGAAGACATGGCACAACCACCCTTTAGAACAATGATGCTTGAGGAATGGATTAGAGTGAGTTTAGTTTTATGCCGCTTTTAGCAATATTCCAGCAATATCATGGCAGGGGACACCAGAAATGGGCTTCACGCATTGTATCCATGTGGGAAATCGAACCCGGGTCCTCGCCAAGGCTAAATAAAGCAAATAACTAACTACTAACCTTGATATATCAGCATGGCTGGGTTACGCAAAGTCGAAAATATCATATTGCAGAGAGGCACTCAACAAATACTTAATAAATTTTGTATTATGCAGTAATGTAAATGAAATGCACCTACAAATTCCTTTAAATGACACCAAGACTATTGCCCGAGTCACACACTCATATTGAGTGAAGTGTCAACATAATTTTTTAGGGGTATAGTCTGGGCTGGAGGGGTATACTTTGGCCTGGTCCAGAATATACCCCTGGGGTATAAACTGGGCTAGCCTATAGTTTACCCCGGGGTATAATCTGGTGGGGGGGTTTCTGGGCTGCTACACCGGGTCTTCATGACGAGCAGATGTTTTAACCACTAGGCTACCCCAATGCCCAGAATGGATTAGAATTCAAAGAACAAACAAGTAAGATGTTGTGGTCTAACTCAAGTTTTGAATAGCTGAATCCAGTTATCAGTGTACTCATGTTAGCCAAACTCTCCCTCAACAGATAGTAGGACTTGTGTACTGTAGGAAGATCTATCCAGGGATGTAACTTGTAACATACCAATATTGCATGGACACGATTAATCATACACCACCCTCCATGACTAGGCCTTAAGATCCCATTAACATTCAGTTTCCAAAAGCTTGGGAACTGTCTGTTACCAAAGGTGTCTCACTTATTTTTGACATGTATAAAGTAACTTTTGACACCATGAAAATTGAAGAAAGAAGTTCAGCAACTAAAAAGATGATGTGCACATGCACAGGTTCCAGTAAACATTTTTTAAATTTTTCAAGTGTCAGCACCTACCTTCCAAGTACTGGACAAGTTTCGGGATGACGGTATCCCACAGCTCCACCAGGTTTTCGTGGATGTTTGTAGAGATCCCTTTCATCATCTGCAGGACGTGCACTCCTCGTTCTCGGCCATTCAGTGGACGACCCGCCAGAACCTGCACCACAACATTTGGTATGACAAAAAACACAGCTGAACCAATTATATTTTCCATGAATTTTTTTAAAAAAGCAATACCACAGGAGTGTGACTTATTCCTGAGTTGGGTTTAATGCCACTTTGACTAGAAAGTGGGTCTTTAATATTCTAATGACAAAGTAAAGATATAATATTAAAAGACAAGAAATGAAATTTTTCCATTTTCAATGACAGTGATGAAACTCAGAGCGGGTGAGCGGTCGAGCAAGTGAGCAAGTTTCACACAGCTTTTAGTAATATTCCAGCTAATCCAGCATTTTCATGGCTGGGGACACAAGAAATGAGCTTCACAACATAAAACTTCTAAAAGCCTGCACACTCTTACCACAAACTGAAGTACTTACAACAAGTTTGGCAGCAAGAGATGGAGGCTTGGGAATGTTTGCTGAAAAAGAAATTGGAACAAATTAGATTACACATGCTATTATGAAAACCCTGCACAACCAGGCTGATTCATCTCCCTGCTGTTGATAAATGATGGGAAACAAACATGGGACACATGCCTCCAATGAACATCTACTGAGCCACCCTACACAGCCTGTAAACCTAGACCTAGTGAGGTTCATGTCAGCACTATTTCAGCTATACCCTGACCTTCAACCATTGGAGAACAGAACCACAGCTGTCCACAGGTGGAGCCTTGACTGTCACAGTGAGTGAGTGAGTGAGTCAATATTATGGTTCAGCAATATTTCAGCCATACCCTGACCTTCAACCATTGGAGAACAAAACCACAGCTGTCCACAGGTGGAGCCTTGACTGTCACAGTGAGTGAGTGAGTCAATATTATGGTTCAGCAATATTTTTGCCATGTGGCTATGAGGACAAGGTTTAAAAGCAGAACAGTTCTGAAAGACGAGGATGAACAGCAATGTATAGCAAATAAACAAAAAAATGAGTCATTGACAGGTTGAGTGTCTAAAATGGCAGTCCGGCACATTCCCTCTAGCCTCCTATTGGGTTCACTTGCCTTCTCAATTCATGAATTCCCAAAATTGACATCTACCTTGAGTTTCATAGTCGATTTCATAATCGTCAGCATTCTCCTCCCTCTTCTTGGTGGACAGGTAGGCCAGACTTCGACAGAGGGCACCTGCTGCCTCCGTGTATTGCTCGGGGACAATCAGCTCCAGCAGGTACGGCCACAGCACAATCTCCATTCTCTCTATTGTCGTGGTAACCAGCTGCAGGATGTTCTCGCACATGCTGCGTAATGCCTTGTTGGACACCCATTCTGGGTCTGCAGGCCTCTTACCCTGAAATATAAACCATCGTCAGTAATTCCATTGTCTGCTCAGGGTCTACAACTCGTTTTGTCTTGTTAGTTTGTTGTTTAACGCCGCACTCAGCAATATTCCAGCTATATTTCACGGTCTATAAATAATCGAATTGGGATACGATGACATGTGTCAACCAAGTCAGTGAGCCTGACCACCTGATCCCGTTAGTCGCCTCTTACAACAAGCATGGGTTGCTGAAGGCCAATTCTAATCGGATCTTCACGGGTTTACTGAAAGTGGGACCACCAATTCAATGTCAGTGAGAGACAATGGCAAAAGGGAGTAGTACATTTATTTGTTGTGGTTGTCAGTAGCAGCAAAATACTCAAACACTCTCAAGATATTGATTGCTGTAGAAGTCAGAAAAAACAAAGTGTGATTTAGCACTATTTCCATACTTTCTAGAAAAACACAAGGCAGTCTGGACGCTTCAACACTGACCCCGGCAAAGGCTACTGAATGGCGGCCTTCACTACGTATACTGGGCGACATGCCATATATTTACTATTAAAAAATCCGAGAATGGGCGGTTAGAATTTTTTCACAGTGTTTTCATCAATACCATGGCAAAGTATACTTCACCAGAACAACTCCAATCATTACTTTTAGTGCACGAACACGTTATTCAAGCAGTTTCAATACACGAGTCGTCGTTACATGGGTGAAATGGAAACAGTGACGTACACCCCATTTTCAACACCAACATGTGTGTTGATATTATGTGTCAGCTCTCTATTATTAGGAAATTGTACACATAAAACATCGATCTGAACGACCACATTGAACATTCTAACAGTATTTTCTGAAAGTAAAACCAAAACATTAGACCAAAAAAGTAGACATACTCACCGGTGGGTCGTCAGGAAGAGCACACTGTCTGACAATAAATTCCACCATGAGTTGTCCCCCTTCCAACTCCAGGTAACCATGGTGAGCCATTGCTATGACAACCTGGGCAAACACTTTCTTCACCTGAAATATTTAAGTGCATATTACACACAGAACCTGCAATCATCTTAAAGCAATTTATGATCTGAAAGTTATGATCAGTTTAACAATTTCAAAGTGCTTATTGAGTGAGTCACATTAGGCTCTGCCCCGCTATGTTGACAATCAGAACCACTGACCAGGAGTATTTAAATATCATGAAGGGTCAAGGTCAGCAAGCTTCCACAGACCATGGAAAACACTGATATGGTCTCACTTATCCATCTGTTTGTCATTGGATTCCAATAAGTAAAGGGGCGGTGGGGTAGCCTAGTGGTTAAAGCGTCCGCTCGTTACGCCGAAGACCCGAGTTCGATTCCCCACATGGGTACAATGTGTGAAGCCCATTTCTGGTGTCCCCCGCAGTGATATTGCTGGAATATTGCTAAAAGCGGTAAAACCAAACCAAACTCACTCACTCCAATAAGTAAACACAGGAATGGGTTCGGGGAGCTACTCAGTCCTTCACTTACCATGTGAAGACAAACATTGGTTCCATGAGAATAGTTGTGCACCAAAATTAACATGAAGAGACAAGCTGGTACTGGTACCAGATCCATATAGCTGTTTAAGCATATTTTTACTATATAGTTTGCATTGTCATTGGATTATGAATGTCATAGCACCATGTATTGTTTATGGATCAGAGCCTGGAATCTTATCTGGTTCAGAAGCCACTTGCATACACAACCAGGAAAAACAAGTATGGAGTCAAGGGGCAGGGTTTTACATGATGCGTGATTCCTGCGTATTCGACGCAACAATTTTGTAAACGACTCTCAAAATATTATCATACCAGTCAAGCTTGACGCAAGTTTTATGGGTGACCCTCACAACTCGGTTCAATAAAATTGATTTGATAAGCAAAAAATGATATTGTCAGATTGTTCCAGAGAACTCAGAGGAGACAGTATTCCTGGTTGTTTGAATTGAACAATGCTGTAGTTTCATTTGGTGGTGTGACATACAGTTACACACTGAGAATGATTAACACAAAGAAATATTAAACTTTTCATGACTCCCAAATATTGAAAATCACTCCCAAAAATAAATATTGTGAGTCACCATGGCTCCCATTTTAAAAGTCTGTGTAAAATCCTGAGGCGGGATTCAGACAGTTTGCAGGTAAATCAGACAAAACAATCTACACTTTGTTGAAAGTTGGAACTTTCATCAGAATTGATTATTTTCTACAAATTGAGAGTTTACATAGAATTGAGTAACATTAAACAAGCTTCTTATTCTTATTGGACCAAGTATCCGAGTAGTACAACTCACCTCTACAAAGATGTAACATTGTTTATGGCCATAAGAAAAGATTGATTGATTCAAATAAAAGCAAATATTTTACTGTTATTTGCAGCATACACTGGAATTAATTAAACTAATAAGATCACCATGACTTTCTCAGCCCGAGCAGGTCCACATGAAGCCCAGGGAAGAGCTTACCTTGTTGTTGGTGTCCTGGCAGAGGTTCTTCAGTCCAGACACAACAACCTCCTTCTTGTCTTCCATGGAGGGGCCTGCAACACACGAGTCAGTACAGGTAACACACAGAACCTGTCGACTTATCCTAAACTGCATACCTGTCAACTCTCACGCATTTGGTGTGAGTCTCACGCTTTATTGACAAATGTCACGCTCTCACGCCTCCAAATAATAATCTCACGCATATCTGGTAGCCAAAAATAATTTCAAAATTAATACGCATTTTCGTTCGTTTTTGCATAAGGTTGAACATTGAAAGAACGCCTGAATGAACGAAGTACTAAAACGATGTTTATGCGAATGATTCGGCTTATTATTATTTATTAGCATGCATCTTTTAGTGTCAAAATAATGCCACCAGAAGGCTCCAAATGCTCCTGAAAATCACTAAACTTCATTTTCGGGGGCGGGGGGGCTAACCGAGACCCCCACCAGGACCCCGGCTTATTTTTTTTCAGTCTCACACCAAACCATCTTTAGGGGTTGACAGCTCTGTAAACTGTAGGGTAACTGTTGGTTAGCTCCACATATACAGATACTAGTTTACATTCAACTACAACAGGAAGATGCTGTCCATTGCCCCTTCCAGTCTATATCCAGGTGTGTCCTGAGTGAAATCAAAGCATTTTCTCTGTGTATTAGAATAATCCAATGGGCACTGTCTGTCTGTCTGTGTCTGTCTGTCTGTCTAGAAATCTTTATCCTCAGTGTTGTCAAAATGTTGGTTGGTTGGTTGGTTGGTTGGTTGGTTGGTTGGTTGCAGCAGCACTCAGCAATATCCCAATTATGTGGAGGCTGTCTGTAACTAATCAAGTCTGGACCAGACAATCCAGTGATCAACAGCATGAGCAATGTCGGAGGAGAGCCAAAGTGAACCAGGTGCTAACAAACCTACAAACATAATCAGCGTGAACAGGGATCAAACCCACGATCATTGTGTTTTGGCATGTCCAAGGGAAGCAACTCTGCACAGCAAATGGTAGTGCCTCAGACTACAGAGCCCCTATGCCTCCTGCTAACATCTTTATCTTACCTTCATGTAACTTGTAAGATACTTTAATTTCATTGGTCAATGACACTTTTACATGTTTCCATGTCACCCCTCCCTGGAGGGTGACAACTGGAAAAAATATTACCCACTGCCACGGTTAATAATTAACCATTTTTATAGAAGTTTTAAGCTTGTCAGAATATGTTTCACTGATCTTAAAATCCATTTGAGAGGCAGACACCATTTTGTTTACATGTCATATAGTCGGTAGCGAGCTTATTGATCTTCAAAATAAAATAAAATAATTTTGTACATTCAACATGGCGGTAAGATAATACATTCTAAACTTCTCCCTTGGGTAATACGGTCTGATGTACGCCTTTTTGTAGCAGTGTTATCCCTCGCCTACTGGGACACTGGATACATCAGACCGTACTTACCATCAAGAGTAGCATACAACTTATATAGTGATGTATCAAGATCACCACTACCAATGTTCTGTTGCTTTTCTTTCTGACAAGGCATTCATGGCTGTGTATTGCAAGCTAGGGGGTTTACTCCAGCCTTACAATGGCAATGGACTACCACAGAGCTATCTTCAACAGAAGGGGCCAATCACGTTAAGAGTGATGGAAACTGCCTGGTTGATAAACATGATAAACAAAAGAGACTACTGCATCAGCAGACTGGTGTTTACACAAAGTGGTGTTTAAACCAAACAATCAGAGGCTGCTCACCAGACCAGGCCAAATACCCCCTTAAGGCCTAAAAAAATTTGTTTGTGGTTCTGATTGCCCGAACAACCCTTGAATTCTGGTGCTGACCCTAGTTTTTTTCAGAGGTATGAATAAAATAAGCTTTCGGATACCATTGTTTTTTCCCGGCATCCATGGACATCGGTCAATCTGACAGAGAAAATCGAAATGATGGCCGCAAGCTTGACTGAATAAACAATAACACATTGATAAATGTGTTATTAGTTCATACTTTACTTCTAAAATAAAAATGTAAAGAAAAAAAAATCCTACCTACCTAACCTAAATTTTAAAGAGGTGTAATCGGAACCACCACTTTTTTTTTATTTGGCCTAACACAGTGACTGTAGATTCTCTTGCACAAAATGCAACATCAGGGAGATAACTCTCAGTTCCTACCTGCAGAGTTAATGATGTGTTTGAAGATGGTGAGGACACCAATCCTTGTCTTCTCATTGGTCGTCTCCAACTTCTGAAGCAGCAGCCCAACAAGTCGCCCCGAAAATGACCGGGCTGAGGAGCAATATTAACATTTGGTTCAAAATTCACTCATCACATTAAACAGTGTGCATAACATTTTGTCTTGCGAATCAACAAGTAAGTTTTCTTGGTCAAAATGAAAAACTAGATGAGGCAAATGAAGACATGATCTGACTGTTACAGCTTGGGACACAAAAGCGATCTGTCAACTCAGTGACTGTATTGATATCTAATCTATCTGTCCTTATACAAGAGCAGTTATTGAGCTATCAAAACATTTCCATGGAATAGGGATTCAGGGTTTTGTAATTTTATTTCACGATATTTGGGCAAAGAAATGTTTAAGGAAGCACTCTAAACACAATCTAAACAGCAAAAGGCACTGGCTCACTACTTTCTTTGGTTTTGTGTGAGTGCAAAGTTTTACGACAAAAACAAAGAAGTTTCCGAGATATTGTCCAGAAAAACAGCCATGAACAGTCAATGTGCACAGAGCGCAGGTCACGAATCAGTTGAAGTTAAGCAACGGCAAGCTCGGACAGTCCTTGGATGGGTGACCATGTTTGAAAACTTGACTCCTGAGAGTTTCTAGGACTTTCCGTCCTGCCCCACAACGAAGAGCACATGTGATACATGTGGTCTCACCTTAGGCAAGTGAGTTTGTTCAAAATTGCCTCTGTTCACCCAACAGAAAATGGGTACCCGGTTGGATAGAGTCATGTGACTATAACCTTCTAGCGCCTAACAGGCAGCTTGGGTTATCCGGGGTAATAATAATCAGGGTGTTAGCACTTTGAGCATGCTTTGTTGTGCAGATGATTTGTTGTCTCATTATTATTATTATTAATGTGAAATTTTTTTAAAACAGAAATTGTAAAGGTATAACACTAAAGCATTAGTTGACAACCTATGTGTGATTTCAAGATTAATACATATTGTTTTAGAGATATGGTTTGAATAAAACCATTTTAGAGATGGGACAGAGGATTGCCACTTTCCCTTAACAAATAAACATTACTCAAAAAGAGGTTTTAACAAAATGTTAAGCAAAAATATGCTAAATAAACATGGCATCATTGACATAATTCTTACACTACTGCAGTATATCATGTCTTACACTGCTGCAGTATATCATGTCTTACACTGCTGCAGTATATCATGTCTTACACTGCTGCAGTATATCATGTCTTACACTGCTGCAGTATATCATATCTTACACTGCTGCAGTATATCATGTCTTACACTGCTGCAGTATATCATGTCTTACACTGCTGCAGTATATCATATCTTACACTGCTGCAGTATCATGTCTTACACTGCTGCAGTATCATCTTACACTGCTGCTATACACTTACTGCTGCAGTATATCATATCTTACACTGCTGCAGTATATCATATCTTACACTGCTGCAGTATATCATCATCTTACACTGCTGCAGTATATCATGTCTTACACTGCTGCAGTATATCATGTCTTACACTGCTGCAGTATATCATGTCTTACACTGCTGCAGTATATCATGTCTTACACTGCTGCAGTATATCATGTCTTACACTGCTGCAGTATATCATGTCTTACACTGCCGCAGTATATCATCGAGATGTTAAATATAAGCAACTGAATTATGCCGAACAGAAGATTTATGAGTGCCAACTGACCGATGATGGTAAACGATCTGAGAAGCTCGTTGTGGTTCTTGATACTCAGTGGGTTTGTGTAGTCGGGAACCTGCAGTACCTGGAACAGATAGGTTCAGTCTTCTATACAACATTACAGACTTAACAAATGCTTTGTTTGTTGTGTAACGCTGCACTTAACTACATTTGGCAATCAGTGATTTGACAGCGATCTGCAAATATTAAAAGTCTGGACCAGACAATCATGTAATCATGAACATAAATTTACACAATGACATGCATAAAGGAAGTCAATGAGCCTAAGCATGTGACCCTGTTAGTTGCTTCTAACAACAAGCATGGGTTGATGAAGATCAATTGTAACCCTGATCTTCATGGATTTACACATACCACAGAGTTAGTGACGACATTCAATCTCAAACAATTTTTCAAAATTGTGAACTCCATAGACAAAAGCACAAAATGTCTTAAATAGTGTTGAGGATGCTAATATCCATTCTAGTGTTAAATCTATAGACAAATGTATAACAAGTTTAAGGATGATAGCGCATATACCATTTCTGGTGTAAAATCCATTCACATTTGTGATCTGACATTCATTTCCCATTCACCTGTGGACAAACATAACGAGTTGTCTTACCTGTGCAAAGAGAATATTGAAGAGGTTGTCAAAGTGTGGCTCCAGAATGGGGCTCTCTTCCTTACACACTGCATCGAGGACCATGCACAGACCCTGAAGACAAAATGAAAACATAGATGGGGAGAAAAATACTTAAATGAATTCAATTGAGTAAGATTTAACAACGATTAGATGGTATTCTTCTTAAAAGACAACAGTGTTTATAATTTTCATACTGCTTAATCTTTCTGATCATGTAGCCAAGTAAATATGTGAGTGTTGTTGTCTTATACTGCTGTCAGCATCACGTCACTGATATATCAGAGCAACATGTTGATGAGAGAGTTTGGAGCAAGCCAGCCTTGGCAACAACCCACACTGTCTGGTCATGATGACAATCAACCAGGTCATTCATTCAAGAAACCATTCAATCCTCTTTTCAATGACTCACAATCAACCAGGTCAAACATTCCAGAAACCATTCAATCCTCTTTTAAATGACACACAGTCAACCAGGTCAAACATTCCAGAAACCACTCACAATCAACCAGGTCATTCATTCCAGAAACCATTTCAATCTCTTTTCAATGACACAATCAACCAGGTCACACATTCCAATGACCTCTTTTCCAGAAACCATCAATGACACACAATCAACCAGGTCATTCATTCCAGAAACCATTCAATCCTCTTTTCAATGACACACAATCAACCAGGTCACACATTCCAGAAACCATTCAATCCTCTTTTCAATGACACACAATCAACCAGGTCACACATTCCAGAAACCACTCAATGCAACAATCAACCAGGTCACACATTCCAGAAACCACTCAATCCTCTTTTCAATGACTCACAAACAACCAGGTCACACATTCCAGACACACAATGTCAAACATAATGATGCAACCTTTCTGGGGACTGTGCCTTGTTTGTTATTTGTGTGGCCATTTCAATTTAAAGTGTGTACTACGTCATTCTTCAGCTCCTTGCCAAATGACAAGCAACTTAATGCCATTATGTGACCATTACCTGAGTGATGTGGTACGGCTCCGGATGGCGCCGGTACAATCCCAGCATGCCCTGCAGTATCTTGGGGAACTGTTCCTCCAGCTTGTCCTGGTCCATGACGTGTGTCATGTGACCCACCGCCTCAACTATTGCCAGACGGAGCTGTCAAAATTATCAAGATTATTAACATCTGATCACCACTGACACCTACAGATATATTTCTTATGCAGAATATATTGGTCAGTCTACCATAACAGTGATGGATGCCTGATTTTGATTGGTCAAAACAACTCCAAATTAAAGTAAGAGGTATCTAATCAACAGTTAGGCTACCTACTTTTTCAAAACACGCACTGATTTTCTCCAACAAAAACATTTTTCAGCAATCACTTAACACTGTTTGAAACCATCTTTATATGTCATATCAAGTTTCTGCCATTTATGAATATTTTAGGAAAATTATTATTGTCCAGCTGGGATATTATCATGAATAAGATTTTTAGTGGTGTTCCGATGATAATTTTTTTTCGAAAATCGATCGAAAGAAGGATTAAAAATGATTATCGATTGTAAAAAAAACATTTTTGATTAATCAGAATATTTGTTGTTTTTGTAGAACACCCTTGAACTAAGTATACTAAGCATTTAATTTGATGAATAGTCACAAACAAACGTGCTCAACAGCGTAAAGCTATGCGCATTGTAAAATTTTAACCACTTTTATTGTTTAAATACAATTGCAGTGTCTTACTTGCATGCGTGCATTTCAATGCATGACAGTATTAGTTATAAAAAAAAAATAATTAGAAAAAACCTGGGGAAAAACCCTTAAACTTGGTGATTACATTAAAAATGTATATATTTCGTTTATAATCGATAATCGTTCACCACAAGTCATCCGACAATCGATAGTGGATTTGGTTTCCAATTCCCAACACTAATGATTTTCATGATTATGATTTATGTTGACAGTAAATGGTGGAAGACATTTTGCTTTTGTTATATTTTCATGGCCTGCGATCTCAAGCAACTGATAACAAAACACTGTAGGGACAGTATGTCCCCAAAACAAGTGGACTTTTTAACATATTAAATCAAAACAATTGTTTTCCTACTTTACTCCAAGTAGTATTTCATAGTCCTTTTAGTTTAAACAGTACAATTTAGCATTTTTCAGTTGTTTTATGCAAATGAGGAAACACAGATAAGAACCTCTCATTACATGAACAGATTTCCAATATTCAACATGCACGTCATTCCACATTGTAATCACCACACACAATACCTTCGCCTCCTTGGACTGCAGCCAGATGTTGAAGATGATGTCGTAGGCCGAGAATATCTCCCCTGAGAACTTCTCCTTGGTGATGGAGGAGTCCGGGGCCTTGTCAAGGTTGGCGATGTACTCCAGGATTGCTTCACTGAACCTGGACAAGGCTGGAATATACACCGGGACATGTGATGGTATACACCAACACTGATATCTCCCTACCACTGAACCTGGACAAGGCTGGAATATACACCGGGACATGTGATGGTATACACCAACACTGATATCTTCCTACCACTGAACCTGGACAAGGCTGGAATATACACCAGGACATGTGATGGTATACACCAACACTGATATCTCCCTACCATTGAAAACTGTGCAACAAACCAGTGGCGGTTAGAATCTGTTTTCAACCTGAATTCCCAAGGGTGCATACCCGTGAAGATCTGGCCTAGAACTGATCTACAGCAACTCATGTTTGTTATAAGAGGCGACTAACGGGATTGGATGGTCAGGCTCACCGACTTGGTTGAACATGTCATCGTATCCCATTTGTGTAGATCGATACTCATGATGTCAATCACTGGATTGTCTGCTCCAGACTCAATTTTTTACAGATTGCTGGAATATTGCTGAGATTTAAACAACAAACAAACAAAATATCTTTATTCCAGTTACATCATGGCAGCCATTTGGAGCAAGTGACATTGCCTCACCAACAAGCAGAATTTTTTGGAGACCAAACCAAAGTCAGCGATTCAAGTACAGCTCATAATCAGTAGCCATTTTGTCCTGGTGATATTACTTTTAGTGACTTTTCACATGCTCTACCAACCAATTCTTCCTCATCAACAGGGATTTCAGGATAAGATAACATTCATAACACTTACTAATATATAACACAGGCTCACAGGGAGCCTTATGATCAAAGGCAGCACAACTCAACATACACACCTGAACCCACTGGTTTTTGCTGATTCAATGTATTTTACTCAAAAGAAAGTAAAGACCACCCAACTGTTTCACATTTATGACAGTTGTTATGGTTAATTTTCCTTAGCTATAACCTGTGAAGATCAGGGTTATAATTGATCTTCAATAACCATGCTTGTCGTAAGAGGCGACTAACGGGATCGGGTGGTCAGGCTCGCTGACTTGGTTGACACATGTCATCGTATCCCATTTGCATAGATCAACACTAATGCTGTTGATCACTAGATGGTCTAGTTCAGACTTGATTATTTACAGACCGCCGCCATATAGCTGGAATATTGCTGAGTGCGGCAATCTGAACAACATACAAAGAAACAAACAAACAAAGTTATGGTAGTATGAAAGAATTAGGAGGTCCCTAACATCTACTGAGTAGTATATAACAACACTTTACCCATGTGAACAGGATCCCACCAAAGTTGCAGGCTCCTGCTGCTAAACTAACTTCAGAGATAAAGCATGAGTGCGTGAGTTTAGTTTTACACCACTTTTAGCAATATTCCAGCAATAGTTTGTCAGGGGACATCAGAAACGGGCTTCACATATTGTACCCATTCGGTGTGATGAGCGAACACTTTAACACCCGGTTACCCCACTACCCTTTTTAACCACTGTCAGTTACCCCACTCAGCGCCCGTTTATAAGCATTGACCATCAGGTTAATGTTACAATGGGCAGGTCCTCATGCGTGACAGAAGAATCAAGGTGTCCGTGACATGGTCAAGGGATGCAGGTGGAGTGTGACATGGTGCAGGTGGTGTGCAAGTGAAGGGTGACATGGTGCCAGTTCACTCCATGTGTACTTGCAAGCACAAACCTTTTGCACCACTTTGGATTTTCCACTGTCCAGGGTAACAAAAAACCTAGCTCTCTCATGTTACAAGCAGCACTGAACCCAACTCCCTCACTCACTCCAGAACAGGGCAACACTAACCTGAAGTGAAGACCCATCTCATGTTGTCGAACTTGATCATCCCCAGCATGGGCAGCATGGTGCCCAGCACGGCCGTCAGATGTGGCACCATGGCATACACTGGGCATCAAACAAATCACCATTACAACATAACCTCAAGGGACCAGTCATTAATATAAAAGTTAGTTAGCGAGTGCTAAAACAAACAATTGTTTTGTTGAACGTGTCCAGCAAGTTGGTAGAATCCGTCACCATGTCATACACTGGACATTAAATAGTCACCACTGTTACAACATCACCTCAAGGGACCAGTCATTATTATTAGTTAGGGAGGGCTAAAACAAACAATTGTTTTGTGGAAGGTCTCCAGCAAGGTGGTAGAATCCGTCACCATGTCATACACTTGACATTAAATAGTCACCACTGTTACAACATCACCTCAAGGGACCAGTCATTATTATTAGTTAGAGAAGGCTAAAACAAACAATGCTGTTTTGTGGAGGGTCCCCATCAAGTTAGTCAGATCTTGCATCTTGGCATATATGAGGTATCAAACAAAACACCATTGTAACTAAATCCTCTCAAGGGACCAGTCATTATCATAACGGAAAGTTGGTGTAGGGTCAGCAGGGCCAATCATTTGGGATTACACGTGACAATTTTCTCATGAGAATAGATAATGTTTTAGGCCAGAACAGCTGTATTGTTTATAGTTGTGGCTGGTTATTACATTGACAAACAAGTGTAGAAGTGAGCACAGCTCACATACCCCCGCTTCCCACTTTGGGACATGGAAATGACTGATATTGATATATATAATGTGACAAGGATCAGCAGCTCTCAAGACTTTCTCCTGGATTCCACTTTATATACATGTTAGATAATAGTTTTGCCATTAGCTGATTACATTAATAATTCATGGGAGGGGGGGGAGGGGGGAAAGAAATCAATTTTGTACACATGTATTAGGGGATCATCATTGATTTTGTACATGACATGCACTGACTGACTGACTGAGTTTAGTTTTACTTTATTCCAGTTATCCATGGTACATGACATGCAAGGGGGGTCACTTTTTTTAGTTACCATGGTTACATACACTATCATCATAACCATAATAAATGCTAATGATAACAACCACAGACACATAAGTCCAATATTACCAAGACTATGTGGACCGCCTCCGTGGTGTAGTGGTTAGAGCATCTGCCCGCGGAGAGCGGAAGGCTGCGGGTTCGATCCTCGACTGCATCATACCCAAAGCCTTTAAAATATGGTACTTGTAGGTCCCTGCCTCGCGCTCTGCATTAATGGGTACAACAAGGACTGGTCGGCTTGGAGTCAATGTGTCTGTGTGGGGTATTCATGCTTCACTGCGGCATGGTATCTCAGTGGGATAGCACCATAAAACCAGCTTAAGTCTGTGCTAGTACAAGCAGCCGTACATTCACATACACACGCATGCACGTCGTCATATGAGCGAAATAGTCTCAAGCACGATGTGACGTTAAACCCGATTTCACCTCACCTCACCAAGTCTTATGTATCATTTTCCCCTGTGGTAAGTTAAACAAATGTGCCGTAAACATACCATTAGCAGACGCCAAGTTGCCAATGGTCTGTACAACGAAAAAGTGTGGAATGACACCAGGCTGGAATCGGTCCAGAAGTTCCCCCCATCACCTCATCACAATATTTGGTTCCCAAAGCAACCAGAACGCCACTGGCTGCCGTCTGCCACTCAGGCTCTACTTCCTGTTAATAAGGGGACACAACAATCAAGAAAATGTAAACTGTAGCATCACAGGGGCTTGTAAGACCTTGGCCTTAACCTGCCCTGCACTTAAAAGAGCAAGGGAGCTCATTGGCTAAAAATAAAATATGTCCAATCAAATCGCAGACTCTTTTCAGTGCGGGGCAGGTTAAGGCCAAGGCGTCAATGGCGAACGGGCAAGGCACAATTCTGTTTGTGATGAATAAATGTACGCAAACTCATTATGACAGTGAGATGTCAGTGTCTCCGAAAGAATGGCGATGAGCGCGCTGACAGGCGCCATCAGTTCAGCATGTTTTGGTGAATGTCGTATGTGTATACTGTGAAATAAACAAGAAAATGGGTGAGTTACCGCTACAAATTCTGAGTAGGGATTTTGGCTCGGAATCGACCCTAGCTCCCAAGTACTGCTTCGATTTTTGTGCTATATGTCTCATTTTGTAGGTAAATCTATTGGCTTGAAATTGTGCTTACTTTAAATGTGATAAATACAGTGAGCAGTGTTGAATTCGCACTGAAACGAACTCGGTGTGTTGACCTCGTTACATCCCTTTCCGTAGTACTAAGACACCGTCAATGACAGTATATACCTTGAGGGCAGTTTTTAGCATTACAAGCCCCTGTGTAGCATGTTAACTTCTTTTACAGAGACACATTTTTTTTAATTTCCCTCCATCTTCACACAGTCCCTACTGTATTCTAGGATTTTGCATTAATGAAAATTTTGAAGAAACGTCTACTAGGTGCAGAAATTGGAAATGTGAACTATATAACCATGGAGTCAACTTTGAGTGCAGACTCTTTCAGTGTTGTCACAACCCCTAGTGTACAGTACACAACCCTGTGCACTTAAAAGAACCCACGAATCCATTGGTAAATGACCAGATGGTGGTCACATGAATACGTGCAAACACCTAGTTGCTGGTACAGCAACGTAATAAACTTGGACAAAGTACTGTGACTATGTGACCCAGTCCACTCAGCTGTGATTGGGTACCTCGTAAGGATGGGAAAGTCACATTAACTTGGTGCCTCTAGTGGCTGCAAGAGTTGTATGATCCCCAGGGAGTTGAGATTGTTAATACAATGTGCCGTTGAGAATGACATCCAATGATCGAGGAGAAAAAAACAGAGCCTTGAGCATGCACTAGTTGCGTGTATATATGCGCTATACAGTGAGACCCCAGATACCCAGACACATTCGTTTTTGTGTAAATCGTCCGGAAAACCAAATATCCGGATGTCTGGATTTCTGTCATCCAGGCTTTGGTGTTGAATCGGTAGCGAGCATACACTTCTGGTTTAAAATCACTTCCAAAACAGCATGGTCATTTTGATTTGCCAATTACAATTCACTCAGTGTCAGATAGGCCAACTAATCACCACCAATACTCTGCTGATTGGTCATTAATCCAGATTAGTAGACCTTGTCTCGTGTCAAGACACGTGGGACTCTTCACGCTTCTCTTCACAAGATCAAAGCTTAGTGCGGATAAGTGAGTAAATATTGTGTTGACTTAGCCAGGTTGGTTTGTAAAATTTACCGTTCAGAAACAGAAACCACATATCCATTATAGACAGTCACTTTTATAGCGTAAAGTGACCTTCACACGGCAAACTAAAGTTTAACAACACATGTCGAGTTTGAGTGTGAGAACATTCCAACAACTTGCCACCAACACCAATTTCATAGTTGTCAAACTGTTGTCGAGAAATAGGATCGGTCTCACCAACTTTTCCATCAAACTTTCGGCGTTGTCAAACTCAAGTTTGACATGTGAAGTTTTGTCAAACTCGTGTTGTTCAGAAACAACCAATCGCAGTCAACAAACTATTCATGTGATGTTTTGGTCTTCTAGTCAACACGACCTACAAAATGGCATCGCTCAAATGACATGAAAGTTTGACAACATGTGTTTGACGTGTGAAAACGCAAGTTTGACAACTTTTACAATTCTAATAACATGACTTGTCAAACTTTAGTTTGCTGTGTGAAGGCTGCTTAAGAGATCGGTTTTATATGAAAATTTACCGAGAGGCAAGGTTTCTTGATATCTAGAGTCCGGATACCAGGGGTCTCACTGTGTATATATATATAAATATCCTATAATAATAAAGAAAAGGTCCCTACCTTAGACTGTGTGAGTTCATCTGCAGCCTGGTGGATCAGGTCAACAGCCAGGTTGACATCAATGTTATCTAGGACCTCCTTCAGGATACGCTCCAGAGCGTTGAGTATCACAATACGGTGATCTGTTGACAGCTGAAATAGTAGAATCAGGGAAAGTACTTTTATGACATATCTTAGAGCTTAGATGCAACCAACAAAATAAACATAATTAAAACACAATTATCATTTATTCATGGCATATAACATACACTGCTGATTATGAAAAAACAAATAAACAAAATTATAAGCGTACAATTGAAAATCAAAAGTGCAATATTTTGTACTTGGGTTTACTACCCTCAAACGAAGCATCCGGGATACCGAACCCAGTCAGAGCGAGTGGGCGTGTACTTAAGTGTAACGAAGGCCGGGTCACTGGCTGGTTTATTTGCCGATCATTTCTGGTGTCCCCTGCCGTGATGTTGCTGGAATATTGCTAAAGCCATGTAAAAACCAAACTCAGCTCACTGCACATGCACTATGTATAGCATCTCGCTCACCACGAACCTATTGACTGCACCACTATTCACCCAGCACAGCAGTTGAAACCACTTTTAGTGGATTGTTTGAACTCTGATATCGCAGGATTTTTTTCATCGCATTATTTTTCAACTTTATAAGTTGATTTGCATGTTTGATAATTAGTTACGGTAAGTCCATACCGAAAGGTATCAGAATCTGCAAAGTTGTGTTTTGCGTTGCATGTAACCTTTAATGTGGGTTGTATGCTATACTACATCTGATATGCTTACAAGGTTTCATAAAATATTATCAAAACTTCCTGAGTATATCAGCGAAAATCCAACTCATTACTACATCAGGAAAGTAACAGTGAAAATATAAAAAAAATTCATCCGAATAGAAAAAGGTTCATCATTGGACTCATATGTTAACAAAACACAAAGAGAATCAGTTTGTGTGCTTTGCTCTGGAAAAAAAACCTACCTCATTTGAAACTTGTTGCTTTGGAAACACAAAAATAAATAATAACGATATTTGCTTGTTGCTTAACACAACACAAAGCTTGACAACACAAAGCTTAACACAACACAAAGCTTAACAACAACAAAGCTTAAAAGCAAAAACAACAAAGCAACACAACACAAAGCTTAACACACAAAGCTTAACAAACACAAGCTTAACAGCTCAGTCACATTCAGCAGTACTGAAGCTGTCTGGTTGCAGTCTGCCGCAAAGCCTGGACCAGACAATCCAGTGACTAATGCTATAAGCAAGGATGCACACTGTCGAGATATGCTGACAAGCTAACACTCAAGTCACTGAGCCTGACCATCCCATCCCAAGGTGCATGGGTTGCTGGGGACCAATTCGAACCCAGAAATCCTTGGGAAATAGCTATAATAAATCTGCTCCTTGAGCTATTGCTTGTGTTGGGATGCTACTAACAGGATTGGGTGGTAGGGCTCACTGACTTAGTTAAAGCAAGTGTCATATGGTGCTATCTTAGAGCGAGGTTCAATCACTGGACTGTCTGGTCTTGATTAGTGCATTTACAGACCACCAACGTATAGACTGAATACTGAGGGGTGTGACAGTAGACAACACACAACCACAAACAATCAAATGAACATTATAACGCAAACAGGACTTCCTCAGTCAAGAATGTATGTCTTTGCTTGTTTGCTTATTGTCTAACACCACACACATATTTCAGCTCTATGATGTGGTTTGTAAATAATCGAGTCTGGACCAGAAAATCCAGTGATTTACACCATGAGGATCGATTTATGCAATTGGGATGTGAAAACATGTGTCAACAAAGTTCCGTTAGTATCCTCATAGGACAAGCATGGGTTACTGAAGATCAGCTCTAACCCGGATCGTCACGGGATCAAAAAAGAATGCCAGGTTACTGAAGCCTTACCTTATTGTGTTTTTTAAGATATGTATAACATGAGCTCAGAACCAGAGACGGTTTCTTCTTGCCGAGGTCATACAGCGAGTTGGAGATGATCTCTCGAGCCTCCTCATTCCGGTCATGTGCAGCATCAATCAGTGCCATTGTAATCTCTACCAAAATAGTGGAACACAAGGAGTCATTAAGGATTAAGGAGTTTTAGATACATGGACATAAGTCAGAGTAATAAAGCCAAGACTCTGGAGGTCATTTTCTGATTTCTGATTTTCTCCATAAAACACAAAGGTTTTACCGGGGAAAATCAGAACAGATGTAAGAGGAACAGAATTTTAAAGTTGATTCATGCAAAACCAGCTGTGTGTAGAGAGCACAACCTTCTTCAGAGCATCAGGCTTATAAACATCCTCACACCAAGTTTGTGATATGTCATTATCAAATCAAATTATTAACCAGTGATTATATAATTAAATTACTGACACGTCACTATCAAAGAATGTCACTGGAACTTCATTATCAAACCAAGTTAGTGGCATGTGGTATTTTGAAACCAGGAAACACATGTCACTATCAAACCAAGTTAGTGATGTGTCATTTTAAAACTAAGATAACACATATTATCAAACCAAGTAAGTGACATGTGTCATTTTGAAACCAAGATAACACATATCATTATCAAACCAAGTTAGTGGCATGTGTCATTTTGAAACCAAGAAACACATGTCACTATCAAACCCAGTTAGTGATGTGTCATTTTAAAACCAAGATAACACATATTATCAAACCAAGTTAGTGACATGTGTCATTTGGAAACCAAGATAACACATATCATTATCAAACCAAGTTAGTGGCATGTGTCATTTTGAAACCAAGAAACACATGTCACTATCAAACTATCAAGTTAGTGATGTGTCATTTTAAAACCAAGATAACACATATCATTATCAAAACCAAGTTGACATGTGTCATTTTTTGAAACCAAGATAACACATATCATTATCAAACCAAGTTAGTGGCATGTGTCATTTTGAAACCAAGAAACACATGTCACTATCAAACCAAGTTAGTGATGTGTCATTTTGAAACCAAGATAACACATATCATTATCAAACCAAGTTAGTGACATGTGTCATTTTGAAACCAAGATAACACATATCATTATCAAACCAAGTTAGTGGCATGTGTCATTTTGAAACCAAGAAACACATGTCACTATCAAACCAAGTTAGTGATGTGTCATTTTAAAACCAAGATAACACATATCATTATCAAACCAAGTTAGTGGCATGTGTCATTTGGAAACCAAGATAACACATATCATTATCAAACCAAGTTAGTGGCATGTGTCATTTTGAAACCAAGAAACACATGTCACTATCAAACCAAGTTAGTGATGTGTCATTTTAAAACCAAGATAACACATATCATTATCAAACCAAGTTAGTCATGTGTCATTTTGAAACCAAGATAACACATATCATTATCAAACCAAGTTAGTGGCATGTGTCATTTTGAAACCAAGAAACACATGTCACTATCAAACCAAGTTAGTGGCATGTGTCATTTGGAAACCAAGATAACACATATCATTATCAAACCAAGTTAGTGGCATGTGTCATTTGGAAACCAAGATAACACATATCATTATCAAACCAAGTTAGTGGCATGTGTCATTTGGAAACCAACATAAAAACATGCCATTATCAAACCAAGTTGTTGATGTGTCAATTTGAAACCATGTTAATGACATGTGTCATTATCAAACCAAATATGTGACATGTCATTATCAAACCAAATATGTGACATGTGCCATTATCACACCATGTTTTCAGTGACGTCTTTATCAACCAAATATGTGACATGTGTCATAATCAAACCAAGTTTGTGATATGTCATTGAGAAACCAAGATAGTGACACATCATATTTAATCTACAGACAAATTTCTTACATATTCTTTGACCCTTACTCATTGTAAAATCGATATATGCACACTGTTTCAATTTATAGCCTTTGACCAGATCAGTGGAAATGAAACATCCAAATTCAGTTAGCTTACTTCTATTTTTCATTTACAATAATTAAAAACAAGCAGCCCTGAAGCTGAAGCAATGAAATGTAATCTGAGAAAGATAAAGTACTCAGTTCCTCAAACCAGATAGTGTGAGTGGTTAAAAACAACTTCCTTATGATAAGGTCATATCAAGATATTGTGTGTCATTCACTGGAGTCATTAGCTCAGTATCAGTAGACTCATGGTTACCTTCATAAAACGAGTGACAATCGTAACCATGGTAACTAATGAGAGATGGATGCAAAATTTGTCACAATTTTCAAATTGAAAATATTGCATCTGTGCCATGGCATGCAAATTAAAGGCACAATGTCACACATTTGACAATATTTTGGTCGCATGCGGTGATGTCAGTGTTTGCCGAACTGGTTTCAATCACAAGTTGTGCATAGGGACATAACTCTATGGGGTTCGCTTGAAATAATGCTCAGCAAGTGGAGTGAGTGAGTGAGTTTACTTTTACACCACACTCAGCAATATTCCAGCTATATGGCGCCAGTCTGTAAATAATCCAGTCTGGAACAGACAATTCAGTGATCAACAGCAAGAGCATCGATCTACACAATTTGGAACCGATGACATGTTCCAACCAAGTCAGCAAGCCTGACCACCTGATCCCGTTAGTCGCCTCTTACGACAAGCATGGGTTACTGAAGATTCATTCTAACCCAGACCTTCACTGGTCCTCAGCTAGTGGAGGGTGTGAGAGTCGATTTAATGCAACGTTGCATTAATTCATTCATATTTTTTAATTTAATATTGTAATCTATATACATAATTTGGGGGGAATAAATTATATGGTAGCTTCCCTGAGAGCTGATAGTCATGGGTGGGTTACACCAAACTGCGACTTGTCTGAGACCACACGAGACCTCACTGCGATTATCAATCGCAACGGTCGCATAGTTTTTGGCTACCAATTTTAACTTTCCGTTTACACCGAATACGGTGTGCGACCTGTCTACGACCAAAACATTCTTTATTTTCATTTTTATGGCGACTTCACTGAGACTGATGCGATCAGTCTTATAGATCGCAACTGGGTCGCAGTGGTCGTCCCCCCTAGCGCGAGCATACTGGCGACCTTTCGGGAGAGCTTGTGCCGAGTGACGCCGACCTGGTTGAGACCACAGAGACAACATCTGCGACTGACTTGCGACTGGAGTACGAGCATTAAGACAATGTCTGCAATCAAGTGCAATCGAGTTGCGATCAGTGTGACTCCATGCGACTTCATTGTGACTCAAGTAGGACAATGAGGACCTTTTTCAGGATCTATGCGACTCACAAAGTCCCCATTGGAGAGTGGGCTGCAAAACTCATATAAAAAGGCGACCGCGAACGGCACTCATCCGGCAGCGATCTCGTCATTCTTTGCCTGACCAGCACAGTGACAACATACATAGATGATGGACATTGAAATGGTATTGGCCCTTGCCCTGCAAGCTGAAGCAGAAGCACAATTGAACGACTACACCTTGGCATTAATCAGAGAACATAATAATAAAAGAGGAAGAAGGCGAAGATGTGAGTTTTGTGTCCGAAACTGGCTCAGAGAGAATAGGGCCCAACATCACAGAAGAAGGAACCAATTACAGACCCTCTTTGCAAGCAGGGTTGAAACTCTCACTGACATTGAGACACTTAGCCACTGGTGGCCTAAAGCTACAGGGTCATCAAGTCATCCATACAACATATGGTATCCCAAGTTTGTTGGGCTATCGTGGAGGCCTACAGAGACAAGGTATTCAAGACTCGTTCTATGCCAGAAGAGTGGTAGGAAATAGCCAGACAATTCGAACTTCGATGGCAAGTGCCTCATGCCATAGGGACCCAAGATGGAAAGCACATCAAAATCCGGGCACCTACACAGAGTGGAAGCGACTCCTGGTGTGTCTATACAACTTGCTACTCCATTGTTCTCCTGGCGCTTGTGGACCACAACTACAAATTCTTGTGGGTGGATACTGGAGGTCTTGGACACTAGTCAGATGCCCAAATCTTTAATGCATCTGATCTGAAACATCACTTGGACACTTGTACACTTTGTATCACCCCTTCTGAGCCTATTGAGCAAGAATTTAGCCTTAAGAACATATCTAATGACACCATGGGCCAAGAGGAACATGACATAGGAAGAATTGATATACAACTACTGCATATCCAGAGGAGGACAAGTGGTCGAGAATGCTTTCAGTATCCTGGCTAACAGATGACTGTGTTGCATCAAGGCCCGAAAAATTGCTGTACAGTACTTCACAACCTCTTGAGGTCCAGGTACCCAGACATAATGAACGCAGAGGGTGACCATGAGGGTGAAAATCAAAGACTCATCTTAGGTGGATGGAGACAAAGGGTACAACTGGATGAAGACAAAACATTCCTCCTGAGCCTCCAAACCGTGACCATAAAGCTGCGAGGTCTCAGAGGCTTTACCTTCAAGAATACTTCAACGATGAAGCCCGAGGAGCAGTTCATTGGCAGGACAGAATGGTGACCCTCAAACCCACACCTCAGGACCAGTATTTGTGAATAACTTTTGGGACGAGCAGTGTGCTAGATGGACATCTATATGTGTACATGTCTATGTTTGTGTGGGGTGTGAGACACGTACATTTATGTACTGTTATAACATTCATTATTACTTTCATTGTTATTAATAAACAGACCGCCTCCACGGGGTAGTGGTTAGAGCGTCTGCCCGGAGCGCGGAAGGTCGTGGGTTCGATCCCCGACCGCATCATACCAAAAGACGTTAAAATATGGTACTTGTTGGTCCCTGCCTGGCACTCGGCATTAATGGGTACAACAAGGACTGGTCGGCTCGGAGTCAGTATAATGTGTCTGAGTGGGGTATTCATGCTTCACTGCGGCATGGTATCTCAGTGGGCTAGCACCATAAAACCAGCTTCAGTCTGGGCTAGTACAAGCAGCCGCACATACACATACACATGCATGCACGTCATTATATGAGCGAAATATTCTCAAGCACGACGTTAAACCCAATTTCACCTCACCTCATTAATAAACATGTCAGACTGTATATGTTTGTTATTCTTTTGTTTATGCCGCTCTGAGTGTGTCAAGTTGGGTTTAGCAACATGGTTTGGGGTTCCTAACCCCAAGTAATCTACTAAGAGAAAGAAGTAAAGGAACATAATTGTTGTATATACTATCCCAATCTGAAGTACAGTAACAATACCACACTCGTAAAGAAGGGGGGATTGTTTCCCTACTTGTTTCTCTCAGTATATCAATGTTATAGGGTATATGGTGTTAGGGGTTTCTTCAACCACGTATAAACAACGTCTCAACAACACATGGTTAGGGCTCGCTTACCTCAAGTAATATACTGAGAGAAAGAAATAAAGGAACGCAAAAACAATGCGATCTCATTGCGAGGGAAAGCAAGTTCATGACGACTGACATACGACCAAATTACGAGTCCATTGAGACATTTGCGATCAGGTTACGACTGATTTTGCGATTTTGAATGGAAGGTACGTGAAGTCCGAAAATATACATAATCAACGAAAATATATGTTTTAGTCTATATATCCGAATTTTAATTAACTTTCTTCAAATTTCGTAGAATTTCTAGTACAATCATATTGGCATAGTTTGAGGCTAAAATTCGTAGTGACTACGACAAAATCGTAGAGGTTGGCATCTCTGCTTTAACCACTTGCCCCTAAACAGACACAAATACTTTAATATTACCAGTAAGCGTACGATGCTTGTACACAATTATTTCCAATATTTGCACATGCCCATTTTAGGAATTCTAAACGCTGATTGGTGAATTTAAGCTACTACATCACAGTGCTTCATTGTTAGGGAAAGTATGATATCTATTATTCATGACATCAGAAATTGATTACGTTGCATCCTCTAAACAATATGCTGCAATCAACAGTCAAAGGCATAACATGTACACGAGATGGCCTATTCTTGGCCACCATATAGCTGGAATATTGCTGAGTGCGGCGTAAAACTCAACTCACTCACTCACCTATTGTTGCATGTGAGACGGTAGCACACTCAGTGCAGATAATCTGTAAGGTTGACAATTCATATGTGTTTTCTTCACTTTCTCTCTTAAAATGTTAATGTGTACTACATAAAATAATCTTCACAAAAGTCGAAATTATGGATTATCCGTCCCTAGTGAATGAATGTGATTACTGCTCTCGTGATTAACATGAGGCTACATGTACATGTCCAATTTATCCAATGTGCAGATGTTCTGTGGGGTGTTACCATGGTTACTGATAAGGAAACTGGAGACATCAGTTTCTCAGTTTATTTCATAAACAATACCAGCTTGTTTAGGTGCTAAAGTTTGTAGTTCAACTCATCGTTGGAAAGTGAAACCAGCGTTACTAAGCAACAAGACAGGGTAGGTATGAAATCCTGCATAACATAATTTCCAAAATATATATGTGCATATCTGTCGAATTTAGTTTACGTATATTAAAGATTACTAATTGAAGTGGGAAAATACGTAAAATAGCAGCTTCAGGTAGTTTTACATGAAACATCTCTGTATTACTGATTTTGATTTCAAACAAGTTACTACTAGAAAAACTTAAGAGTACATTTAGAGTACTGAATGGAATTTAATGGAGTGTGGCTACGACAAGACAAACAAGTGATACTAGTAAGCAGTTCATTCACTATTCGTACAATTTGAATACTGGACCGTTTACAAGTTGTTGAAGCACAGTCTTGTGTCTGAAACAAACTTGTAATTTGTTTCTGTGCCGCCATGTTTACATACACATGCACAATTTTGATCAATCAAATCTAACCGAGATGATTGGGTGTGGTATGCGGTTTCCTTAGCAATCAGGATTCCCAAAACACAATGTTTGCTACGTGTCGCTATCACGTAAATGAAATACAGGACACTGCTTGAAATCAGATTGACATGTTTTATATAAATATGTCTGCAAATGATTCTAAGACCGTACACCATTGCTGTGGTGCGTATCTCCTACGTTTTCTAAATTATTTCCTACCGTATCTTGCATATTTTTTATCCGTACATACGCCGATAAGGTCCTTATCTGGGGCCCTTACAATGAACCATTTGACCCTCTCCATTCATTTCCATAATCTCTTAGTCATGACTATTTGGCAGGGAGTGGAGTCATCCCACAGATGACATCCTTACCATGTCAGTTTGTGATGGGGTTAACCTCTTTGGTCATATGGACAAGGCATCCAACTTCGGATCAAAAGTCCATGGTTTGAATCCCAGTACGGGACTCAGCAATTTCATGGTCGCTACTATTAGACAAATTTAATTACACATAATGGCAGTGTTTGTGTAGCTCATTTGAATAACAGTTAACTGTCAGTCTAACAATCCCAAGGTTGCATGTTCATGTCCAAGAGATTCTCATAAAACTGGTTGCTTGTCTTAGTATGAGGTGAGCTACAGCAAATATCACCCTCAGGTTCAGGAGAGATTGTTTTGATTGATTCTAAAAGTGCACCCAACAAAATCAGCAAGATTAGGAAATAAAATCTGGGATTTTATTTTGGCTGATAGATATATACCCCAGTGGAGTAAACGTGCTTCTAACCACTTTAGGTGAACGACGTGCAATGACAGTAGCCATAAGACAATCCTACATGTATCAGTGTTGGATGTTTCTCTGCAAGTGCCCGCACCTCGCTACCACTTACCGTCCACCTGGCCCCCGGTCCCCCTGACAGCGTCTCCCTCCGGCCCAGGCATGATCATCTAATTGACACCCACCAAACTGTGCAAATGTCTCTCCGCTCCTATAATAATTGTAGCTGTAACTTAAAGTCTTGTGCCTCCTACAAACTGAAATCATGTGACATGACGGTAAGCGGAAGTGAGAGGCTGTTTATGGAAGGGAGCTAACTCTAATGACGTTATCGATTCTGCAGAATTCGAGTTTTAAGCTTAACACGCGTACGCTGAGTTCAAATCTCGCTTGGTGAATCAATTTTGATAGTTTGCGACTATCAAGAGATATATTCGTATCTTTGCACACAAAATAACAAACAGGAGAAATAATCGAATACTTTGATAAATTTGAGAGGCCTAAATGAACAAATTTGCCCGTCATCTCCACGATAGGTGAGGTGAGGTGAAATTAGGTTTAACGTCGAGCTTGAGAATACTTCGTTCATATGACGACGTGCATGCGTGTGTATGTGTATGTGCGGCTGCTTGTACTAGCCCAGACTGAAGCTGGTTTTATAGTGCTAGCTAGCCCACTGAGATACCATGCCGCAGTGAAGCATGAATACCCCACTCAGACACATTATACTGACTCCGAGCCGACCAGTCCTTGTTGTACCCATTCATGCCGAGCGCCAGGCAGGGACCAACAAGTACCATATTTTAACGTCTTTTGGTATGACGCGGTCGGGGATCGAAACAGCGACCTTCCGCACTTCCACGATAGATATTAAGGGAAGGATTCTACGGACCGGGCCAAGAAGGGCCAAACTATTATTGCCTAATAACTCAGTTCCGATGTAGTTCTCATAAAGTAAATATAGAAAATAAATTACAAGAAAAAAGGCAGGTAAGAATTTGTATAGTATGTATTTATGGACATATGTAGAAAACGAGTAGCACCTACTCTATATGCCATATGCTCCAAGCTTGCAGAAGACGTCCTGTATAGCTCTATAATATCCCACCTAGACTCTCATGATATATTATCTGATACACAGCATGGTTTTAGGAGCCGTCGCTCTTGTGAAACCCAGTTGGTCCAGACCATCCATCAGTTCGTTCAGAGTGTAGACCATGGGCAGCAGTTGGACATGATACTGCTTGACTTCTCAAAAGCCTTCGATAAAGTTCCGCATCAACGCCTACTTCTTAAGCTACACCACTACGGCATACGTGGCAACATATTATTAATATAATATAATAATAATAATATGGAAATTTATATAGCGCTAAATCCAACCACTAAGTGGGTGCTCAAAGCGCTTCAAATAATAATAATGTTTGAATAGAGTTAATAGTGCAATAGAAAGAGTTGCGTTTTAAGATGTGATTTGAACGCAGCAAAAGATTGGGACAGTTTTAAGGCGAGGGGCAGTTCATTCCACAGCGATGGAGCACAAACACTGAAAGAACGCTTTCCATAAGAGGCCAGTCTATAAGAAGGAGTTTTCAAAAAGAATCTGCTTTCAGATCGCAGGTGTCTGGATGGTTTGTAGGGGGTTAGCAGTTCACTTAGATATTCTGGTGACATGCCTTTTAGACTCTTGTATGTGATACAGGTACTTTAAACACTATCATCGCCTCAACCGGAAGTCCAGTGTAATGAATTCAGTATCGGGGTAATGTGAGAGTACTTTGGGGCACGTGTAACGATTCTTGCCGCTACATTTTGGACCTTTTGAAGTCTCCTCAGAGATTCTTTACTGATGCCTAGAAGTAAACTGTTCGCATAGTCCAACCTCGAGAGTACCAAACACTGTACTAATGTCTTGGCTGCATCAAGTGATATCAGATGATGAATCAGACTGATACATCTGAGATGATAAAAACAGGTCTTGCACAAATTGTCAACTTGATAATCCATGGACAACTCGGAGTCAAAATAGACACCAAGGTTTTTTTACCCGGGGTGAGAAGTCTACAACAGAGTTGCCAATCACAAGTTTTAAGTTCTTGTCAGTTGACATCTGAAGCTGTTTCTTAGAGCCTACCAACATAGCCTCAGTTTTTCCATCATTAAGTTTCAGTTTGCTACATGTCATCCAAGATTTTATCTCTGATGCACATACACTTGTTTTCTGAAGAGATTCAGCAACTTGTGAAACTTCAAAACTATCCAGGACCTGAGTATCATCAACATATGATTGGTGACCGAGATCATGCCGTTTTATGATTTCACCAAGTTGGTTCGTATATATCACAAAGAGTAACGGACCCAGAACCGATCCCTGTGGTACTCCACATGTAAGATTGGCACAGCAAGATTGTTTGTCTCCTATGATAACATGCTGACTTCGGCCGTCAAGATAAGATTGGATCCAGGTAAGAGGAACACCAAGAATGTTCATCTCATCCTTCACTCGTTGGAGAAGCTGTTGATGATCCACTGTGTCAAACGCCGCTGAGAGATCCAATAATGTAAGAGACGTCATTATGGCCCTTGTCAACCTTGGTCCTCAGTTCATTCAGTACCCACAATAATGCTGTCTCGGTACTGTGATTGGTGCGATAAGCAGATTGAAAGTCATTCAGCAGTTTATTGTTCACCAGATGTTCTCTCAACCTTACATGTGCTGCCTTCTCCAAAACCTTTGAAAGAAAAGTAAGATTAGATACAGGTCTATAATTACTTAATGAATTAATGATCCAGGTTGTTCGTCTTTATAAGAGGTCTGATAACTGCCTTCTTGAGGACGTCCGGGAAAACACCTGAAGACAAGCTAGGATTTATTATGTTAGTAATGGCCGGCAGCAAGATGTCAAAATGATCGAAAGGCAGTTTGTAGGAAGTGGGTCCAACAGGCATGTGGTCCTCTTTGAACACTTAAGCAGCTTCTCAACTTCCTCTTGGGTGAATGCTTGAAATTGTACAAGATGCTCAATTTCACGAGAGCTATCACTTGATGTCTTGGGAGGCAGATCATCATGTTTGAAACCATCCTTGACCTTTGCGATTTTATCCTCAAAATAGCCTGAGAAAGAGTCAGCAAGAGTCTTCTTGCAAGTATGATCCGTTAACTTAGAATCCTCTTCTCTACCAAGAAGTTGCTTCATATTGCGATGGACCGAAGACTTCTTGAAGAACAGGAAATAAACAGTTGTTCTTGATGGGATGTCATCCTCTGAAGCTGACGTAATATCTGGTGTACCACAGGGTACGGTCATTGGCCCTCTACTCTTTCTAATCTATATCAACGATCTATCTAACTTAGTTGACTCCTAAGTACTGCTTTTCTCCGACGATTGCATTATATTCAGAAATATACACAACTCCTCAGACAGTCTCGAACTGCAGAGGGACTTGGATAACCTTCAGTCGTGGGAACAAACATGGCAAATGGCATTTAATCCATCAAAATGCGTAACCATGCACATCTCCAAGAAAAGGAAAACACTACGTCACTCTTACAACTTTTATGGATTGGACTTACTGTGTCACTTCTATGTTGCAACATCTTGGATGGGAAACCCTACAACTTAAGAGAGCTCGGGCCAGAGCCATCTTCTTTTATAAGGTTATAAACAACACCATTGCTGCCGATCTTCACAAATGTAGCCATGGAGTTGACTATCGCACAAGAGGATCATCTAATAACAACATTGCACAATTAAGGGGGGATATTAGAGCTCTTCCTACAAAGCTTCCTCCCTAGGACAATCATTATGTGGAACAGCATACCACCAACTATCAGACTATCACCAACCTTATCTTCGCTCCAGACATCGTTCAGGGCTGAACACGTCTCAGACACATTATGCTGACTCCGAGCCGACCAGTCTTGTTGTAGCCATTAATGCCGAGCGCCAGGCAGGGACCAACAAGTATCATATTTTAACGTCTTTTGGTATGACACGGTCGGGGATCGAACCCGCGACCTTCCGCTCTCCGGAGAGGCAAAATGACAGTCACGGGAGTGCACAAGATATCATCGAAATACTCGGGACAGTTGTATCTCTCCCAATTTAGCACTTGGGGCATGGGGTATATATTCACATGTATTGCCTTTCGTTTGTTTTCTTCTTACTACAGGGGCGGTGGGGTAGCCTAGTGGTTAAAGCGTTGGCTCGTCACGCCGAAGACCCGGGTTCGAATCCCCAGATGGGTACAATGTGTTAAGCCCATTTCTGGTGTCCCCCCGCCGTGATGTTGCTGGAATATTGCTAAAAGCGGCATAAAACCAAACTCAGTCAGTCAGTCAGTCAGTCTTCTTATTACAATTAAGAAGAAGGACCATGAGCTGTGTATAAGCCGATGTGCTGGTGCTGGCATCAATTAAATAATTAAATGTTGGCGAATTATAAATGAATCATGTTTTTGGTTTACACAAATATGCATTTATTGTAAACAGTGTATGAAATTAGCCAAAAATTCAGCCAGACATCAGGGCTGGTAACTTCAAAATGTTACCAGCCCAAAATGGATTTAACCAGACCAAATATGGTGAATTTACTCCGATGTATGGAACATCTACAAATTTCACCAGACCATCGGGCTGGCAAGCTGTAAATTTAGACCGTCCATCATAAATCTAGACCGTCTTGGGCGGCCGGCCCATCGGGCCTTATTTCATACACTGCATTGTAAATATGTAAAATAGATATGTGTAGTTTTCATTTTGACCAAAGACGATTGATGTAAATGTCCTCTTCAACACTCACATGAAAGTCAATATATACCACACACACAAATACACTTCACAATTTCGAGTTCTGTGGGAAAGTTCCTGCTTTATTATCCCACCCACTATCATGTTAGGCAATTTGCCAAAGCAAAAGTGCTGAAAATGATCTTTCAAACTTGGCTAAATCGTAAATGTGGCCCATTAATGACATGTTACGCCATTCACAGCGCGTTATTTAGTGTATGTTTTAAATGTAAAAATCGGATAATTGATCGGACGACGTCCCCTCTGACCAGCCGCCCGCAGCCTCCTTCTGATGGTGCTCCCACTCTCCATTGTAGCTCAGTGATCAACAGCATGAGCATCAAACTAATCAGTTGGGATACGGCATAAGCAGTTGGGATACGGCATAAGCAGTTGGGATACGACATAAGCAGTTGGGAGACGACATAAGCAGTTGGGAGACGACATAAGCAGTTGGGAGACGACATAAGCAGTTGGGATACGACATAAGCAGTTGGGAGACGA